CTGACCACCTTTTCCACACTTCCTTTTAATTTTTCTAGCTTATCATCTTATCCTTGAGACGCTGAGACGTAATTGTCTGACCGTTATCCTCGAAATTCTACGCGAAGGCGGGAAGAAAAAAATAGCGTGGATGAAAAAAAAAAAAAAAAAAAAGGTTGAACTTGTAAGTTGTTCGTGGATTAAATATTCCCAAACAGGAGGACTCAAAGAATATTTGAATAACACTTGATCAAATAACTTCCACATTGACTACGTAGACAGTTAATTTTTCATTTCATCTTCCACGTACGCACAAGCACACTATTTTTCTCCCCCGCGGAGCCTCCCTCGAATGTTGCTTTCCAATTTGTCAGACGCGGATGGGGCACGTATGAAAAGGAAAAATACGACCAGGGCATTGCATCTCAGCCGGGATATTTGATTCGAAGGAAGGCTTCTTTTTTTTTTTCGCCACCTCCCAAAACGCTCTGGTATGGGTAGGATGAGTGTGGATGGCCTGCCGCATTTCAACTAGCGTAATTCGAGAGAGAAGTATTTCACGGAAGATATGTAACGTATGGAGGGACGGGACGACTCGAGACTTGTCTTTCTCCCCTTGTGTAGAAATTCGAGGCTCTATTATCAAGACGCCCTTTTAAGGTCTCTCCCGCTTTTCCTTGGCTTTTTTTTTTATACCTATTCAACACACGTTATCGAATTTTTTGCTGACCCTTGATCGCGATCTCACAATCTGCTCTGTAATTAAAGTCTTGAAATCCTCGTCTTCAACTCCATGCCCGCCTCGCGCTAAGAAGTTTGCTCCGGATATATCCTTACAAACCAATTGCGCATGTACATGTAGTTACACGTACTATGACAGGTACCTACCTCATATTGGTTCACATACAGATTTTGAACTATTATTTAACCACCTATTAACATCCTATTGGCTTTTGAAAGCAAATAACATTGCTGGTGTAAACTTTAGCAAACCGGAAATATCAAAGATAAGATTTAGAATCGATGACGGTGTCATGCAATAATCATTATGTTGTATTGTTTCCATTCAAGAGATCGATACCTACCTGTTTGGAGTTTTAAGCAGAAGCAAGCATGGAAAAGAGGAAAAAAAAAAGCCAATTTGCTTTTCTGCTAATAAAACGGTATGATACCTGTACGTATCTCGTATGTTTTCCCTAATATCCAATCCTAAGACAGGCCGTTGTGATTCGGGCTGGGGTCCGGTCGGGTGAAAGAGGCAAAATGGAGTGGTTTGCCCCGTCCAGCGAACAGTAACCGGACGAATCACCGTCTTTTGTTCAGTATGTCCAGTATCGTACGTACCACACTTGGTTTAACTTTAACTGGTGTTGATTGCTGAAATAACGTGTTCTACCTAGTGCATGTAGTGCTGGCTTCTATGTACATAAACACTAGCAGGCTATCCAAACAGGCCTAACCACTACTATGCAGTGTATGTAATAGGTAACCCTAGCAGGCCTAGCAGAATGCTAAAACAACATTAACAACATGAGCGGCAGGGAATATGTTAGCGTGGCCGCACTGTACGGGTACTTAGGGTACTTAGGGATCTTCGATCACGCCTTCTACATAACCATTGGACGATCAATCCATGTCTAGTGCGGGCCTTGTCCACCTTCGGCTCCAAGCATTTTTCGGGGGGCTTTTACGTCTGCTGTGCTTGCCTTTTCTCCCAAAAACCACCCCTTATGTCACTTCTTCCCTCATGACCTCATCGCCAACATCTCCTCGACATACCTGCAACTTAACACTTCGAACTATCTGCGTCAAGACCAATATACGCACAACACAGCACAACAGCGCCAACGGGTCCCCCCTTGTAGTAACAACTACGTTGATAACTTGCTAGTCTAGCCTATACCGTCACTCATTCATCAATTAATCGCCACGATACCCTAGGTTGCGGCCCGCGCTCGCACCTAATTCCCCCCAGAGGTAGTTTGTCGTTTTTTTATTTTTCCTTTTGCAAGCTGCCTCCCCAAGTCAGCGTTGTGCGTCAGGCGTATCGTTACATCATATTTCATCCCCCAAACGCCCACCTACGTACTTGCACGCCCAGCGCCATAAAAACGACTTCGTCATAGTCGTCACAATGGCCCCGACCGAAACCAAATCGTCAGATAATTCTTTGTCAGGTAAGCTTGCCGATTGTTAACCGTTTCTCGCACCGACCTCCACCGGTCATTACTTCCGTGCCGTTGTCGCTTAACAACAATCAGCCCCCCCGTTCGTGCAATTGGTATGCGCTCACACGGACGTCATTGCTAACGACTCATCGTCATTCGTAGAATCTAACGGCGACAAGAAACCCGAAGTCAAGTCGGAGAGCGCCGCCAACAGTCACAACAACGAACCTGGTCGCCCGCTCGCGCCTCCGCCCAAGCCCGGCGAAGACTACTTCTCGAGTAACTTGAGCCTCGAACCTAATCCGTTTGAGCAGTCATTTGGTACGGGTGGCACGGTTGAAACCCCTGGTGGTACCAAGTTGCCCAGCGTGGCGGCCTTAACCTCGCCGTCGTCGTTGTTGCCCGGGAACGGAAACACGCCGTTTAACTGGGGAGGTGGCTCCCTTAGGACGGGACCGCTCAGTCCAGCGATGCTTTCTGGCCCGGCGAATGATTATTTTGGTGATACGTCACATACCTTGCGCGGTGGTTTTACCCCAAACGAGAGTTCTCTACGGACAGGTCTGACGCCGGGCGGGAGTGGTTCTATGTTCCCTGCCCCAAGTCCTAGCTCACAAGCTCTCTTTGCTCAATTAGCAAGTGGCGCTGCAACCCCTAGCACTTTGGACTTCCATAGGACCGCTATGAGTGCAGCTGCGGCGAAGGCAAGCCGCGATAAGCAGCAACCCCAGCCCGTAACCTCCCAGCCGGCGGAGACAAACGGAGCAACAGTTAAGACTGAGGCTAAGCCAGCATCGGGCGCATTTGATCCTCATGATAACGATGCTGCTAATGGCCTTTTCATGCTAGCTCAAGGTGCGCAGGGCCGAAACGGAACTCAGACACAATATCCAGTTGGTGGCAACCAGCCGGTTCATGCTCACCCTGCTCCACCACCGCCGGCCCAACCCACAGCCACTACTTCTCCTCACATGAACGGAAATGGTGCGACGGCATCTTCCCCTATGAGAGGAGTTAGTGAGGCGGCCAGTGGTATCTCGGAGGAGAATGAAACAAAACCAAGTACCAGAGGGAAGGGGAAACGTGGTACTGGAGGTGCTGCCACGAATGGACGACGTAAAGCTGATGATACACCTGCTAAGCAGCCTGTTAATAAGAAGCCTAAGACGGCATCGTCAATTAATAGTAACGACAATTCTTCGGATGAAGATGATGACGAGAAAGATATGAATGGTTCTCACCCGAAGTCGAAGATGACCGACGAGGAAAAACGAAAGAACTTCCTCGAACGTAATAGGTATGTCTAATCGTATATGCTACCGCTCTAAATGCTTTGCTAACAAGATTTGTCAAGGGTTGCCGCTTTGAAATGTCGTCAACGTAAGAAGCAATGGTTGGCCAATCTACAAAATAAGGTAGAAATGTTTAGTAGTGAGAACGACGCTTTGACGGCGCAAATTTCTCAGCTGAGGGAAGAAGTTGTGAACCTTAAGACTTTGTTACTCGCCCATAAGGACTGTCCGGTTACACAGCAACAAGGATTGCACGGAGCGTTTATGCAACAAGCCATGGAGACCTACAACCCGCAGATCAACCCTTACGGCATGGCAGCGCCTATCCCGAACCAACCTGTGATGGCAGGACAAGGAGTACAGCGGCGCTTCTCATAGGATGACGAGGCCGCTCCCCATGACCAAGTCTATCCGGAGCTACCTGGATGCTAACACCAGCAACGACGATCAAAAGTACAGGTTTCGGGTGGTAAAAAGTCAAACGGTTGCTTCAAAATCTTGGTCCATCCATCAAGCGGTTAGCTAATCATGTTTAAACACCCTTTAATGGTATCTGGAGGTAGGGAAAATATTTGGCGCGCTTGCCCTTGACGGCATGGGAGGTTTAGTGAGCGTTCCTAGCTAGGGAAGCGCTCGCTTGTTAACTCTGATGTCTGTAATAACATTCGATAGTCATGAGAGCACGATAGGGCGCTAAGGTTATGGCTGCATTGTGGCGCGTCTGCAGTTAATGCTGTGAGACATATGGGCCTACAGCTTTGCCATGTTGTTGGTTGATATTGATATATGTACGTACGTATCTGGCTGGGCATACACATTAAAAACGGTGTTCTGGGAGGATTGGAATTGCTTTATTATACTATCTCTCGGGGGGGCGTTGAGGAGAATGCAGGCGGCAACCAGGGCTTTTCGGCCATCTTCGTCTTCCTCGGGAGTTACCTGGTCTTCATATTTTTCGACCGCTTATATTAGTTAGCCGATACACGCAGGCTATTAACAAACGACGCAATTATCAATGAAACATTATTATAGTGCGATAAGATTTTGAGTTTTACGTGACCGGGAGAGAAGCATACGAGAAGTATACGAGAAGTGAGTATTTTCTGAGAGTTTTGCTCTGCTTCAAGATGAGATGAGATGAGATCTGAGATGATGTTAATGTAGACTTGTACATACGTAGACAATTACATAATTGAGAATATAAGCTTTTCGGTACATATGCATGTAAATGATAGTTGAACTAAGTGGACCACGCAAGCCACGGCAAGGCTACATAGTATGTACACTACGTTGGCGTCGGTTGTTGGCCCGTGCACAATAACTCAATGTAAACATTGAAGAAAGTGGAAGGATCAACTTCGCGCCTCATCACCACCCACACCCTGCAACGCCTCAACCGAGTAAATCAACCCACGAACGACGTCGAAACGAAAATCAACATTTATACATACCATGTTCGATGGTTTTAGCATTACGCGAGACAAAGTAAAATATAATTGAATCCTTCGCCAATCGATTGACGCGGTTATAACAGCTATTTCGCGCTCCATCATCTCCATTACCCGATCGAGTACTCGTCACGACTTGCGCGACATAGTCCTTTTCTATCCGACCAAAGCACTCCAGACCAATGCGCAGATTATTCCAGCGTCCATGACTACCCTCGTGCAGACCCGTCAGCCATTACAAGTACTGAGCATGAGCAATCAGTCTCAGCCCAAGCGTCGCAGGAGCTCGCGCCTTGCCTGTAGGTACCCCCCTTTTGTCCCGGCGGGGGACGAGACTTGGAAAAATGCTGTTGGATGGTTGCATAACTAACAGAACCACCTATAGCATATGATGAACAGGATGGGGATTTTCATTTTACGCGAGGATCTAAACGAGCAAAGACACAGCCGGAGCCGATACCTGAAGACGAGCCGGCACCAGCTTCTGTCCCTATACCATTACCTAGAAGGGGAAGACCAAAACAGAATAAGGACCGCGAGGCACAGCCAGCACCTCCGGCTCAACCGGTTCAGCCAGCTCAGCCAGCACCCAGGAGAAATGCAAAGCGGAGGTCAACCCAGATAACATCTGATCAGGATGAGGTACAAACGCCGCCGCCTCCGCCACCTCCACCGCAAAGGACCACGAGAAAAAGAGGACGCCCATCTGTAGATAAGACCGAAAAGGAACCAGCAAAAGCTACGAATGGAGTCTCTAAGAAGCAGAAAGAACGCATAGAAGAGGAAGTCCAAGAAGAGGCAGCTCAGTCAACACCTGTGGATGAGCACAAGGGAAGAGGCAGAGATAATGCATCAGACTCCAAGAAGATCGCGCTGCCGTTTAGCGACACGCCTATAATAAATCGTAACAAAGAAATGCGGAGGAAGACAGGGGCTCGCAGGAGTAGCTTGGGTATGCGCGGGAGAAGAGCAAGCTCCCTTATAGATAATGGCCACAGCGCCATACCGCATAAAGCAGTCGATCCCGCCGAATTCTACAAGCATATCGAAGCTGATCTGATGGAACCACGCCGTATGAAGCAGCTCCTAACGTGGTGTGGAGAGCGAGCTCTGTCAGAGAAACCACCGCTAGGATCCTTGAATTCTAATGAGATTCTTGGGGGTAAGAAAATTCCTATAAAACGGTAGTGCCACTGACTGGTTCTATATGCTGATCCTTATATTCCAGCCCGAGCGATTCAAGACCAGCTACTAAAAGACTTTTCGTCGAAATCGGAATTTTCGGACTGGTTCTCACGAGAGGAAGTACCGCGACCACCCGCAATAGTGAAGCCGAACCCGCGGAATATCGAACATGAAGAAAAAATAGTAGCATTAGAAGAAAGAGTAAAACGGTATGTTTATACACCATTCACGAAACTTACGGTTTATAGGCGCTGATAGAAGTTGCAGATTAAAAGCAGAAAAGCGAGCATGGCAATCCTTAAAACAACCGCCTCCAGAACTACCACCACTCTTCCCCTCGTCAGATTCAAACCCTCAATCATTACCATTACCCGACGCCTCCCTTCTCGACTCCGAGGAGGCCCAAATCCTCGCCACTCTTACTGACCCGTCGACCGCCATAAAACCGCAGAAGATCCAATCCCGCCTTCAAGCGCTCCAAAGCTCCCTCGACTTTAGAATCGACCATCTGTCTGACAACGTGCAAAAGCTAGAACACCGGGTAAAGACAGGAGGACTGCAAGCAGACCGCGTGTTAGCCCTCAGCGCGGCAAGGCTAAAGGAACGAGAGGAGAAGGAGAGAGCGAGCGCAGGAACTAAGGATATGCCAGTTATGGAAGTACTAAGGAGTCTAGGGAGGATATTGCCGCCAGAAAGCGGAGGAGGGGGTTAGGTCATGATCGACTTCCCGTGCCGCGTATATAGCGCGTACGCGTGTATGGAAAAGCAGTAAAAGAGAAAAAAAAAAACCCAAGATTATCAATTTTTTCACGTCTCACGTACGGGGGTTTTCTGTCTTTGAATAGGCAAGGGAAATGGAGGGAGCATAGATGATTTGCGTTTGCGGTTTGCGTTTGCGGCTTGGAAGATACCACATCGACTCGAATGAGGCGGGAAGGCGTTTTTCCGTTTTTATTTATTTTATCCATGCTGTTTTACTCTCTGGCATGGCTATGTGGCCTAGGTAGCTGTGCGCGTGTGTACCTAGCGAAACTGGCTAGGTCTGGCTGGGATCGGCGTCTTCGAGATGAGATAATGAATGATACTGCATTGCATTGCGTTTCGTTGCGTTGCGTTGCCCCGGTTTACATTACGTTGTATCGTATCGTATGGGGAGACGAGATGGTATTAAGCCTGTTTTGATTGTCTGATGTATTTATTGTGGTTGGATGGATGGGTGGTGGTGGTGGTGATGCATTAGGGGAGTGAGCAACTGGTATTTGGTATTGTTCGATTATATATGACTGTTTATGATTCATTTTCTGTTATTGCCGTTGTGAGTATGGTACTTCTGAGGTTTTGCATGTAGCTGAGTGAGTGGATTCCTCTCTGGCGAGTCTTTTCTTAAGGTTAGTAGCTTGACGCGAGTATATAGTCAAGGTATATTTAAATGCTAACGGTTAATGAGTTCATTTCTCCACACATGCTGTTAAGTAATAATGGTAAGAGAAGCCTGGGTTTGGCGAGTACTTCCAGATATGAAGTTGTCATTATGTTAGGTCAAAATAATATAATCGGTAGGTACGTAAATTTAGGAGTGATATGTACACTATGTAGCTTGATTCCTAGGCTACTCAAAGGCGGAGATAGATTGGAATACATAGGAATATAATGTGCCAAGAGTAAATGGCACCTGTATGTTTATTTTTTGAGACTTCAGTCTCATTCAACTCTAGGATATGTATATGCATACCTACCTGTTATATGATATATTCCTCAACACCAACCCACAGAATCGTACACTACCAAGACCACCCAGCACCATATATATTTTCATACCTACGTTCCGTTTTATCTCATGCTGTCTGTCGTCTTAACACAATTAAATACATTTGTACATAAAGCTTCCGTAGTAATCGCAAAGCAAGGGGGCCACACACCCTTACTTGCCACGCATGATTTTCATACTCCTCCTCCCTTGGAGTAAATGCCACGATCCGTTAAACCCCCTTCATCGCAGCGAAGGCATAAACGCCATACCGCCCTTCTCCTTCGACCGCGCCTTCACATGCTCCCGCAGTAAGAGCAGCACCTCGCTGTCGCGCCATCGCGCGGGCACAGGCCGATACGCCGGCTTAAAAGTCCCCACCGTCTGCGCCCACTCGCCCGTCTCGGCCTGCGTGCGGTACGGCTCCGCAGATACGGCGGCCGCAGCGTTCCCCGCCGCGGATTCCTTGTGGGACGACGAGTCGCCTGACAGCGGGGCGCCGCCTGTGGTTAGGTGCTCCGAGGTGGTGGTAGTTGCCGGACCGGACGGAGATGCGGTTGAGGAGTCGGTATCTAGAGGCGTGGCTTCTGAGATAGCGGCCTCGGCGCCGCCGGCGTAGTCTGCGGAGCTGGTGTCTTGCGTTGCTATGGAGGGGGGTGCCTCGGAAGAGGTGTTGGAGGGGGGATCCTGCGTGGCCCAGTAGTATATGTCCCAGTCGTTTTCGTCGAGGAAGCGGTCGTACTGGTCCATCTGCTCGCGGGTCATGGCGGGTAGGTACTCGTCCGCAAAGGTGGAGAGTAGAAGGTCTGATTCGAGGGTTCCGCGCTTGCGGCTCTGGTCTGTTGATTGGTAGTTTGTTAGTTAGCTGTGCTTTTATGTATAATTGTGTACCTAAATGTATGCGGTAATAGATAATCTCTTAACCTAGAGGGATGTATGTATATGCATAAGAAATAGTTAGACCCAACTTACAGACTAGCCGGGCGCGAATAGTAACGTCATCCTCGCCAATTCGGCGCATTGGCTCGACGCGGAACTCGGTGCCCTCGAGCTCGCCGACTTCAATGTCCTGCTGCGGGCCACGCTGCTTATGCGGCTCCATGGGCGGCGGATTATGCGCAAAGACATCGACCCGCACGGCATGGGTGCTGCTTAGTGGACGGTGGAGCAGGAGTCGTCGAACAACTGCGGCGGAGGGCCTTTGAGCCGAGCGCAGGATAGCGCGCGGCAAGGCTACTGCTGCTACTGATGCCATTGCGAGTTTGAATCTAGTCTCGTCTCTTATATGCGATACGTAGGAGGTAGGGAATGTCGTCGTTTTACGATTTCCTTTTCTTCACATCCCACTTCCGTTAGACGATCCGAGACGCGGGATACTATGGAAGATTCCAACTCAAAATCGGAATTGAGATGGTACGGTCGTATTGGCGACAGATGAAGTTGTTTCTTACGAGTCGTTGACGTAGTTTTGGAAGCTTAAAATGCTAGCTTAAAAGCTTTAAGCTCGAGCTTTGTTAATTGAAGCTTTGTAATTCGCGGATCATGTGAAAATTGCCGAGGCCGTAGGACCGTCCCTTCCCCACACGGCCGGCCTAAGGTGTGCCGGGGCTTACCCTTTTTACCATTTCAAGGATGTCGCCTTCCGTTCGTCTCCGATCTTATTGTGTGCTACGGTACACGAGTACTACGCATATGTACATGTCACTTTCGCATATGCATATATACACGTAGTTACGCTAAGAGATATTTATATTATACGATTCATAAAATAAAAAACACAGCAAATAAGAGGTAGTTATACTTTATAACCATTGAAGGACAGAGACCTCTTGTCGTCCCGAAGCTTGTATAGGACGGCGGAAAGAAAGAAAGAACCAAAAAGGTAGGCCTTTAGCTTCGAGCCATGAGCTTTTGATCATAGTAAAAGTGGTCATATCATTTGTTTTCTATTTGTCTCCCGACTCCAAGACGTTTGGACACGTCTATACAGATTTATGAGTACAAAGCATGAAACATCGTATTTCATGACACCATATCCATTTTTCCTTCCTGAATTCGCGTCACGCCCTTGTCGCCTCCTTCCCCCCGAGTTCTGTAAAATCCGGGACTCCTTTACCACGACCAAGCATTACTAACGTAAGGAGAGTCTAGAGTAGTCTCAGCCCCAAGCTGATCCAGCTAGGCACTATCTTCAATCGCTTCAAGTTGATAATCCTTTAAATCAGATGCTTCGACCGGAAGTAGGCGCGCAGGTACATAATTTGCCAGCCCCATAGCGCAACGAGCAGCAATGTGGTGCCGATGCCGAACCACTTAACACGGGTGTTCGTGCTCTCGTTGGTATCGCGCAGCTTCTGCTCTCTCGCTCTGAGGTATTCCATCTCTCGTACGATATCGGCGATCGTCTCCTCGATGCGGCGTAGATCCGTCTCGACGGGCTTAAGCTTCTCGGTGGCTTGGATGGCGGACCAGTCCTTAGCGTCAGCACCGATGTCGATATCCAGCTCTACATGTCGGCTGGGGTTGTTCATACGCGCTGGTTTGAATTGGTTAAGAGCTTTTCGGGGGTTGCTATCTTAGCCCTATCCTCACTCACTCACACTAGTAGAGTAGAAGGAAAAGACATTAGGGAAACGGGAGGAACGTACTATGCGTCATGACGTTTTCGAAGCATACGTCGAAGGCGGCGTCCGCGTGAGAGGTGAATACGGTACGTTGTTCGCCTACTACATCTTTCGGTTTGCCATACTCGTTGCCGACGTTATCCACGATCTACATTCCGTTCACATCTAGTGTTAGCTGCATTTATTGAATATATAACAAAAGCCTTCGTAAAACATACGTGCATATTGACAATCATACCATCTCCCTTGCTTCCGCCGACCGTAGCAGTGACAACAACCAAAGTGTCCTTAGCGACGAAATTCCGTATGCATCGTTCTGTCTTCTTGTCATTGGGACCACGCGCCACCAAGTCGAATTTCAACGCATTTACGGATGCGATCAAGAGCACGAAGCCGCAGATATACTGCAGCAATCCTCGTGCCAAGGCCATTGTGTATTGGGTATGTCGGCTTGTTTCTTCGTCTTGCGAAAGGAGGAAAGAGTCTCGAGGCTCATTACCGGAAGCTAACAACTTTAGGGATTAGGGATTTGGGGTGCGTCCATGTAACTTTGTACTGTGTAGTAAAACGTGTCTGGTTCAATCGAGTGTTTTTATCCAATAAGATGCTTTTAAAGCTTTAGGTAGCTTTCCGATAGCCTTGCAGTATTATCATCACGTGCATATAATCAGTAATTACCAGGTACATAGCCTTATCTTGAATTGACTATGTATATGTACCTATGTACCTAGGACATCTGGAGTCTCCATTCTTTTTTTTCGCGTCCAAGCTTCTTTCTCTTTTGTACATAACTACCTAGGTACATAATGAAGGTACTTTAGCTTTTGTATCTTCCACGTCCGGCGGCAAACTCAATTCAAAATCGCATTCTTCCTTCAAACATCACCAATCTTTGCTATCACTAGATTGTAATACAGATTATACCGTCAAGATGCCCAAATGTAAGTTAAGTATACACATAATAGCCCCCTATTCTAGTTGCTTTCGTCAATACATACACCTTACAAACATCTCTTCTAAAGACGCGATTGCTAACAATACCCTATCAACAGTCTTCTGCGATTACTGCGACGTCTACCTTACGCACGACTCTATGAGCGTGCGCAAGGCCCACAATAGCGGTCGAAACCACCTGCGGAACGTTGTCGATTATTACCAGCAAATTGGACACGAGAAGGCTCAGTCCGTCATCGACTCCATCACGTCCTCCTACGCCGCCGAAGGTCAGGCTCACGCTAACCCCATGCTGCCTCAAAACCAGCCCGGCGGCGCTGCGGCGGCGGCAGCAGCAGCAGGATTCCCTGGAATGCCACCACCACCCTTCAGCTTCCCCGGCGGCATGCCGCCTCCGCCCTTCCCCGGTATGCCTGCTGGTATGCCACCCCCGCCAGGCGGCGCGTTCCCTCAGGGTATGCCACGTAAGTAGTTCCCTTTTCTCATTTTGTCGCGTACTCCTATGCTAGGACTTGAAAATTCTAACGCGCGCAACACAGCTCCGCCAGGCCAAGGCGGTAGAGGACTCCCACCGCCTCCCTTCGCAGCCGGACCCGGCGGCCTACCTATCCCACCTCCAGGCGCTGGTCTACCGTTCCCTCCGCCAGGTGGTCTTCCATTCCCTCCTCCGGGTGCAGTTGGTGGTAACGCGCCTCCCTTCCCGTTCCCCGGCATGCCTCCCCCGGGCCAAGGCTTCCCTGGTGGACCCTCGCCACCCGGCGCAGCTGGTGGCTTTCCGCCTCCCCCCGGAGCGCCCGGCCGTTAGGATCGCGCTGGTGCTGATGTGAACCACGCCCCGGGGCTCGGGTCGGGGATTAGTAGTGGAAAGCGGCGTTCGGGCCAATAGCAGCAGCCCCTACCGCCACCGCAGTCACAATCGTCGAGACCCGAAATAAGATCTCGGAAAACTACTAGTCCTAGACGAGAGAAGGAGCGGAGGTCTAAGCCATATCCTCGCAGATAACGAGGAAAAGAGTACGGGTCCAGGTATCTACATCGGAGGATTGCCGGGAAGACGCCGTCATGAAAATAAAGTGGTACCTCAAACAGTGTGCTCGTCTGTGTTTGCCCACGCAAATTAGACACATAGCAGAACCATCCTAGCCACTTAAGAGGGGAAAACTGTATAACCCAATTAGACGACGGCACAGAGCAAAACAGATGGATTACGCAAGGGAAGGAAATTGGGTAATGTGTTCAAGTCAACGGAGCTTAATTGCAAGGCAAGGCGTTATAGGGGAGGACCGGCTCAAGGTCCCGTTTGGTTTACTTCGTGGGGCATCTTTTTTCTCTCCCCAGGCGGATATACCCTGTTGCCACCCATTATATTCCAAACCAGAATACGTATGGGCATAATAGACTGAAAATATTAAGAACAATTTGAAGGCACTCATCTAAACTGTGAGACGCAACAAAAGTTAGTTATAATGCGATAGGATGAATTTATGATTTATTTCCTTGGTTTTGGTTATATGTGGTTAGGCCCATGACGTCTGCCTAGGTACATATTCCCCTTACCTCATTCGCAATATAACCATATCAGCAAATCGGCATAGCAGAAGAGTAGACGTGTTCAACACGGAAACGACAACGCGTAGAAACACCATTGAAAGACAACACCAAATAAATCGACCCAAGGCCAAGTTTCGGAAAGAGTAAGAGGTAAACTTATCATCACTTGCTCAACAAGTTGGTATTCAGGTATTCGTATCATATCTCTCCCCTCTGGAATCCTAGCTCCAAGACGGGGGTTAGTAGCATAGCAAAACAATAATAAAAGACATCTCATCAACATCGTTCCCCAACCCATCCATTCCTTCTTAATCCCCTTACCATCCCCAAGCCCATCATGCTATTGGAAGAGTGCAAAAAAAAGATAAATTAAGAAAATCCTGTATCTCGTCCGTTTTTTAAACATCCAGTTTCGTGTCGTCAATAGGGGTAATCAGCCAAAGTCCAAAGTCTCAAATCGTAATATGGGGGAATAAGATGGGGTCGTGTTTTTCGTGGCTCGTATGCGTCGTAAAATATAAATAGTGAGTTCGTCATGATTAGTGATCTTCATTGGGGCGTTGGTGTCAGTAGTAAAGGTCAGGGGGTAAGGAAGACGGTAAAATATGGCACGGCAGAAGTAGAAGCGTGATAGATCGCCAATTGAGAATTTGTCTTCGTTGCCGTTTGGTTGTAGCCCCTCAAAGACTGATCCCTCAAAAGTCCATGACCTTTAGAAATCAGATGTAGACGGATCTGCGGTGTTGATGCGCCTGTGTTTGGTGCCGCTGGTGGTGCGCTACCCCGTTCGCTTTCCCGTTCGGCGCGGAGGTGGTCTGGTATGAAGGTCCCTTGTAACTGTTGCGTTTGATGACTTCGCCCACACCATCTCGGACTTCGCGCGGTCCGCTTATTTTCTGCCGGAGAACCTCCGTGCGCTTCTGCCGGCGATGTTCGCTTAATCTACGCTGTAAGTTCTGCGGTCTGTACTGCTCCAGCTTATCTTGCCAGTTAGGGAAGAGTCTGCGCCCTCGGTCATCGACTCGTTTCTCGACACCCCAAGCACGCCGGGCCTGCTGGTCGGGTGCGGTAGACGGCCGACCTTCAGCTTCATGGTCGCGAGAATTGCGGCGGCTGTTCCACTCAAGAGTGCTATAGCTATCACGGTGTTTCATTACGCGGAGTCTGCCACTCGGTGTGCGCTTGACGGTGCGACGTTCTGGACTACGCTGAGTGGAGACTGTGTAATGATCCTCGTCTTCGATAGGTAATATAGCGAATGTACGCTTCATTCGTTCGCTCAAGCTCCTACGACGAACCGGACGATTGTCAATTGGGGGATATCTGTAAAGCGTATCCACTTCTGCAGGAACATCACGCGCCCAATCGTCGTAGTCGTATTCTTCGAGGTCATCATCAAACGCAGGTCGCCAGAACGGATGCAATTTTGACTCATCAGGCGGCGGTTTTTCGGCTGTCGGGTACGGCTGCCTTGTAGTATCTCTATTCTTATCAGGTATTTGGGTTTCTGCGGTTTCTTTCCTAATTCCTTTTGAAAGAGACAAAGTCCGCGATAGGAAACCAGACGGACGAACATTATCGGAGCTCTTGCGAAGACTAAAGGCGCGGCGTACCAAGGAAGGTCGCTTTTGAGTCTCCTCGAAATAATTACCCAGCATCTTTTCTTTTTCAGCGGCAGGCGTAAGTCCAGATGGTGTAGCTGGGATAAATTTGATCACTGGCGGTTCGGGGGGAGCACGCGGGTTTCTAAGAGGTGAATCCACATCATCCATCGAGAAATGATGTTGGGGAGGCGTCGCAGGTACACCGTCGGGACCAGTAGCTATAATCTTAGGATTGTCTAAGACTTTCCCCGTTTCCGTAGCATATCCCGTCTGGGCAAATTCTGGTCCCTGTAACGCGTTTGCAGCGAGGGCAGGATCGACGGGTTTCGACATATGATGAACCATCAAAACAGATTTATTTTGGTGCGGGTAAATATTCACAGCCATGGCTTCCGATATGTCTGCCGCAGAGTGAGTCCCGTTTGTCTCGACGGATGCTTGGGAAAATGGGGTGTTGTGCGCAGTGAGGCGCTTGCCGAAGAACGGGTCTCCGTTATTATCTACAAGCGGTTTGTGGTCATGGAGAGTATCCCTGTGTGACTCGACGGATGGAGCCGGTTCAAGTTGTCTCTGGTCGGGATGACTGCTCATATATTCGACGGGAGGTGCACGTTCCACCGTAACCTGAGGTAATTGGCGTTGTTGCCGTCGTTGTTGTTGTTGTTGCTGCTGTTTGCTCTCCTGTTCCAAGAAAGCATCGTGCGCCTTCAAGCTCTCCGCGGTCAACGACCCAGCTCGAGAACCAGCCCTGGATCCATTCCTGCTAGTCGGCGCCGAAAGGGATGATCTACGTATAGGAACGATTGGGGGGTAATCCATCGTTAATTCTTCCACCTGAACTGACCCTTCTGATTCCGACATTGATCTGCCCCTCCGGGAAGGTTTGTTAAAATAAGGCGTCAGGTCTTTCGTTTTATAACTTGACAGTGGTGCTGAACTAAGACTATTGCTTCTCCTAGAGTGGTGACTACTCGTAGACCTAAGCGATGTCGGCCCGGTGGCCTTAATAGAAGTTCTACGGTCAGGAATGACCACTACAGGAATTCCTCCATTCTTCCATACTTCCCGCCGGGCTTTACGGCTAGCAATTGAGTTGACCGTGCCCGTAGATGCAAGGCTTTCTGACCGGACAGCGCCATCAACTACCCTCCTAGCAGCTCTTGCGCGCTGAGAAATTTCCGTCTGGCGAAGCGACGTGTTTAACGATGTATTCGCCGAGGAGCTTGACGGTGAAATCTCGGAGCTAGAATCCCTTAGGGCTGGTTGCTTCCTGACGTGTCGCAACGTTTTCCGCCTCTGAGGAGGCGTTCCAACCAAAATAGCCTCCACCACTGTAGATACCGTAGACTTTGAGGACATGCCGGAGGACCGCCTAACATCAGTACTTACCGAGGACTCGGAAGTAGATGGTGCGGTCCAACTCTTATCCCTGCTTGCAGATTCCAGCGGTGGTGAGGGATGCGTATGCAATCGATCCGATAGGGACATCGACCTTAGAGCCTTTGTTGCGTTGGTCGGAGTTACTGTCGCGTCCTCGACCACTTCTACTTTTGGCCCATTAACTTTCGCTTGGACACGTCGCTTCTCCACTCTGACATTCCTCTCATATTTATGGTCCCATTCCCGCTCAATCGAGCTGGCAGAACCCCATTCACCATCAAAAGCTGAAAATTCTCCTTTCGTCCTTGGTGTCAAATTGTCGTCCGACTCGAGACCTAGTCCTAGCCCTATGTCCGAGGCTTTCTTTTGCCGTGCATCAATTAAACGCCTTGCTACAATCTGAGCCGCCTTAGCTGAGGACAATACCGCCCGGGGCGTCAACTTGTCATCTTCCTCCGAAGAATCCAGATTCTCTCGTGCTGTCGTGAAGGACTCCGTACGAGAATCCGTGGCCTTGGATGGAATGCGATCCGCCAGAACGGGGCGTGGAGGTCTCGATCGACGCTCGGTTTGGGGAGGGGTGACGTCTGGAGTAGGCGGACTCGCTTGATGCGGTGGAGTTCGCGGTGTTGTACTCACAGAGGTGTTGGCAGCGTTTTGCACCGGAGTGCCGACGTGGGGACTCGAGGGCTGGATCAAGTGATTACCGGATGAAGTACGCGAATGCGCCGGTGGGGTGGGAGGGAGAACAGGACCAAGCCCAGGTGCTTTAACGCTGGGACTCTCGTCGTGGCTCGGACTCGGTGGAGTAAATGACTCTTCTTCCTTCACATGCGACTCCGGGATTGAAGTTGGATCAATAGACAGGTCACGAGAATGTCGATTCCTAGCCGTCGACTCAGGCCGACCATTTCTAGGATGCGGAAGTACTTTATGTTTCTTGAATGCTCCTTCGCTAGGCTTACCAATAGTAGGGCGATCAGACAGAGGCTCGAAGTAGAGATTTGTCGATGCCGGGGGGGAGACGGTTTTGGTAGAAGCGAGCATTGTTGTGTGGGATGGCACGCTATCTATCATTATTGCCGACTCTCGCAAAGTCTCTTGCAAAGTCTACTTAACGGGGTTGCACCAAACCAGTCTTATCCTTCTCATCGTAAGAAAATGGGGTGCTTTGGGGCTGAGCAAGATACGTTGTTTTTTTTTTATGGAAAAAAAATGAGCATGCGGTGCGCGTCCGAAACCTTTTTGAAAGTGATTCTCTATCGTCTGCAAGCCCCCTACGCGATGCAGAAGCAGGCAACTCTCGTGGTCCCTAAAATGGTCGACCTGTCTGGCTCCTGATAAAAATGTACCGTGCCGATTATTGGACCAGTCACAGTGGCCGAAACTGGGTTGGAGACCTGATCGAAGGTGAAATCCTCAGGACCTTGCAGCGCATGGAACAAATACAAAAAGCAAGGTATCTAAACGCCGGCCATTGGATGATATTTTTGGGAGGCATTAAAAGAAGGAGTAAAGATATATGAACAGATATATGAGGAATAATATGGCTTGCGACACCAACGATATTCCTTAAAGATGCCAATTCTTGTGTGTTCCGGGTGTGCGTGTCTAGGTAATGAAGGAATCTTGGGACAATAAAAAGAAGGGTTGCGCAAAGTTACGATTAGAGAGGTGTACGTATGTATGTAGGTACTTCCTCGGCGGCTACAAAACCAGAATAAACGACTTTTGATTGAGTGCAGATGGTGGGAAGGTGGACGATGTCGGGAACTTTTCGCAGCTTCCAACCTTCCCACTTCCCACTTCCCAGTGATATACTTGGAGAGTGGGCTCGGTGGACTTCGAGGGAACAACGTCAGAGAATTTACACTAGGAGGTAGGTACCTAGGCAAGTAAATCTTCCCGCCTGCCTCCTGCTTGTTCTAAATAGATTCGGGAGTCGGGGGCTGGGAAAGCGGCCCCATCTAACCTTAGTTGGCTACCCTAGTCCTGGAAATCTCGCTAGCTTGTGCTACATAACGTCAAGCACACATGTAATGATACAAGCACTTAATTGACAACTTCCTGGATAGGCGTAGCCAATTCTTGAATTTTTACATAGGTAGGTACCTACATACTTCCGATATTTCTTTTCTTCTCCGGGGAACACACGCCATCCACTCCAATAAGTGCGATACGTACCGATTAGTGTAAACCTCGACATCTATGATTCCATATGGAACTCATGCAACTCATGCAACTCCATCTGGACCCGGCTGGTTACATTAGATATTTCGTACATGACCCGCCAAGTCTCTAAATCTCTATATTTCAGAACGGCGCGCGTCCTTTCGCATCACGGAGAGACATAGGCGGATTGCTTCCAGCCACCCCACGAGAGACGAGTAGGTTACGTTGTATCGATGCGGGAGGTGTTCTTCATCTGTCGTGCTTCTCTCCAATCTGCACCTCTGAGTGGATAATGCCCATCTGTTGCAGCCATTCAAGTCACCAGGACAAATGAGCTTCTCGAACTGCACAAGGCTGTTCGGCCTCATGCCAGACCTGCTTAACCTGCAGCTCACCCAAAGCGAATCAGAATCCGCAACACCGGTCACCCCAGGCCGACCTGCGACTTCGCCGTAGTCTGAGTCCCAACAGGGTCAAAGCCCGGGTTGGCATTTCCACACTTCTCAGAGCAACGAGTGAGAGCGCCACGTTCTAGGCGCGGATCGGAACCACATGGCCCTTCCTCCCTAATCTATATACAAATCGCAACAATACTTAACAAGGTACGATAGCCATAGTCGAATAAGAAGAACCACAAAATCTCACTATGACGAAATTCCCAAGAATTCGGCAACGGTGGGGCTATAGGAATGTCGGAAAAATAAATAACAAGCCGTAGTTCTTAGCCATGGTTCCTAAGTCAAGGCCACAGATGTACCCAGGTAAACTGGCAAAACCTATTCAGCATATATCTCACTGTTGTGCAAAGGGGCACGCAGCAGTGTGGGGGGCAAACCCCCTTTCTCACCGTCGAGATAGTTCATTAAGAAACGCAAATCGATCTGAAGCCATACGATTCAAAAAGAAAACATGCAAGCTGGATTTGAAACAAACCCTCCACCTCCTTGCTTATCATGCAGATATATTATACTAAGGACTTACAGATCAGTATGTTCTTATCTTAATACCACCCATACCCCCCTAGGCTCATTACGTCGACCTGGGAGGGGAAGTAGCCGACCCGGTAGTTGATAAAAACTTGCCTATCTCTTCGCCAAATCCGACTAGTCTACCACGTGGAATTGTCTTTTTTCGGCCTTCTATCCGGAAAAGAGATAACCGCACGCATTTCATGATCATAAACTTATATAAAAACGGCTGGCTACTCGATCGCCCGTCTCACTCCCGCCTAATAAATCGCGTTTGGCCACTACGTTGTTTACATGCGCGTTTCGTCCGGCACGCCGGTTGGGATACCCAAACTATAACAGAGAAGATAATAGGTACTAGATACGGTGGTGCAAGTTCGTATCTGATCAGTATACTCACATTACTGAGATCTTGGCCATTGAAGCTAAGTTATCTAGTGGTCCCCCGCATTCAAGTGCGATGTCATCAGCGAATTGCGGACAATTCCGACTGGATACTTACCTAACAAGGAAGATTTCGATGACATCTCCTCTATGCAAGTTGAGCATCAACGTCCAGTCGAGATGGGTCTCTTCCGGGCAACATCCTACTCTCAGTGGATAAGAGTTGCTGGTGATAAGCCTGTTACCCTAGCCGAAAGCTCTGTTGTCATTGCAAGATTGATGGTAGGATTGATAGCAGAATTGATAGCACTCTTTTACCAATCCGAATGACAGAAGATCGCCCTCGCGGTAAGATAAATAGGTGTATATAATGATACTACTCTACCATAACCATAATGTCGAGAATAGAATCAGAAGTTCTACGTCTATCAATCGTGCCTTAAGGAGAAATAATCTGGTTTCAGAATGTTGACGGCTCTCTTCTTTCTTAATGCCCTAGCTTTTGCTACTGCTCATGACACCCACGGTGACCAGAAAACTCTCTCCGGGCCGCATCAGTCCTTATGGTACAATGTTCTGCCCGGGGATGGTGGAACGCAGGTCAGATATTAACACGAAGAAATAGCTTGATGGATAACTAAATATATATAGGCTGACTCGGTGTTCTCTGGGATCTCTACGTTTGGGCGCCTACCATATCAACCCTGCTTAGGCCACGATGAGATCAATTATGATCTTGCATTCATAGGTCCGCCAACTTCCCAACCGTGGTAGTTGGATATTCGAGCTAATGAGTCAAAGGGGCACCCTTTGATACTGGCACGTCGTACCGGCCTGGTGCTCGGTTCGGTCCCTCGGGAATTCGTCAGGGATCTCGACGTCTCAACCTCTAGTAAAACTCCATTAATATAGGCGTAAATATGCTCACACAGTCTGCTAACCCAGAATAAGTGGAGGGTATAATGTTCCCCTAGACACGAACCCCTTTAATGGATGGGCGAAGGTCCTCGACTGTGGAGATATCCCAGTGACATCGTATGACTCAAACTCCCTACGGCTTAGAGATATCCATATGTACATATAAGACTAATCAAGTTATAGTTACGATAACACATGGGCTCTTAAGCAAATCGAAGAGGGCCACTACAACATCCTATCCCGAGCCCCAAAGACGGCCGCAAACAAGCCTGGACCGTCTAAAAAGGGGAAAACTTTACCACGAGTCATCACTCTTGGTGGTGACCACACCATCACCCTCCCTTTACTCCGCTCGATCAACCGGGCATACGGTCCTGTAACAGTCATCCACTTCGATAGCCACCTAGATACCTGTAAGTCCCCCCGATCTCCACGCCGGCGCCCAACAACAATCTAATCCATATCCCCTCGTGCTCCTAAACAGGGCGTCCCAAAGTCTTCGGCGGCTCCCCCTCCGAAGTCGCAAGCATCAACCATGGGACTTACTTCTACCACGCGGCGAGCGAGGGCCTGCTTGCCAACGACACCAATATCCACGCGGGCATCCGCACCACGCTCAGCGGGCCCAGCGACTACGAGAACGACGGGTACTGCGGCTTCGAGATTGTCGAGGCCCGCGAGATCGATCAAATCGGCGCCGAGGGCATCATCAAAAAGATCGTGGAGCGCGTCGGCACGACCAATCCCGTTTACTTGTCTCTCGATATCGATACCTTGGACCCGGCGTTCGCGCCGGCGACGGGGACCCCGGAGACAGGTGGTTGGAGCACTAGGGAGCTGCGCACGATTTTGAGGGGCTTGGAGCATGTCAATCTAATTGGGGCGGATATCGTGGAGGTTGCCGTAAGTTCTACGATTGGCAATCTTTTGACTTGCGATGGTTGCTTACTGAAGACTTGTCTGTCTAGCCTGCTTATGACACGAATGCTGAGCACACCACGATGGCGGCAGCCGATGCTTTATACGAAATAATGAGCATAATGTTAAAAAAGGGGCCGTTGAGTAACATGGTCTCTACCGGTTCTGAGGAAGAGCTATGAGTTTCCCTGCGCGTCCCCGTAGATGCGATTTCGGGAATGGGTAAATTTTGGGATCTCTAGAATATTGCTACTAGGCGGGATCAGTAGCCCTTTAAAGAAGAAGGGGGCGTGTGTCATGAAGCACCTATCTAACTCAACTTGTATTGCGTAGAGCTAATATCAAGTTGAGTGCCATGTGTCGTCTAGGAGAACGTGTGCTCGGAGTACGCGTCGCGTTCAGGCAATTCTCTTTTGAAATGCGCGTTCGCAGGAAACATTTAAACTGTAAAAGCGCACCCTCTATCAATCTAAGGCGCCATTTAAGAACATTTAGTACAGCGGTTTGACCGCAAATTTAGGGCACATATGAAGTGAAGCATTTACATTCGAATCTATGGAGCTGGGGACAATGTTTGACCATTTTGCCATTTTTATCAACTTTTTACTGCAACGAAATATACAAGTTTTTTTTTTATTTTTTTTAAACGAAAACGTATTATATATTTTGTTTTGTTTTATTCTTTCTTACTTAGATTTTGCTTTCGGCTACCTGGAAGATAGAGGGGGTCAAGACAGAAAATGGTGTTCTGCTCATATTAGCTAGCACTTCGCGCTTCAGCACAATCTTTGCTTGAGTATCAAGATAACGATGGAAATAGTGCAGAAGAACTATTTACATGCGGGACTTCATTCTTTTGCAAGCCTAATACGGATCCATAACTCGCGGAACCTCTTGAGGATCAGGGAAAGGTTAGCGTGTCTATCACCGACATAGAAATACCTTCTTACTCGCAATTTACTAAAGGGAAGATACTTGAGTCGAATTCCCTTCGTTATACGCATAACGAGATGTTAATTGACTTCTGAACTTGCAAGGAGCCTACAATACCACCCGGGACCAATTATTCATCTGCACCAATCGAGATTATGTATTAAAATGACGATAGCGATTAAAACGCTGCATTGTATATAAAACACCAATTTTCGTTGATCCTATAGATCATAGGGGTATTTAACACCCACGCTTGTCCAACCCTCCTCCTGTACACTCTTATATCCTGGTCTTCATACCCAAGTAATAGTTCCTGGCTGCGGACTCGATGCTGGTAGGTATCCAAAGAGACGGTTCCAACGCCACCTCTTAGTTTTGGCCTCCTCGTCTACTCGATGGGATAGTTGGACATTGTTGTATGAATACAGCCTGCTGTGTGAACCGGAGCCCAGGGCATCCCTCTTCTTGCTCTAAGTGGAGGGTCTTTACCCAGACAATGCCGGTGTCTCGGTCGAGTCCCTGGTCAATCAATGGTTGGCAGCGTAGAAACCGCGCGCCGTGCACAGACTTTGAGTGTGCTAAGCAGACGTAGACTTGGACTTCACACATCTTGGTATATTTTCTGGAAGCTGATATGAGTAACATGATCATCATTTGTAGAAGCTAGGCATCCTCACCTTTGTATTGTTCAAAGAGGCTTATGAATATTGTGCGTTGGGGATGTTGGCGTACTTCTTGATGTATTGGAAACGCTTTTTATGGTGTTAAGCAAGTCGGCTTGGGCTAATATCTCTTGGTGACGGTGTTCTAAGGATGCTGAGAGGAGAAGACCTTGTTCGAGTTGCTTGATGAACTGAATGAGTCTGAATGCATTACCTCCATGCTGAGATCACTTGAATATATATACTTTTCCATATCCCAGAGGTTAACAAAGTGAGAATAGTGCAGTGTCTTCCTCTGTATGGATTTCAAGTTCTTCACAGTTTTGGGGAGAGGTATAGAGGCGTCGTATATAGGGAGTAAGTAGTTCATAACTGTCGCCATGCCTAAAAGAGATGTTAAGATATCCATACAGATGTTGATTGAAACCCCATCTATTGTCTTTACTGTGATATTGATCCACAAAGAATGTCTTCCAGAGGTTGCTTCTCCCACTGTAGAATACCTACTTTAGATGCATACTTCTTATTGGCACAATAGCCCAACTTCAGCTTGGGTCTCTTCTTATCGCTCAAAAAGATACGTATTTATTTTATTTCGATTCGGAGTGGGCCGTTCTGGAGACCGGTCTATTTGCAACTGTTTTATCGCACTTCTAAGAGCATTTTGCTGATTTTACTCACTGTCCCTAATTGCTCCCAGCCTCTCTCAAAAATCATTCCCCACTTAAACGGTATGCTTCTCGCTGTGAGGCCTGGGTTGGAATTCAACATCGTCAACATCGTCAACATCATTGACAAGGTAACTTATTGATGCCTACCATTTCGTTACTCAAGGTGCTTGTTAGGCGGAATAATTTGTTCATGTTGCATTTATAAACATCCGTTACTAGCTATAGCAGATATCGAAATCTTAGCGCGGCTTCATTTTGAGGTTCCTTAGCATCAGTGGTTTAGTGGTAAAATCCATCGTTGCCATCGATGGGCCCCGCGTTCGATTCGCGGCTGATGCATTATTTTTAACGGTTTTTTTTTTTTTTTTTTTTACTTGTTAGTTGATATGTTGGCTCTATCCTGGGTTTTATCGTTATACAGGCCATAAAAATGCGTCGGGTGATTAGATGTAAAATGCTATGCGAGACCCCTAGAGAGATAGTGAGGTCCTAGCATACCTACTCACTAAATGTAACTATATTGTAAAGAACCCGGGTAAGTATTTAAGACATGACGTTCCCGGCCTTGGTATTATGTCTATGGATGTGGATTATTGTATCATACTTGCTATGGAATATGAATGCTGGAATATCTTTTGAAATATTACTAAATATTGCGTATTAAGAGACGCTGCTATCATTCTGTGACAAAAGGGGTTGGATCTGCTATTCAACTCCACCTACCCTGGTATATTTTAGGAAACCATAACTCGAAACTGGTGGCATTCAAATATCCGATTAAAATAAGTTCACGTACTGTCAGGTGGTCAGTATATAGATTACCGAGGTCTTGTTCTAGTAGCTATGATAGGACTTGTATAACCCCATAGGAGCTGAGTATATAAATCGGCGCCATAGGGCACCATGCCACACTGATATTCTGATTATTATATGATAGTAGCAAGCTTTTAAACTCGTTCTGCTATTATCTGCAGGGTATCAAGCCTAAAATACATGATTCGTAGCTTGGGCGAATTGTTTTCGTAACAACGGGGTGCTAATTTACGTTTCGATAACCCTCAAAATGCATTGGATAATACTTATATATAGCACATTCTTCTTTCTCAGACCAAAGAAGACACTAGAAAGAAACTACCTAGTTTTGTTGCGTCTGTAGCAGTCAAAACATGCTGGCATGGCCTCTCGCCTTGGGCCATCACATGTCAAGATTGGCTAGACCCGAGGCGACAAGATGTATTCATTTCGAGCGGTCGGCTTGTCAAAGAGAATTCAGGGCCTGCACGTTGTAGTTTGCCTGTGCGGGCGTTTAAACACTGCAGACCAAACCATGGGAAGACCTAAATAACATCGTGCGCAGCACGAAAGCCGAAATGTGGTCGGGACTTGCGCCGTCTATACCCCGAGTATCAACTAGAGGGAGTAGAAAGCGTAAGGAAGATTGGTATTCTACACTGTCCTCCAAGTGCGGGCGACCTTTTTAATGTCTTCGCTGAGCTACGTAAGGAGTATCTTCCTGTGAGATTCTCATTGCATAGCTGCGTAAATCAAGCTCGTACGTAGCTAGACACTTGCATCGAAAAGTATGGAATGCGAAAGGTGAAAGTGAAGGCCATTGCTAGCTTGCCCAAGATATCGGAGCAAACTCACGGATCCTATCAAGTTATTATGCACCGTAGATCAACGGGAAGACACATGGTTGGCCACGTCTTGGCTACGGAAATGACACTTAAGGTACCACACTTATGGTTGAAATATCCGTTTGACGGGCGTTATCCGCTGTTAATACGAGCTTGGGTATACCGATGGCGAGGGTTATCCCACTATTGAACGATATGCCATAGTGTTAGATAGAGTCGAGCTCGCATTATCCGCGGCGAAGACGGGGGTCGCAGTTGGTTTATTGGACTAATAGCAAACCAGACCAGCTGGGACCAAGCCGGACGAGTACGTAGCGCCCTCGTAGCCGTGGGCTAGTTTTCTATAACCCATTGAGTCCGCACCGTTTGGATATACCAAATTTCCACGCTAGCTTCTCAACATCCGGACAGAAATAGTTGGTCAAGGTGGGTATGGAGGAGTTGCAAGTAGGCAAGTTGTCCTGCAGGGGCAGGCATTAGAAATGGCCGAGGCGAAACCCGACGGGAAGATACACCTGAAGGACGTTCCTGGGACTGGATTACCCGGGCCAGAAGTCTTATGGAATAAAGTATTGGATCGTATTAAGGACAATGGAATGGTCTGGTTTCCCGACTACGAGATTCGCGCTGAAGGAAAGCGCAGGCTACCAGGAACAGAAAAGTCGTATCTATTACGTCTTGTGCCGAGCCCTATTTGGAAAGAGTTGAGGATTCTGATATTAGAGTCTAGCTCTACCCAGGTAAGACAAGGGTGGAGACTGTCTATCCTGTTCTTCGACACTCATAGTCAGCCGCCCCAGCGTCCGTATCCTTAAGAGTCGACTGGGCTGAATACACTGGGGTCGATGAGGGAGAAGATACCTGAAGATACCTAATATGACTAACGTGAGGGATACGGAGTTTGAATTTATTCGAGCCTAGATTAGCTCGATAATACGAGGAACTCGATTAGTTTTTAGTTGGTTAATGAAGAGGACTTCCGGCTTGGATAATCCAAGTACCTCTTGTTTCTAAAGGATGACATCGTTGATTAAACAGCCGATGGTAGGTAACATATCGAACGCTACGTTAATAAGACATAAGGTGGATATGGTGTGAATAGAGATATACATCTTCTAGTTAATATGAAAGTATGATATAATATAGGTATCACACCAACTGCCAGGTGTCAGGCTTATTGACGGAAGATAAAATGGTATGAGTTTGTAGTTTCAAGGTTTGCAAGTTGGCGGTTACGTGCATAATTCTTGGAGATTATAACCACGCGTTCTCGGTTCTATGCCGGTGTGGTTGTCCTGGTATTGTGGTGCATAATCGGGGAAGAGTAGTGGCGGAGCTGGGCGAGTTGGTAAATTGAGACTCCCGTGATGTCAATTGATGTGAGACGGTTGATAACTGGGGATGCCCGGAAGCTCCGACATACATAGAGACTTGATTTTACCGACAGTTCAAACGGGATCTGGCAATTATGACTTCACTGACGAGTTCGACTGTTTCATTTTCAGCATATAAACTTTTTAGAAACTTGGCCGATGGGTTTGCTTCGCACGTAGTATCATGCTTTTATGATATATGCTTAATGATGCTCAAGTACATTTCGGGAGTGGGCAGAACACCACCAAGTAGAATGGAAGGGAGCATACCAAATGACGCACTTATACACAGATAACCTCAGAGCTACCAGTCACTAGGTGATTGGAAAATTTAATAAGCTCTTTGTGTATGTGGGCGAATTGATTTAGAAAGCTTTAGTTAAGAATTCTTAACGAGAGGTAGTCTTCGTAATTGAGTGGCTAGGAATCTCAGATGATGCTAGCCACAATCGAATTATTATTCGCATTTCCCAATGAGGATTAATGTCAAAACTTTCCTAAGTTAAATTCGGTCTGTAGGGTGATCGGATTTCTACGCTAGTTCCCTAATTTGGCAAGTGATTAGCCACATATGGGTTACCTCCATCAGCCTCCTTTTCTTCCAACTTCACAGCCGCCATCACCCACTTTTCCCTTGGTTATCGATAGCTAGTGGGTGTGGCGGTGATGTGACAGCCATCCAGCTATTGCGAGACATCCATACACTTCAACCTAAACTGCGCAACAACAGAACTTTTGTAGAAACGTCAACCCTCGATACGCGTGTCGTTGGAATACCCCGAGATGGCCCGCAAAATGCCAGACGCATGTCTACAGAGTCTTAGTTGCCTGTATGCATGCGTAAGCGGAAGTCAAGGTAGGGTCTGTTCATAGAGCTTGGCTGTGCATTTTCCCTTCTAGACTCTCGTGACCAAAGAAGTTATATAAGTGACTCGATCAAGCATATCTCTATCCGGTCCTAACCACTCGCTCATTACATACACGGGCACTTCTACTTTAGACAGTCACTTGAGACTCCTAAGATATATAGATCTAACTGTTCTAGATCTTCTTTCTACATTGATAACCGATACCCTCGATCCCCATTTCTCAAGTTTATAACCCAGTTCACTACCAACAACTTAACATCCACCAAAATGAAGGTCTGCACAGTCCTCGCCCTCTTCGCGGCTACTGCCGTAGTAGCTCAGAGGGATACCGAGATTGGTACTGGGGATGCTACGGCTACGGCTACAGCCACGGCTACGGCGGCAGTACCCGCAACCGCAACTGGCACAGACGTTGCCAATAGTGGTGTCAGTAGTGCTACTGGCAGCGCTGACGTTGATACTAGCGCTACCAGCGATGCAGTTGCAGAAACCACTAGTAGCGACATCGTTGTTGCTACCAGTGCCAGCGACGCTGCATCTCCTACCACTATCGTTGTACTCCAGAGCACAACTGACGCGGAATCCTCTGTTGTAGCCGGAACCGATATCGCCAGCTCTACCGCCGTCCAGGAAGCAGCTACCACAGACGTGGTTGGAACAGGATCGGTTGAAACGGCATCGGCTACATCCGGAACGGCTGGAACCGGTGTTGCCTCAGCATCTTCCAGCTCGGAATCGGGTGTTAATACTACTCTCGCGACCAGCGTTAAAGGTGGCGGAGAAGCTACCGCCTCTCCTTCTGGCCCCAGTGGCACTTTCGACATTGGCGACTCGTCTGAGACTTCAAGCTCAACTCTCGTGCCGGATGCCGGCGCCGGCGCCACATTCGGAGCCGGTTCTAACAGCATGTTGGCTCTTGTCGCTCTGGCCGCAGCCGCCGTGTTGATTTAGAAGACGTGCGCAATGCGCCCGGACCGAATAAGTTTCCACGACATCTATATGCTGTATAAGCCTATCGCTAGATACCTAGAAGATATTCTATCTGTTTATCATCCGCCCTTTTAAAAAATCGATTCGTTATATGTTCGCGCTCGCCGAGTCAACCAGGCTGGCCCTCGGGAGGCTGGACGGCTTGGCTGCTTTTGGTCATTACTGATCTTACCATGCTTCTTTTAATCAATTTAATCTGTTTTGGAATACCGCGAACACAAATTACGGGTGGATGGTAGGGGGACAGCGGTCTTGGACGCTTCATTGGGCCCGACCCGGCCCGGTAATTCCAGCATCGGAAAGGCGTTGCGGCAACCATAACCATGCTCTGTATAAGCTTGTCATTGAACTAGACGTTGCGCTTGGGCAACACCGATTCCCCGCACATATACCCACGGGCCGTGACTCAGAAGACGAGGCTGGTTAAGTGGTGGTGTGCATACTTGAGAAACTGGAACATACCTAGCTATCATATAGAGTTGAGCTGCTTTGGTTGGTTTAATTGGGCAAAGTATCTAGTAGTTTAACGCAATAAAATCGTTGATATTCGTATATTTGACTATTCTGACGTGCAAAATAGCAGGATTGGTAACTAGCATTTCTATTTTATATTGAGCTTTTTTGATAACTACGACGGCGTGATAGAGCGCAAATTTAATGCAAAAAATCAAATCGAAGCAATAAATAGTTCATGTCTAATAGTAAAACATGCTACCAACTCCGCCCCATGCAAAATGCAAAATAATGGCTTCGCAACGCTGCGCTCGCCGTCGATCTATATGCAGGACCCCTTTGTTTAGGTTAGGTACATCATCTTTTTCATTCATCCGTCATATCTCATGTTACAGCTTCATACCCAAGTTTCCTCGTCGTCTCGTCTTGGCCGGCTATTCACCCTATATCAAAACCAAAGCAGACACACCTGCCACCCAAGCTAACGCCAGCACATCCACAATCCTACCCCTACTCTTACTGCTCAACGCCGCATTCGGCAACTCCTTCTGCACCGTCGCCGTCGCCGTGTTCGTCGATATCGTGCAGCTTGCCGCGCCGCAGGTATACCCCGAGGGACAGCATCCCGCGACCGGCCCGGCGTCTTCGCCGCATAGAAACCACCCCAAAGCACATGTCGCGGTGGGCTGTGCGCCCTCAGCTGCCTGCGCGTCGGATGCCGGGACCGCGATGGTGACTCCGCTGGAGATTATCGTCGTCATGGGCGGTGGCGCCGGACACGATGTCGTGCTGCAGTCGCGCCCGGTGCGGCAGCATCCGCCGCCTTCGCGGGCGAGGCACGCGTAGAACCCAGTTGGGCAGTAGGATGTTGATTCGGAGGGAGAAGGGGAGGTTACTGTTGCGGTGGAGGAGGAGGAACCGCTTGTGGGTCGGTAGGGCGGGATACCGCCTGTTGCGGTGATGGAGCTGGTGGAGGTGGGAGTCGCGCTCGCGGTGGTGGTCCGCGTCGTGGTACTAAGGACGGGGGCGCCGCCGTCGGAAGGCGTTACGGTTACGATTACGGTGATGACTTGCGTTGAGGCGGAGGGGGTCACGGCTACGGTGGTGGATTTTATGGTTGTTTGGGTGATGACGGAGACGGTGCTGTGGACGCCTGGGTATTCGTGTTGTGTTAGCTGTTATTTGTCTAGGTATCTAACTTATATTTTCTTCTTCTGTAGGCTTGAGAATCGAGTGGGTAGGTAATAGGAAGACTTACATCCGACGTCAGCGCATACGAACCCTGAGATGCAGCATCCGCCCCCTTGGTCCGCTGGGCAGGCTGAGGAGCCATCTGAGCATTGTCCCACTGTCACGCCGCATGTCTGGCCGTCCGGGCAACATCCTACGTTTCCGGCGTCGGGGGCGTTCGTCACGACGAAGCACTTGGTCCCCTGGGTGCAGCAGTAATTCGGCTGGTCGATGTTCTCGCAGCTATTAGTGTTATCAGGACACGCGAACTGGCGGCCTTGCAGCTTGGCTAGGACGTCGCGCGCGCGTTTATACAGAGACGGTCCTGAGTCTCCATTTTCTTTCCCTTCTACTCTTCCTCTTGTCCCGGCTCTATGGTAATCGTAGTGTAGCGGGTACGGCGGACGGAACGGGATCGCGGCGGAGCTGTTTCCGGCAAGGAGGAGCTCTGCTTCTTCTCCTTCGTCGCGGGGCTGTAGTTGTGCTGGTGCGAAGGCGTAGTACTCTGGTAAAAACATTTCGCCTTCGTCTAGCGACATCTTCCGGATCGCTGTCGGATGCTGCTGTTGCTGCGCGCGGAGCTGGGTTGCGACGGTAAGAAGAACGAGGAGCGAGGGCGGGAGGCGGCTGAGCATTGCGTTGGAGAGGTGCATTGTCGGGTTGGGTGCGTATGAGGCTTCACCGTCTTGGATATTGGTAATTATAAGGGAATTCCTTTCTTCTTCTGCTAATACCTAGGTCCTCTGGCCAAGTATGTACGTAACGTCAGCTGTCCTTAAACATCTGGATCGACGATAATTCGCAGATAGAGTTACACGTTTTTCGAAGCCGTGCAACGGAGATAATTAGATTAAATGAACGGCCGCCTTGGACGCCGGCCTTGTACTACCCGACGAGTATTATTCCGTAAATAAAGCTGTTTAATACATAAGAAAAGGGATTTTTTTTTATTTTTTTTGGATGGGACTTGAAAAGGATTATTATTTTCTCGGACCCAGTAACAAGTATCCAACAACAACAAACTCAACAGGGGTCGTTGGCCCAGCTGGGACCTCAGCTTGCGAGGGATCGACATGGGTCCATCCGAGTTCCATCTTTGACAACACATCGATGCCGAATTCACGATTTTCCTATTATGGAAATTTTAAGATTCGTATACATTTTTATAATGCTCGAATATTTTAGTGGTAAAATCAATTTTTCTCATCCACTTTTGAAAAAACTCTCAGGTGTAATAATCTGATGACTTTCCCAAGTGCATTGTAGGAGACGTTCTAGAACTCCTGAACTCCAGGTTCCTGCATACGCTCGTCCGTTGTTGTTAATGTACACTATGCATCTGCATGACCTGTAAAAGAGATAGCTTTGGAATAATAAAAAGACTTGGCATTATTTAATCGCTTATGGTTGATCATTGGTATCTTTTATTTCGAGCGGAGTAGTTGCATCTACGGCCGCTCCCGTATGTAATTGAACTCACGATAGAGAAGTCTCTCTAGCTATGCCTAACCTAATGTATGAGGTATGTTCTAATTACAGGGTGGAAGTTACCCCGTTGCCTCATTCCTCATGCATATGCCCAAGAATCCAGTCCATGAAGCCGGTATTGCCTCGTCCAGATATCCCATCCTTGTAGTACATAATAGCCGTACAAATGTCTCATAAACATTAGGCAACATATCCCGAATAATGTTAGAATTATAGACTCAGGCCTCACCACAGTTTGTCGGATTCATCGTCCTTGACCTCGAGAATCTTATCAAATTCTCCTCCGGTATGTTGATTCTTCAAGAAACCAGAGCATAGGATGGCCGTTGCGACGCTGACGTTCAGACTATCCACCATGGTAGACCCAGAATGGTTCGGTATTGAAATCTCGAAGTCTGCTACCCTTCTCGTCTTTTTATCAAGCCCCTCGCCTTCGCTTCCGACGACCAGGATCGTAGGTTCAGATGACAACGGGTCGTAGATGTCTAGCCTATCCAACGTGATGTTCTTACTTTCCCTAAGTCGACCGGTCGGTGCTACGGCGGCGTAAATAACCCAGCCGGCCTCCTTAGACTTGGTAAGGAAATCGAGTATAGAGCTTATTGAAAATAGCTGTGTGATTTCAGAAGCGCCAGCGGATGCTTTCACAGCTACAGATGTCAGAGTAGCTGTGTGCCCTTTTGTAATCCCAACAGCGTTGACTCCTAGAAATGCTGCCGATCGTAATATAGCGCCCAAGTTCCCCGGATCTAGGATGCCTTCTAATAGGAGAACAAACGGTTTACGGTTGGGTGGAAGGACGCATTTGACAAAGTTGGAGGTGCCATTTACTTGCGCTTCTTCAGCGGTCTGGTGAGCCAACTCGAGAGTAAAGCCGGTGGCCGGCTCTTCGGTCAGCGGACCAAGGCTCCTGATTGGCAACTGTGGCAATGGGGAAGCTTCGAGGATAAACCCATTGTGAGGCCGACCCTCGCTCATTTTATCCATCATGCGTAAGCCAGCAGTGTCTTTTACTTTTTTGATAGGGATGCCAGCTTGGCTTGCCTTTCTCTCTAAGCCAACAATTCGAGAATCAAGCTGTGAGTTGTCTCCATAGTATACATAGAGATTGTAAATTTGCCGTCGTGTTTCCTTAAGAGCAGCCTCAACTACCGAGTAGCCATACAAGAATTGAGATGCCGCAGTGGTACGTGGAATGCGAACGGGTCCATGATCATTTGATACGTTGGGCCGGAACGATGTTTGCTCATCCTCCTTGACTCCTTGTCGTTCTGTTGGAGGTTGAGAATCGCGGTCCCGCTGTTGAAATGGAGGTTGAGAATCGCGATCCCGCCGCTGAAATGGAGGTTGAGAATCGCGGTCCCGCTGTTGAAATGGAGGCTGAGAATCGCGATCCCGCCGTTGAAATGGAGGTTGAGAATCGCGATCCCGCCGTTGAAATGGAGGTTGAGAATCGCGGTCCCGCCGTTGAAATGGAGGTTGAGAATCGTGGTCCCGCCGTTGAAATGGAGGCTGAGAATCGCGGTCCCGCCGTTGAAATCCCGGAGTATCTCCACGGTCTCGAGTTGATTCAGTAGGTTTCCACTTTTGACGTGAACCCCTTTGCTGCCATGGCATCGATGGTTTTTGAGACTTCTTGGAACGAGGTGGGAACTGTGTTTTGTCCCTAAATGATTCCGCCCGGCTAGAACCGTAAGCTCCTCTCTCATTTAGTTCTTTCCTAGGTGCCCGTTCCGAACCGAATCGAGATGATGAATGCGAGCTTTCCGACTTGTACGGTGTATGACTCTGAGCTCTTGTTCTGTTCGCTCCCGTAGTTGCTGGAGCTGGACCCGAATTGAAATCCTTCATAAACTGAGCCTTTGATAATCCACCATCCTTTTCATCACGGGTAGATTTTCCCTTGCTGTTTAGTTGATATACTAGACTTTTCTTCCCGAATGGCTCGTTTGGATCATAGAAACGTGCTGCTCTCGACTTTGGTTCTGGACCCTTGTATGTAATATCCTTTTTGCCTTTCTTAACGTTGAAGGATGGTTTCTCTTGACGACTGTCCCTTCCATGCCGTTCTGTCCTGCTTGACTTAGCCGTATTTAAAGAATCTCTATTGAATCCTTGTGGCCTAGCCTTCTCTGAATCGCGCAAACCACGATGGATAGCAGAGAGGGAAGAAGAGCGAGAGTAGACATTGACAGGTCTGGGAAAGGCCCAAGTTCTAAGGAGAATATTATGTTTACTTCGCATACACGAAGCCTGTAAGGAAATCATCGGATGTCCTTGTCAAGTCCTCTCAGTGGTACTCTACCGAATATAGTACCAATAAATATGTATGAGCACATGAGCATGTGAAGGAGTTTGCAAGCTCAATAAAAATTTCGATGTATCCAAGTACCTTCCAGACTTATCTTATCGCCGATAGCTAGACAGCTAGCGGTTCCATAAAAATACCCTTGTATTTGCGGCTGCAATGCAACAAGGCTAAACCACGTTAAGGTTAAGTGCCTCGATTAACGCAACGCGTGAAGTAATTAATTCTACCGCGCGTTTTCAATTACTGGCAACGTCAGCATGTGCCTGAATTATATGCGATAGCTCTATTTATCGTCGTTTCTTAATGTCGTTTCTGTTGTGATCTTAAGGGGAAATGTGATTATGGCTTTGCATGACCCTGTGCCACCCTAGCAACCTGTTTGATTTCTAAAATTCACGCATCGCAGCTGGCAACTGCCAATTGCCAACTTAATATTAGACTGCTAGACTGGGTACCCCTCTGACCTTTTGTTGCGTAAAACATCTCGACTCGACGACATGCATCTTCCTACTTTGTATCTATATCTGTAGGAATCTATGAGCGTACCTCAAGATGCAAAGCGACCAAGAAGACTCGACGGCCCCTGCGGCCCTTCAGGATGATGCTGTCATGGACGAAGTGCGCGAGCTGTCTCATCAAGACTTAGACTACGATGTACAAGACGAATGCGACGTGGACGATTCATATACGAAGGAAACCCCCAACATAAATGCCGAAGATAGGCAAGAACAAGAGGAGGATATACCCCGAGCAACATCTCGATTACACCCTATTGTGGTAGAGCTCCATCCACCACCGGATCCATCAATATACGAACGGATCTATCCGAGTCAAGCTGTGGAGAGGATTCTAGATGAGATGGAGGATGAGGATGGCGAAATATACTATAGTGTTGAATTCGAGGATGGGTATATAGAAGATGTAAGTGGTCTCTCTGTTCTTGGGATGCATCATCTACTTGTCGCATCCCCTTTGTTTCTTTAACCTCCCTACCTAAGGTTACCTGGTATACCTATGCTACTACTCTGGACTACCTCTATGGATACGTGGGCACCTGCGCCAACCTTCACACGGGCTACTTCCTTCTAGATGTGATTGCCCTAACAAACTGGAAATTACTCACGCTACTATCACTACGTATGGTACCTATGCGTATGCGTAGTTCAGCTTTCCTGCGCGTGCTACTTCCTCATAGTAGTTTACGCCTTAGGCTCTTCACCCCCAAATAAAACACTCACTCTTCCTTTTTACATCCCTCATTCTACTTCTCTTAATAGCAACAACATCGACAACAACAACAACTATCATTGTTCTTGTGGTTGGTACTTTAGGACACTCCCATCCAACATATACCATCCTCCCACATCCTACTCTTTTCATCCATATTCTTGAAGGGCTCGTTCTATCAGTCCGATCTAATGTGTACAGACATGCCTCATGGTTACTAGGGCTGCTAGTACAGGATGGTAGGTTCCCTGAGGTGGCTACACGCGAGGGATTACATACAAAGTCATTCCCGCCCTGTTTTGCAGGAGATGTTCATCCACATCACATCACTCTTTCCTTATTAATACACACGAGGATCGCACTTCAACTTTATCCTATTGTTTTTGAAATATCTGCTCCTTCTCATGCTAATTCTTTTTTAACTAGGTGGCATATGACGATATGCTACAGCTTAAGAACGGCCCTCGCGCTGCCCAGCAATTTCAAAGTCGAAGATTCAATATTGGCCAACTAGCCATGGATAGACAATCGGATAAGCGTCCTCCTCCCGAGGACGACTATTACGACTCGGAATCTTATGGCTCTGACCACCCTAAGAAACGGAAGAGGACATCCTCTCGACCTACTCGCAGAAGTACGCGACAAGCCTCCAAGCAGGCCTCTGTGCGAGCCTCTGTGGAGAATGGCCTCGAAGATAATGGCTTTGATGAGGAACTTGATGACATGCTCTCTGACAAGGAGTTCGAGAGTAGAAAGCCTTCAAAATCTCGCAGCTCGGCTCGACTCTCCTCAATAAGAGTCACTCGCTCAAAGGATCCTGCGTGGCAAAGCAAGCATAAACTAGATGACTCCGAGGATGAGTTGGCTCGGGGTCACAAATCTGACCAGGATGATGACTACGATTATGTCATTCCATTTATCCGTTCCGATATTGGCGGCGCCGTGAGAGCGTCATCTCGTAAAAAGAGAAAACTGAAGCGCATGCACACATCTAGCAGATACATCGACAGCGATTCGGAGATCGAATTCGAGACATCCCGAAGGTCGAAGAGGTCAACTAAGGCTTCAAAGAGCATGCGCGACCCCGAGATTGACGATGAATACGATGCAGTCGACGATAAGCTCGATTTCGTGCCCAAGATTGCCGCAATCAAGGAGGTTTTCGAAGAGCGAGTTGAGCAGTCAGAGTTTCGACGAGCACACGCTGGAGTATGTGATGCTTGTGGATCTGTGTCGAGTCATGCAAAGGGTTCCCTTATCCCATGTCAGGGATGCTCTTATGCATTTCACAAGCAGTGCATCGGTCCGAGATCTCAACGTGACCACAGAGTTACTAAGGTCGGCCCAAATGACTTCGTGTTGCAATGCCGCTTCTGTATTGGACTACATAAGAAGAAGGACGTACGTGCTCCAAGTTACTCGGTATGCCAGGATTGCAAAAGTCCCGGTGTCTCATGCGCGGAATTCTCACCGAAGAGAACTCCAAAACAAGAAGAGAAAGCTAGACTTGAGAATGGGGGAGAAGACCCAATCACATTTGTCCAGCCTAGTCTACTCAACAATCCTGATAATGTATTATTCCGATGCCTAACTTGCAGACGCGCTTATCATTTTCAACATCTGCCTCAACTAACCGCAAACCCTGACGAGAATCGCTTCGACGAGTACTCCTTGGCCGGATGGAAATGCAAAGACTGCTTAGACACAAGACAGGGGATCCACGCGTTGGTTGCTTGGCGACCTGCTGACCAGGATGCCTACATCAAGGGCCAGCAGGCCGATGAGTTTAGCGAGGACGAGATGGAGTATTTAGTGAAATGGGAGGGGAGATCTCACCTTCACGATACTTGGATGCCTGGAGCTTGGGTTTATGGCATAGCTGCGCCTACTATGCGCACCGCATTTCATAAGCGCGAAGAGAACGACCTACCCAAGATGACCATTGAGTCTGCAGTTGAAGAGGAATGGGTTTTGGCCGATGTCCTCCTCAATGTGAGATATAAGCGTGGTTCTACTGCTTCTTCCAAGGCCCAAGATTTAAATCGCATCTCTGAAATCCAATCGGTATATGTAAAGTTTCAGGGTCTCAGTTATGAAGAAGCAGTTTGGGATGAGCCGCCTCCTCGTGATTCGACAAACTTATGGGCTGCGTTCGCAGCTGCATACGATGAATTTCTCACCGGCAAATACTTCCCATCTGCTAGAGATCAGAGAATGCGCGAACGTATCAGTAAATATCGATCTCTCGACTTCCAAGAATCTTGCGAGCTGAAAAGCCAACCCCCGGGCCTCAAAGAAGGCCGTACGCTAATGCCATATCAAATGGAGGGCGTCAATTGGCTACTTTATAACTTCCACCAGCAGCAGAACGTCATCCTCGCTGATGAGATGGGGCTTGGCAAGACGATCCAAATCGTCTCTTTTATTAGCACCCTCGTCCAGGATCAGCCCAAGTGCTGGCCATTTCTTATCGTCGTACCGAATGCAACTTGCCCCAATTGGCGTCGCGAGCTCAAAGATTGGTCTCCCGCGCTCCGAGTAGTAACATATCACGGCGGCAGAGTCTCTCAGGATCTAGCTTTTAAGCATGAACTTTTCCCTGATGGGGTCAAAGATGGAATGAAGGCACATGTCGTGATTATGTCCTATGAGGCGGCCAGTTCAGTGAAAACTACTTTTCAAAGTGTTAAGTGGGCTGGCTTGATCGTAGATGAGGGCCAGAGGCTCAAGAATGATGAAACGCAGCTTTACAGGACGTTAGTTGACATGAATATCCCGTGCCGGATCTTATTGACGGGTGAGTGGTGACAGGTAGTCATTTATATGCTCGAATATGCTAACGCTTAATAGGTACCCCGTTGCAAAATAACAAGAAGGAATTGTTCACCCTTCTTCAGTTTATTGACCCGAAGAATAACGCTGAGGCACTTGACGCTCAATATGATGAGCTGACAAAGGAAAATCTACCAGAGCTTCACGACCTCATCCGTCCCTATTTCCTACGACGCACCAAAGTTCAGGTCCTCAAGTTCTTGCCGCCAATGGCTCAGGTCATTGTTCCTGTTACCATGACGGTGCTACAAGAAAAGTTGTCTAAGTCTATCATAGCTCGAAACCCAGAGTTGATCAAAGCAATCATCTCTAAAGGAAAGATGAAAGCAGGCGATCGCAAGAACTTGAGCAACATCATGGCGGATCTCCGACAATGTCTATGTCACCCATTCTGCTTCAATGCCAACGTTGAAGACAAGAATGTCAGCGAAGAGCAAATGCAACGAAACCTAATCGAGGCTTCGCCAAAGTTTATGCTGCTAGAGATGATGCTCCCGAAGCTCAAGGCGGGGGGCCACCGCGTACTAATATTCAGCCAATTCATACGTTGCCTGGATATCATCGAAGACTTTCTCAATATACTGGGTCTTCCGTTTGGGCGAATTGATGGGCAGCTAAGCGCTCTCAAGAAGCAGAGACAGATCGACGCCTTCAACGCTCCTAACTCACCACTGTTTGCGATGCTGTTATCGACTCGTGCCGGTGGCGTTGGTATAAATCTCGCCACGGCAGACACAGTTATCATATATGATCCAGATTGGAACCCACATCAGGATATACAAGCCATATCCCGGGCCCACAGGATTGGCCAGAAAGAAAAGGTTCTCTGCTTCCAACTTACGACCAAAGACACTGTCGAAGAGAACATCCTGCAGACAGGAAGGAAGAAGATGGCCCTCGACCATGCTCTCATCGAGAGCTTAGATGCTGATAACGACAATAGCGGTGACCTAGAATCAATCTTGAAGCGCGGTGCAGAGGCTCTATTTAGTGACAGGGACAAGGTGAAGATTACGTATGACTCGGCAGCCGTTGATAAGTTGCTAGACAGGAGCCGACTCGAGAGTACGAGTACGGATAACCAGACAACTGACAACCAGTTTTCGATCGCGCGTGTCTGGGCTAATGACTCGGGCACACTCACGAATGGCATAGACCAACCCGATAACAACCCGCCGACGACGGATGCGAGCGTCTGGGAAAATATTCTCAAGGCACGCGAGGAAGAGCATAAGCGCGAACTTGCCGCAAAACAGGAGGTGTATGGCCGTGGTGCTCGGCGACGTGGTACTCAAGTAAGATATCATTTGTATCTTATTTTATCTACCGGGACTAACAGCATTTAGGGTGTGGACTACAACGGCACTCGAGTATGTTACATTGAAGGCGTAGATGATTTCGATAACAATTCCCTAACAAAAGAACAGCGCCCAGAACCAGACAGTGGCGGCTCCGATATTGATGGAGAAGACGAACTTTACATCGACAATGACGTAGAAGACGATGACGATGAAGTATATATGGAAGAGGAAGAAGAATCAGCGGCTCTAGCAAAAAACAAGGGGGCTAAAGGTAAACACCCAACTTCATCAACATTACAAAAGTCACGAGCCAAAAAAGCCAAGATAATTAACACTCCCAACAGTAACAGTAACAGAGCACAGCCAGGGCCTAGAAATGGCAAAGCAAATAGCGACCGGAACCCTCGAGCCGCCACGAAAAGTTCGTCAGAGCATCAGCCAGACTCGGGGAGTAACTCAACTAGCAACTCAACCAGTACCTCAGCCAGTATCTCAGGCGGTGCCTCGACCAGTATATCTGGCGATGCCTCAACCATATCAGCCAGTACCATCGAACCCCAGTCAACGTCGGGCACAGAAGTCACCAGCCGGAATCAGTCGACCAATGCCGCAGACTCGAGTGCTACCTCCGCAAAATCCCCTCCAGCCACAGCCTCCCCTCCTTCACACTCGGAATCCTAACTTTGTAGTTTCGATCCCTCGCCGCGAGCAGCCTTCCCTTGCTGGCAATTCTCCTTCATCTTCGATTATTCCTCCTGCTATATCACCCTCCAAGGTATTAAAGTCAAATCAGGCCGTTGAGAAAGCAACTCGAAATCTCAATACTTCTTTCCGAGCTCCACCGACCTGTCCTACGGATAAAAGTGGCATTTGCCTCGTTTGCAAGGATAAACACCATATTAACAAAACTTGTATAGATTTCAACTCGGAGATCTCGCTGCGGCTCGCCATCGATACTCTAAGGACCAGTGGAGACGGGCCTGTGGTTCAAGCATACAAGGCACACCTCGCCAACCAGCTACGACGACTATCAGGGTCTTGAAGGACAATAACTTTGGACTCGTGGTGCAAGTCCGGGTAAAGAGGCACGATTCGTGGATTGACTTACAGCTAGTTGCCTCGATAGGCATAATTTTTGCTACATGCTTGTAGATAAGAGAAATCAGGTTCGTGTTGACTAGGCTATGGTATGGTATTAGCTAGGTAGGTAGTCAGACACATATAGCCCTTTTATACTACAAATAAAGCAGAAAGGAAATGAATAGCCATCGTTGATTTGTGATCAAGACATTTTAAAGTGAATTTCTAGTTGTCCAAGTGTTATACAGGCCGTTTGTCACGTGGGAAACACAAGACAAGAACTGCAGGTAACCGTAGATGCATTCAACCTTATTTGAGGTTTCTCAGCAAACGCCAGTGATAATAAGAGATATGTGCGTAGCAGAGTTGTGTGCGTACCTAAGGGTCTTCTTATGAATGTGTGTGCTTGTGTGTGTGTGTGTGTCAGCTTGCCCAACGGAAAATAAGTATTCTTAGGCTTTCTTACGTAGGTAGGTTTCCATGCATTCTTTTTAAAGACTTTCGTGCTTCTTATCAAAACTAGCCTCCGTTCTCTTTTTTTTTTTTTTCCTTCTTCTTTTCTTCTTCTTCTAATATTTCATTAAGAAATACTAACACCATCCTATCTAAAGATCCAAAGCCGTCTAGGATCGTGTTTTTGTCAAGACGTGCCTGGTGTTGTTGATCCAGTCTTACAAGGCTGTATAAATAAATACCCAGAGCGCGTACCCATTTCCTGGCCCGTTTGCTCTGATTTCTTTGATATTCATCTTCTTATTCTCAACATGGAAACGTCCTCTCCTCTCCCCACCGCCTCTGGCCCAATAGCCAACTCACCCTCCGACTTGTCTTACTCTTCAGGCGCTTCTCGCACTTCCACTCGAAACACGTCTCCTGATTCTACTGGTGCTACGGCTTCTTCTGAACTCGCGTCACAGCTCTTAGATCTTGGTTTGAATACCAATATAGAGCACACCCCCAACTCTCTGCTTGACTCTCAGCTTAAGATGATGGATCGAAACCCTTTCCAGTCCGTCAACGATCGTAGAAACAAGCTAGTTACGGACCGCAGCAATACAACCCAAATCCAGCAGCCTCAACAGCGACACTTTCAGCCTCAAACACTAGGTGCTGGCGTTCAGTCTCTGGGTATGGCGCCTAGAAGTCTTGCTTCGTCTAACTGGAGATCGCAGACAGCAGATGAGGCAGCACTATCAGCCCGTACTAGCGAATTCCCCTCGTTCGACCCTACTGTTGGCTATCATACACAACAAGCTTCTGGTGGTCGACACTCGTCGTACGCAAGTCCTCGTTCAGATCAGTTTCAGCAGCAACAACAACAACTACTCTCTAGTATGATGCCTTACTCAGTTGCTTGCAACGTCAACGACTTCCAGCTGGATTCCTGCTACGCTTACTGCTACGATCGAGGCAACGGCCAATATACGCGTCTGATCCCTGCTGATATGCTGCCTGCCTTGAAAGGTATTCCACCCCTAGAGCAGAACTCCTCAGGAATGCTGGTGTTGCCGCTACCACGAGGTCTGCCTTCAAACGGACGGTCTAGCAACACTAACCCGGTTATCCTCAGAGTAAGCTATCCAACTTGATAATAACCTTCTTAAGCTATGCTCTCTATTCCGTGTAAAAGGTGTACTGACTATCTATAGGGTCCAACGAATACCCCGACCTCGACTTCGGATAACATCCAGGTAAGCCCGAGTGTTTGCTTGAACTCTCTGCTTCGGAGCAGCGCCAATATGGTATCTATACTCTCCCTGTCCACCCAACTCCTTCAACAGATATCACTACCCCGCCAATAACCATATGTCTGGTTATAGCTCGACATTGGGCCAGTGCAAACGGGATCCCGTGTCTCAGACATCGGATATGATATGAGTCCCGATGATCCTACCCTTCCCTTTCACATTGTCTGACAATACCTATCCACTGCCCAGACATCCGTACTGAAGATCTCAACGCTAACCAGACTTCGCCACCACAGTCACGAATCGACACCATCGTAGCCTCGACGCCCCCAACGCCAACAAGCATGTCCACGGCAACGGGAGTTGCAGGCCTAGGCCCCGGATCCGCAGCCGGCGCTACGGGTATTTCTCTCCCCCAACACGCCCAACATCCGCACCAGCACGCCGGCCACAACAACAGCGGACATAACCACCCGCAGCAGCAGCCGCAGCGACGCCCCAAGATCTACTGCGACAAGTGGGTGCACGAGGGCGTGTGCGCCTTCACCCAGCAGGGCTGCAAGTACAAGCACGAGATGCCCTTCGACAAGGTGACCCAGCACCAGCTCGGCCTGTTCCACGGCTTCCCCGCCTGGTGGAAGAAGCACCAGGCCGACCTGTCGCGGCAGAGAGACGGTTCCGAGGACACGGTTAGGCTGAGCGGCGGCGGCGAGAGATTTATAGGACGAGGTGGACACTCGGCTATGACGAGTTCGGGAGCCGGTGCCGATGTTGCGGGCGTGGCGGCGCCGGGTCTCCCGAGTTGGCGCCGGGGCGCCGATGGGATTCCTACGGAGCAGAAGGTGGTGGGAACGGGCCGTGGTGGTATGGCGAGGGATATGAGAGGAGGAGGGGGAGGTATTAAAAACCCTTTTGGTACGTTGGATTCTGCAAGTCTAGGTACTTGGATGAAGTGGAAGTCGGTTTAACTAACATCTCGCCTTTTACGAATAGTGTCTTACTCGTCTCCGTTCGGACCCATCGCACCCCCGGCTCGGACCTCATCTACGACCCCGGCGGCATACACAGCCGATCTTGATACCGGTACCGCATCGAAGACGGGAGGAGCCGGGGGCAGCAATGGCGGTGTTCCGGCTACGAACCCGTACTCGTCTCTCGAGGCGCTGGAGGAGAGCGCTAATGGCAAGGATAGAGAGGAGGCCAAGACGTTGGCCGGAGGCTCTGGCGGAGCGCGCCTGGTTTGAAGTATAACTGCCCCGACGACGGAGTACGGCTTGGATGAGAATGCCACGGGATATTGTCTTCCTGGTTTGGAAAACTATGGGAAGATATTGGGGTAGTACTTGTTGTCTGCCATCAACGCTCATTCCCTGATCGGATCTTCTACTTGTTTACCCCTGTCCCTATACATACCACACCTCCCCTTTCGTCACGTGTAACCCTATGTTCGAGTACTTATTTACTGTCCTCATCCACACAGGCGTTCGTTTCCATCTTCTTCCCACCTCCATCCCAGCAAAAGAAAGGATTTCAACTTCCTTTCCTTTCCTTTTTCTCACGCACGCACGCATACATAGCATGACGACACGACCTAGACTGACGACAGGCGGCACCGCCTGCACGAGTTTCTCGCGAAACATGATTCACGACGACCCAACCCAGCCCTTACCCCATACTCGCTCTTTACTGTTTTCACTATCGGCGTTTTTTGTTTGCGTAGGGGTGGATGGATAGGTATGAGGCGTTAAAAAAAACAAAAAAAGCTTTGAAATGGTCAAAAAAAGAAAAAGGGGTTAGGGGTTAAGGGAATAGGGGGGTGAGAGGATATGGTGGCTGAGGAGGAAAAGGACCACGCACCATTGCCAATGTATAATAAACTAGCCCCTCGAGACGAGGCAAGGCATGAGACTGGCAGATATCCAGCAATGGATTAAATACTATGTGGCATTTTTCGGTTTTGCGTGTATGTCCTATTGGATGATTGGTTGTCCAAGTTTATGAGTTTGCCATGGTTAATGAATGAATGGATATAATATCTCTTTGCTGGCTTACTGTAATACATGCCTACCTACCTAAGGTATAAGCTCCATTTGTAGTTTAGGCTTCTCTCTTATTACTACATGCTTACGAATAATGTTTAAATATCTAGGGGCTAGTGCCATACCTATAGCTCCTACAACTACTGCGATATTGTTAATTTGACCAGTAACCATTACCTTTTATCGGGTAACTCGTAAGGGGCAATGTCACAGATATTAATCGCCCAGAGAATGTCAAATAGCAATACCCAGCAATTAACTATAAGTAAAGACACATTCCATCATGTTCCTTCTCTGTTTGCATCACAGCTGTTACCTATCCTCCTCGGATACGGTCATTTTTCCAGCTGCGCACTTTAGGCTCCTATGCGTCTAGCTTACTACCTATTTAGCCCATCATACAAGTAGGTCCCCCCCGTAGCCGTTACAGTATATCATGTACAATGCCACGTTCTATCATTCCTACCTCCGGGTGGCTCGGATGGCGAGTATCCCCCCATACCGTGACGAGATAGAATACTAATAGCAATATTGCTACGAACATCAGAGCTCCTACATCTTGTGAGTGTGTGGTCTCCTGCACGACAACGGAATATAGTGGGAAACCTACTAATTAAATAGCCCGGGATCCAGGGGAATACGTTGCGTAGTTCGAGGAGATAGGTACGGGTGGTCGTAACAACACTTGACAAATAAGTGTTACCAAACGCATCTGATCTCCCCAGCCATGGAAGTCTCTTGAAGATGGCCCTGGCATATGTTTCTTCTGCTGCCTCATCCGCTTCAAGCAGGGCGGTGTTGTGGTCTATGAGTTCCAGTAGCCGCTGTTTATTATAAGCCCTAGAGCCGACGACAAAGTCTCTGAGCGTTAGAGGCTTTCTTAAAAAGCTGGCTTGTATAGAAGGATTGTCGAACTTTAGTGACCCTTGTCTCCCCGTAAAAGGTATATGCTGGCCATTGATCTTTACAGCTATTTCATAACTCCCATGACTGTCTAGTTCGTCTTCAGGTATCGGTTTTCTATTGCTAGGATAATTAGAAAGGCGTTTGTGGGGGTGCTATACCTAGAGGACAAGGGATTCGTACCGACGTAATTGAATACGAGGATTGGCTCCATTTTCAAGCCATAGTTCCATTATCGTCCATCTACTTTCCATATCCACCTCTCTATAGATTACGTATTCTACATAATAAATCCATGGCATGGTAGTGTGGCATCCATGTTTCGAAACTTGAACTCTGGCTTCTGTGTCGCGCACATCACTCCCGACGAATCCATTTCGAAGAAATTCTGCTATGAGCGTGATATTACCGGATTCTGATCTTGCTCTGTAAGATCCATTCATGCAATACCACAACATATCAGATGCCAGATGACTCCGTTTCGGTAAATTATTCATCCTTTTCAACAGCCAGGGTAATATCGCAGTCAGGCCGAAAGAGGATGCCACTATCAAAAAAGAACAATAATAGGGGAGGTCAGGGAATAGCCTAGTGTGTGCATTGGATAGCCAAAACCCCGTAGGTGGCGGATTAGGGGCCCCAAACTGCAGTGTCAAGCATGTATCTTCAATTTGATCCAGTTGCCGCTCAAGTGAAGAATCCCCTACGAAGTTTAGCTTTCCGAGAAAGGCGGCGAGGGATTCTGTCCTAAACATATAATATAATCCATACTTTCTGTCAGCCAATTTGCCGCGGGAGAGGATGATCTCCCCAAGAAAAAGCTGACAAGCCCACTTTACTAATTCCAGTTCAGTTATGTTATATTTGAGCAGTTTGGTGTCGATATTATTCTGTAAGACTTCTATGGTGGAACGATGAGTGAAAGTAAGAACCAATGGTCGTTCAATTCCCCAACTTGAACGCGTCTCATTCGATGCTTCAAGCAAACCATTGAAGCGAGCATGGATTTGTTCTCCTGTATAAATATGCCAGTCATCTTTCTGTAGTTCGGAGTCGATCGAGCTAGGTTGTTGGGAACGCGGTCCCTTGGTATCGCGACTCAGCTTTTCTGACAGGTAAGATGCCCCTAGGATCGAAACTCTATTTGGGGGTCTCATGGAGGCATATTCATTGCTTATGGCGAGTATGATATATACCTCTTTTTGATGTACATCGGAAATCGAGTCGAGCATGTGCTTCAGGTAGTCGAGCAATGGTTTCGGGCGGGTGTCAATATATTCCCATACTCTGTTTATATCGTGGTCGGAATTTAGAAACTTGCGTACTTCTAACATCGCAAGTCGGACCCAGAGAAAGATACCTTCGGCTATGTCGACAATATGGTTTACCAGGGATTCAGTTAAACATCGACGATGCGAGGAATTATCGCAGAGGTTCCCTCGTCTTCTTTCGCAAGACTTTTGTAGCTCTGAAAATTTCGAATGTGTTTCCAAGCGTTCTGTAACATACGCTTGCATATCTTTCCTAGTAAGATTGTGCAGTCGAATCCTCTGGTGCCGCGAGACTGCCATGAAAGCCTCATATTCCCTACTGGAGATACAAACTTTGACCCTCATTCCTGATAGGGATATCCAGTTTTGGATGAGGCGCACCAAGTCGTGGTAGTCCTCGGCGTGCTTCTTTTCGTCAAACTCGTCAAGGCCGTCCATGAGTATAAATATTCTATATCGTTTTAAGATAAAGGGGTTGCTTATTAACAAGTCAGCTGCCCGAGATATTTCTTCGTGACTTAGAGTTGTAGTGGCATTTTTGTCCAATTCACTGCGATCAGGAAACAGTTGTTCCATGAGTTCTGGGGCCTGCTCCAGTGAAGACCTCAAGAGGGAGCATTTGAGACCCAATAAGCCGTCTTGATGGGAAGTAGACCAAAAGAAGTATTTCAGGCAAAGTAATTGTGAAGTGCCGGCCCATTTGGTTAGCAAGTCCTTCGTCAGTTCATGCTTCCATATGAATTTCATCAGCGTTGATTTTCCAGCCCCAGGCTTCCCGAGGATATGGAAAATACCCTCTCCATCGCAGAGCCAGTCAGTAAACGACATCTTCAGGTCTGGCTCTGCTTCAAAGAGCTTTTGTGGTTCACTAAAAATCCACTCGAAAGTGTTTGCGAAATTGTCGTGCACTTCATCATATCTTGGATTTGGTTGTGTGCCATTCTGGTATTTTCTGAGTTTGCCAAGGATCACGCCAAGTTTCTGTATATCCTGCGCACGGTAGCAGAGACTGAGGATTTCTTGGAACTGATCGTATAGACTGTTATCCGCCAAGTCTAGCTTGGATTGAACCCTTTCCAATTGTTGTTTAACTTCGTCATTCTTCACCGTAGTATTCTTGAGAATATCCAAAATGCGGTCGATTTGGGTCCTGTCTCAGATATTAACTCGGATCATAGGTGGATGGGGGGTATCAGAGGTAATTAAACGTTGACTCTCTAGTTTCAAGGGTTATACATACTTCATAGATGATGTTAGAGCCAAATGAAGTGTCTTTTGCCCCCTGTCCAAGTCGACTTCGAGGTCTCGGAAACTCTTCTTATTGAAGATTGATCTCACTGTCGCTTTAATCGCGCCCTTTATAGAGTGCGGTCTCTCTGGTCTAACTTGATTCAGTAAGGACATGATATTCAACGAGATATCTTGGCATCGGGCGATGATGATCTGGATACTGCCATCATCGTTTTCCGAAGTATAATTCAACTCCTCCAGCCTCTGCGAGCTTTCTTGGATATTCTTGAAAAGGTCTGTCATTTCCTCATTGTAATCGAGTAGACGTTCCTGTTCTCTTAGCAGTCCTGTCTTTGAATTGTAGGCCCCTTTGAACTTTCTTACACACTTGGTTGTACGATTAATAAGGTCTAACACACCGAAGAGGAGGCCTACTGCGGTGAAAGGATCCATAATGCCGCCTGGGCTTTCTGGGTCTGTTGAACTCAAATTTTCGAATATTCCTAGTACTTCTAAGTTAAGTCAATAAGTCTTTATAAGTATTTAAATCAACGGATGAAGGCCTTATCGTAGGCTTTAAACTAGACAGCTATTCCACATCCTCACGAAGCATATCACGGTACGGAACGCCGCGTTGTGCAAAAGTGAGGCTCGCTGCATATCGGTCGGTGGGTAAACTTGTAAATTGGTGATCGATCCCTGTGTTTACGATATGCTGTGATACTACACCTAGCGTTTGAGGTGTGTCTATGATCGATCGGTATTGATTGAAAATGAACGATATTTCGCTTGCTTCGAATATCCGAGGCAATATCTAAGAGGTACGAGATTATCTTTAACTTTTAAGGTACATTCTTTTCTCGAGTATAAGATACAATAATAAGCTGAGTCACTGTGGCGCGCACTAGAAAGAAGTAGCTCTAAAGCTCCACCAATCACAGCCTTTATAATATCCCAATAAGGCAAGAGGGGGAAAAGGGGGGCAACTAAAAATCACTATGCTCTATGTAAGAGCGCCCAAGTGTAAAGAGAAGGCACAACAGCAGCGCCAATCCACGGTCGCATAAAGCAAATTCATACTGCATAATCCTATATCCACTTACATCTTAGGGAACACTCGCATCGATGCAAGCCACTTTCGCTACTGCTCGAGGCCGAACACGATGTCGGCCAGCCGCTGCTAAGTCCGTCGTTCGTTACATATTAGGGTTTCTGCGACGTGATACGGTGTCTTGATGGTAACAGCCGAGCCGTTCGTTATCTTGTTTGCTTGGCTGTAGGACCAAAGAACGAAATGTTATTTATTAGAGGGGTTGACTGTTTCACCTATTAGCACGATATGGTATGGTTCGGCATGAAAAGTTTTATTGGACTGACAGATTCTGCCTACGAGCACCGTGATAACAGGTACCTAGGTATCTAATGCAGAAGGGTATGGCAGTGAAGCACCTATGGAACGCGGGTTCTAACTTAAAAGGTCATTATCATTTCGTCCTCATGAGGCTAAGCCTGGCATTATGAGCTCACTAGAATTCGAAAGATACCTCTTTACAGCACAGCATATGTTGCACTTTTTCACCATTTTTTTTTAATTAAAGAGTCGGGATACGTGGCGACCTGCTATATAATCTTATGGATTGAGGTGGCTGGAAATAAATATATCATCCTGTGCCATGATAGGCTGACGGCGAGGCAGACTGGCTGCGGCCGGAGCTTGTATAATAGATGTTGTGCGGGGTTGGGTAGAAAATGGATTCACCTCCATCTACATGTAAATCCTTTCGTCTGTGCTTTATTCCCTTAGTTAGGTACTTTTTTGTTTGAATATATACTTTATGCTCTATCTGGGTGTAATGGCGAGTACGAAGCACCCTGTTACTCGTTTGTTATACCTTGAGGAATATACTATTGACTGCTTATACTTAAATAGGACGGTTCTAATACAGGTATTTTCTATCTCCTATATAAATCGATAGCATAACAAAAGTATTCATCCTTGCCATATACAGAGGATTCTAACCATGTAACAACGATATCGAGAGCGCGACATACCGAAATGGCCCCTAAACAACAACTTTGCGACGAATGTCTTTAGTTAGACCTTACGCCGTTTTTTAAAAGTGAACTGGCAGCCGGTACTGAACACGGTTATTATATGACAGAATATTCTATTCTCCGAAAAGGACCAGGGAGCCAACCTAAATCCACGGGCTGTGCCGTATATACTAACATTCTGGGAGAGTTTACTGCGCGTGAGTTGCGGTACGATAGTGATTCCCTTCTCGCTCTGGTAGGCGTCTTAAACTACCTGCGGAGGACCGACGCATGCCTTAAGCACGTCTGGGGCATCCCCTGGGATCTTAACGAGAAGTATAATAGTGACCTTCGGGGCGGTTCCATGTTGGCGTGCGACATTTTCGCTACGGGACTCTGTTGGAGCCACGTCCGGGACTGTTGGGATGACTCGGTGAAGCCTAGACGAAAGTCCGCGTTCCCTAGCCACATAACTCCTACTTCCGTGCCCCCGTCCTGGACTTGATCTGGGTGGGCTGGCCAGGTGGAATGGAGAGGTCGCAGACCCAATGGTGTAGACACACCCTATAGCGTAGGGATTATCAGGTCCGTGATACCAGAGCGTCGCTTTTATCGACAGGACCAACATGGTAATATATTCACGATAAGCGCCATGGCGGAATCGGGCGATCTGGGGGACATGTTTCACTATCCGCTTCTATACATTAAAACTTGGGTGATATCTCCTGACAAGATCGACTTCCAAGAATGCCGGGGGTTGGGAGAATGGAAAATATACAATTATCATGTAGATCAGGTGCGCTTGTCGGAGGGAGTAGATTCAGAAGCCGAGCTAGCGAAGGAGTTGAAAAGAAAAGGGGGCCGGTGGCGTTATGTTATGCTGGGAAATCTTGACGCGATAGAGATTGATGAAGATGAAGGGCGTTTTAGTGAGTTCCTACTAATCCTCAGGAAGGAAATAGGCGACGATTTGTGGGTACGTGTTGGCATTATGGTATTTGACTACTCTAAGGTATCAGATATGAAAGAGCCGACTAAACGTTTCCAATTTCCTCCAGAGGAATATAAGATGAAATAGAGAATTGTCAAATTAGCCAGACAGGTAGCTGGGTAACTCCAGGAAAGTCGGCTTTCTTGTATTCGTTAATGAATGATACGTCCAAGGCACATATCCCAAATAGTAAAATTTACTCTCGTTTGATAACCTTGGGCATAATCTACGCAACCATTCCGCTTTTCTTCGCGCATGGTTGAGGGAGCAAGAGGAGAAGTTTCAGGCAACCAAATACACGAACAAAGAGATGATTTTTGCCATTACTAAATATCCAACGCCTCCTCTCACCCTATCCTATCCTATCTCCTATCCTATCTCCTATCCTAACCTAGCCCCGCACGAGAGCGCTCGGGAAACCAACAACATATTCAAAAGTAGACATCTTTGAGAGGGGAAAGATAAACAAGGCTCGAGGGCCAGATGACAATATATCGCTCGCCCTATAAACAAGACAACATCCGCCAGAGGATCCGCTAAGTAGCAACAGTATATAGCCCAATATGTTATACCTACCCCAAACGCCATGCTCCAATGCCGCCATCGTCGTTAACATAAATCCCTCGCATTGTGTATCATGCACGATACGCCGTAACCGAGAAGTATGAAATCTAAATGCAGCAACGATAATCTAAAACTTGGACGTAAATCAAAGGCTTCGCTTCCCAGCTGGGTTACCATCTTCATAAACCCGATAGCCCTCTTCGGCATCCATCAACGCCGGCTGATTGCTGGGATACTCACTTGGGACGCTAGAACCCTGACTCATATTGTCGTCGCTCATAGCGTCGTCATCCTCGTGGATATCAATGTCAGGATCGTGGTTTTCTACGTCTTCTATGCCTCGCCATACTTCGTCTTCCTGACCACCATGCAATTGACCATCCTGCCAGGACTCCTCGGACTCTCTCTGGTGTGAAAAGTCGACCATAGGGCTGTCATCGGCTGAGTCGTCATCATCGTCCTCGTCCATAGATTCTTCGCCATCGTGGTGTTCGGTCCCGCTACCGCTTTCTCCCGTATCACCACCGTCATCGACAATGCCTACGCTACGACCGGCCCGTCCTTCGAAGCCAGGAGCATTGCTATGCGGTGTAGCATAGAATGGTGTCGAATTACGAGCAACAAACGCTTCGGGCACCGGGCTGGGCGATGCCGTACTCCAACGCGGCGTGTTTCGCGGTCGGACCGATGGGGACCGAGTGCTCCGGCGTTTTGCGATGGCTGCGATATGTCCCGTTGCAGGAACTAATCGGACGACTTGTGGTGACGGACGGCGCTCGTATTGGTGAACATATGATGTTATTCGCCGTTTTGTTTGGATAGGTGATTCAAGGGTTGGTGCTGTTGGTGGCATAGAGTTTGTGCGAACATGAGGTGGTCTAGAGCCTTTGCGTTCTCTGAGCATTGCTGGAGATTTAAAGCGGGAAGTGGAACGATTGGTTCCAAGAGAAGGGGAGGGTCGGGCAGTTCCCGTGAGAAGACCCGGGGCCGGCGACATAGACATCCTATGCCAATTACGCTGTGCTGCTTGTCGGAGACTAATAATAGGTTGAGATGTATTGGTGCTTGAGGGATGCTCGTCGAGATTGTCATTCCACGCCCAACAGTCTTCCATTGCATCTGCCTCGGGAATTTCTTGACAGCTACTTTGAGAATTCGCGTAGACGCGGCTTAATTCTCGCAGCCTCTGCCAATTCCACCCATTATCGTACGCATCTTGATCCTGAAGGTACGCCTCGGGATGAGTAATAAAAAGACGTTGAGTGCCGGTTGCCTTCATGACAACGCTTGAGCGTAGGAATGAAACGTCCCACGTCACCGGTGTGACCATCTCAGGCGGTGATAGGAACCGCAGTCTTGAATCCTTATGTATTTTGCGCAAAGGTACCCATGGCGACTGGAGACCCAGAAACTTGGTTACGCGGTAGTGTTGAGTCGAACCATGATGAACATTTGCTTGCATACGAGAGAAGGTACGGAACAAAGTTCCGAATGCATCACAAATAGCTTGATGAACGCTTCGAGCATCCGAGCCGCGAATAGTCACGTTCTTAACAAGACCTCGACTCTTAAGCCGTTGTTCAATAACACGGTTCGGCGCACAGGCCCGAGCTAGCAGCCACTCTGACTCAAGCTCGGGCCCGGCCCAATCGTTAAATTCAGCAGACTGAGATTCCAAAACGGAGGAACTATTAGGCAGCTGCGTCCACTGATCGGGTTCAACACTGCTGCCTGGAGTGCGTTGGCTCGCGTAGTCGTGGAATTCCATCCATACACTCTTCAAAGGGAAAGGCAGAAAGATAACTTCAATCTCCCATGGGCGAGTATAGGATGGGAAGGACGATAGGCCTTGCAGTTGACTTAACTGCGACTTTAGGGCTTGAAGTTGACTGTAAAGCTCCGCACGGCTCGCCACGTACTCGCTTCCGACGGTGGAAACGGACGCTACACTGGTCATAGACTCGTTAACATTTAGGCGCCGGGCGCGATGATCAGAAACCTGCGTGCCATCGTTAATTAACTTTTCGACTTCTTCCACGCGCGACTCAAGTTCAGTTATCCTCAGGTCACTCTGATCGTGCTTCTCATCACAGCCGTCATGGCCAACGACCGAAACCGATGGATTCTCGAGCCGATCCAATCGCTGTTCGTGCCCTTGAACAGCGTCGGACAATTGCCTGATTGCCTGTCGATCGAGTCCAGGAGATAAGCTCTGCCTCTCGGTTATATCTTCATGTCTACAAGAGCTCGGGGTATTTGCGACCGTTTGTCCATCATCCAAGGATTGATCCATATTAGGATCCATATTGGGCTCAACAGTATTCTCCTCCGGTGGGTGGATTTCATCCTCCTGTTCTAGAGGAGGCTCGCATAACTTGGATCTGACACCACTTAGTGTCCCTAGTCCTTTCCCGGCAAACGGCCGCAGATATCCTACTCTGGCAGACGATGTCGTAGAGCTCGGCTGCGAAGAAATTAGGCATTGGCTTGGGATTGGGGGCAGTTGGCTTCCTTCGTCTGGCTCAGATTGAATTAGGTTGGTCCAACTTAACGTATCCGGGATAGAAGGTGGTGGTAAGGGTCCCGCGACCTGATTCGGTACCGCGTTCTCCTGGTCCGCGAGATTTGAAAAAGGGAACTCATTGAACGTATAAAAATCTATATTTGGATCCGCTGGCGCCGGCATCTTGAAAGATAGATCCGGTACTACTGGTGTAAGGGGCTCCCTACTGGTCCTAGGCCGCTCATTTTCCTGGCCTTTGTCCACGACGTCAGTATTAGCTGTGGCTGCGACAGGAGGTTGACTATCGCGAATATCATCGTGAAAACAGGCATGATGGGAACACATGCACCAAGCAGATTCATCGGATCCGGTATTTCCATTAGGGTATCCAGGAGCATACGCTGGGGAGATTCCTACCGAGCTCCCTCTGCTTGTCCTGGGCGAGAAAGCGCCGCGACTCCAGAAGCGACGGCATCCACACTTAGGTCCCTGGGCACCGCGAGTTAAGTCCACGAAATTGCATGGTCCACCGGGAAGAGATGGCGAATTGGCAATCATATGCGCATCGCTATAGATATTAAAGAAAGGGCTGTTTGGTAATGACAGGTCGGGGATGGATCCTGCCATTGGGTTGAGCGTTCCTCGGTCCAGGGCATCGAAGGGAGAGAGAGAAGATGAAGCGACAGAGGAATTGATGAAGGGGGATGGTTCGGTATTTATTCTCGATAGCGATGGGAGGTGTCGGGAGCCTAGGCGACCCTACCGGACGCGGCTGGGTCGCGATCCGAAATATCTAGTACATGGCACTGCTCCTGATGTTAGTGTGAGCTTGGGAAGCTATCGTTGGTTACCAATCCAGAGTCCTTGGGTAAATACTAACCGTAGGAAAAAGGAGGAAAGGGGGACAACAGGCTGCGATGATCGAGGAGAGGTCGTAATTTATGTACAAGAGGCAACAAGCGAAGGCGCGCGTACTACCGAAGAGCAATGCGAAAAGCGAACTTGAGGAAGGGAGATTATGGATTTCAGAATGAGGCGTCTAGACAGGATTGGACCGAAGTTGATGGTGGGGGGAAAGGATATGGGTGATGGCACTACGCAAATGGAGTCGAGGCGTAAATGCGGGTTGTGATAGCTGTGGAGAATAGGATCCAGCAATGTATGCAACTTGATATGTAGGTAAGATGCAGTGAAACAAGTAAAAGTTATGACTCGACGCAGTTCGTAGCTGCAAGGGTGTATGAAGAATCCCCGTTGTTAGACGTTGTAGACGGCACAAAAATATTTGGGTGAAGCGGGAGAAACCAGATAATTTCCAAGTAATAGCCCAGGCAGCTTCTTGGGAGGAATGGAGGAGTTTGGGGGTCCATAGATTAGGTACGTATTGAGTACTTTCCTATAATATCATTTGCTATACCATAGTTCCCACTTCCAGTTGCAATGCCCACTTTACGCGTTTCCCTAAAAGAGAAAGGAGCGAATAAGAATCGCCGAGCCAGGCGCGACCGTCGCGTGTTAGGTGAAGCGGAAACACGCTTATTGGATGGGAACATTTAGAGATCCCTGTTAAGACATACGTTCGTACCAGAACAACGTAAAAGTATCCATAAGAGTTTCTACTCTGAAGCCACCACCAAAAACATATATAAAAATTTGAGATCTATCACAAAAAGTTACATCTTACTTGTTCTTTCCATTATCGACCGCCTCATCGAAAACCCAGCCAAAAATAGGACCGGTCAAATGGGTAACAATTTTTTCATGCAAGCTTGAGCTCCAAGCCAGACGCCTTGCTTAACGTCCGCCCCGCGAGCAAGCTACCCCCCGTCCCAGAAGACAGACATGTCGACGTCCAAGCGCGTAGACGTATCTTCGGAGTCACTATAGCTGTTGATATACATCGGGCGTTCTGAACGGCCAGGACAAGGATAAGCTACTTAAGCTAGCTTAAACATTTGAAGCTATCAACGTCACTAAAATAAATCAATTTAAATCTTTGATTGGCCAATGGAAGGTATAACGCTGGCCTATCCGCGAAGTATCGGCTTTTTCTTTTTTCCTTTTGTTTTGAGATAAGTACAAATGATATAAATATGGTGGTAGTAGCAGTGGTAGTGGTAGTGGTATCTTATATATATGAGATATGCAATATGAAATGTAATGCGGTAAGTTGGACCGACTTTAAATCGCCTCGTAAAAAATGCCATGCAACCGAACCCAAACCCCAAGCCCCGTAAACCCAATGATATACATGACCCGTCACAGCATAGCTCGTTCGGACTGGTACCTATATATTCAAAAAAATTTCTCGTCACATTTAGACCTCGCCCCAACTTCCCATAGGCCCTGTCGTTGCGATCATCGAGCCGGTGCCGACAGAACCGCCGATGTCCCAATAATGCCGAGATGATGAGGCGCTACTCTTCCTAACGGATCTCCGCGTGCTTTGGCTAGCGCAGCTCGACGCATGCTTGAACAGGGGACTTGAAGGCACGGTTGTCTTAGACTTGCGCCTTTCTACAGTGCGCCGCCCCGACATCAACGGGTGGTGTTGACGCACCCGCGCAACCTTGGCGGCTGCGTCTTGGGTGCTTGATGGTGCGATGCCAGAATTGTTAGAAATCATACCATTGTTGCTAGATCGTGATGTAAAGCGCGAGCGAAGATAACGGAACACAAGCCTTACATCTAGCTCTTGTTCCCATTCTTCCTGTGTAAACGCTAGCGCAGAACTATCTGGTTGCGATTGTGATTGCGTATTAGCTTGACCTGACTTCGTCGGTTGTGTTACCTGGGATGTGTTGATAGGTTGCGCTCGTGTAGCCAATGTTGGCTGGAACTCGGGGACGGCCACGGACGGCTCTTCTGTCCTCGCGCTGGTTGTGGTGTCGTTTACAGCCTCCGGTATGGGGGGTAAGCCTGCATACGGAATAGGCATTTGCTGTACCCGACTGAAAGTCGAAAAGGCTCCGGGATGGTCAGAGAGCCGGTGAATAAGTGAACCGAGCTCTTTAGCGACCCGCTCCAGCATTTTGAGCTGCCATCCGGAATCTGTGGCGTCTTTCATGCTAATATCTGTTTGTTGAGATATAGGCACCGATGATAGTTTTGGCGTCGAGGGGAGGTCTTCTTCATCCGGCAATTCCTCACCGAATAAAATTGAGAGTATCTTGTCGTCAATTCCCAAAATGTCGCGGACAACTTTTCGAGTGATGCGCCCCCAGATGCTCTCTTCATCTGCCCCTTGCTCACTTCCGTCGTGATCGTGCCATTCTTGGCTCTGATCTACTGCTCCACTTGACGAATCGTCCAGACCGCTCATTGTCACCGCATCGTCGTCCTTTTCTTCTATGTGGTTGGGTACCGACGCACTGGTAACGGATCGCCGCCTCCTCCGCGTTTCTTTCTGGATCTCCTCTAGAAGGCAACGGCTTTGTTCCAGACGCCATGCTTCTATCCACTTCATCTTGTCCATTTCACGGGTCTTCTCATTTTCGGGTTCGATCTGATTCAAGTCTAAACTTTCGAGTCTCGTCACGCGGTGAGGATTGTACTGTTCGAATGCGTAAAGTCGCTCCTGCATGTCGGCACCCTGATCCAACCGAAACATGCCGAGTCCATTATGACCAGGGACAACAGGTGTTGCATAAGGATGAGCCTGTGGCGGGTCGTAGAAGTTAGGAGCGGAGCGAAATTCAGCAAGATGGCCGTCCAGGCTATCTAGCTCGGCATCGTCATCTTCATCCACCGCATCAACGAAACTCGAAGATTGCTGTCGCCCAGCACTAGGACCCGACGGCGCAACTGTACCAAGGCTTCCAACTTCACTCAGCCGCGAACGACCCGGTGTGCTATTGGTCTTATGGGTTGAAGTTAAGTAGGACGTCGAGGTGCCGGCATCGGTGGGGGGCGAGAAGAGAACCCAGGTCTGAGAATCTTGGACAGCTTGAGAGGCTGTCGGAGGTAGTTGTGGCGATTCTTCATCTTCAGGTGAAGGACGAAAGACCCGCTGAGTGGCCTGGCGTGTAGGTTGCTGGAAGGCCATCTTGGAAGAGGAGGTAATTCAAGGCTGAGGTTGATAGTGGATATTCACAATGTATGACGAAAGATGTTTTACTGGGAAGGATCCCAGTTCGATCTTAAATAACACACAATGCCGGCGACTAGCTCCCGTGTTGGGATAGGATTGTTGTGTCAATTATATAGAGCGGCTTGGGCGGCGGCTTGAATACGCTGCGCTACGTAGGTTTAGTTTCAGGATTGAAGGACAAGTCAAAACAACCAGACGATGAACGGCTGAGGGGCTAGGAACATGGGTGAGGAGAGGCTACACGTAGAAAAGGTCCGGTCCTGCAATCTATAGAAAATGGGTGGGCGGTGTCGACTGGAAAAGGGATTAGAGATAGAAAATCATGGGAAAGCATAAGAAATCAGGGCGGGATGCAGGTGTGTGACCTGTCCGATTGGCGGCCGTAAGAATGTCTAAGGGACCAGTCGATGATCCCAGGTCGCGTGGGACGTTTTGGTGGTTGTTGCAATTGGGGTACAACTTTACCTCAACGTCGAATGCAGAAGCAGAGGCGCAAAGGAGAGCGCATAGAAAAACCTAGTACAAAAAATACAAAAAATACAAAACCCACCCCACCGGTCTGCTACCTCCCCCCATGCAATCAGGCAATCAGCCACCCAACTGCATGTACATGGTACATACCACCACCACCACCAATTGGATCACCCAATCTTGGAGGTGAACAACACACAAGATACGCTAACTAGCGGTTAGTTAGGCAAATATGATGCCATAGGTTAGGAGCTAGACGCTAGACGGATTTAATAAATGTATCTCGCGTACTTAAGCCGTTCGATAGTAAAGAAAGGATCGCAGAAATAGTCATAATTAGGCCAATTCCAGCTCGAATTAATTACCTTATTCTGGCTCTTTGATGAGTCGCTGCTGCTATGCTGCTATGACTTTATCACTTGACCCCGTCCGTACCTAAAGGTGCAATAGTGAGGTACCTACTTCAATACCGGTAGATTACGGGTCTTCCCGGACTTCTGTTATCGTAGTGGGGTTTGCGGTGCTTATCTACCCGGTATTGTACATAGGTCCACTTTATGTAGTGTACCCAACCTTCTATAGAACGTCTGAACGGGCAGTAAGCGATCTGGGCTTCTCCCTGCATAGGTACTTTATACATAGAACGAACGAACTGATTACACGACCTCTGATAATAGAAACCGTTATACGGATTACAACCCTCCTCATATATTAGATTTACTTATTATATCAAACGTAAGCACCCCTTATACCGTCGTCCGATCGTGTCAGCCTCATGTTTTATTATAGAACTTGAAAACTCTCAGGTGCAAAATCTGACTTACACTACCAAGTATAGCATCAAATGACAACAAAGAGTCAGGACATGGACCTGTGATCAACGCCAATGACGCGATAAACAGGTGTAGTCTCCCATCTCATACATTAATCTACTCACATAATACCTTGACAAGTATTACTGTTCCTATATAAGTACCTCATAATGTACTTTCAAGTCGTTGACTTCATATAAAGATTAGCGCCACACCTACCTAAGTATTAGATACTTTATGTAAATCGCTCAATAATCTCTAAGCCACTTTAGTTGGGAAGATATTGCTTTAATCTGATACGTAGGTAAATAATCATTGCGTATTGACTACGAGTCGTCTGCGCACAGAAACCCTTAGGAGTCAATAAGATGGGTCAAAGAGGCGAGGCAGCTCAAGACGAGGAGTAATTAACCCAATCATTCTCGGATGGCGATGATACTCCCAGCCGTACTTATGTTCAAAGCCTCGCATGGGATGAAAGTATCTAATTGATTTTTAAGATGCCGATTTCCCGGGGGAACGGACAAGTCTCAAAAGATTGCCGCCGAAGATCGGGCCCGTCGTAAAGCGCGACAGCGGATACGATGTATGTAGGTCGAGAGCCAGATCCCGACTACATACGTACACACATACATACATAGCATGTCACCCGCAGACCTTTGGGCCGTGAAATAATTGCACGTTAAGGCTTCCCATTACCGACGGACTACCAATAACACGATGGTTCCTGGAAAGCTTTGACAACGCTTTACTCGCCTAAAGCCCGAATAAACTTAATGACGACATGGTTTACGTCTGCGTCGTACGACGAGAGGAAAAAAAATTGCGACAGGTCAAACTGCGCCGTCGTAAGTTTGTTGACTACCTACACATAGTGTCAACGTGGACCTGCGTATGTCGTGAAGGTTCCACCTTTCCTTTAAAACAATGCGACCGGCGCCCCGGCAGCCCGGCGGGTCAAAGTACAATACAGCAGGTCCTCAGATCAGGAGGGGCCACCCAAATCTACATAGGTAACGAGCATAACCGTTCCTGACACAAGAGGGGAACCGCCACAGCCTCATTCATTGGAGATAGATCCCCGCGAAGGTTATGAGGCTTCTGAAGCCCTACGGCGGCGGCTCGTGCTGAGTGGAACCCACGAATTGGAAATCTAATTGGTCTCCTCGAAACCGATTGGACGTGGTTTGTTGTCTCTGGGAAGACGTGGATACGGTGATCTGTCAGTGGAGAACGATCCGGCGAATGACAGCAAGCCTCCCCGGAGGATTGGATATCACGAATGTTCGTAATGCGGTCACCGACTCTATTGCGACCAGTAAGGAAAATGCCTCGACGCCGAGGAGGTTGGTCGAACACTTACTTAGGCTTAACCACAGGAGAATACTATAATAGGTTCAAGACGCAGTTCAAATCCATATTTCAACGAGACCCTGCGTCGTCTCCCGAGAACAATTCCCAAGAGCAGGTCCGTCTAGAGAGGAATGAAGTGCATACCCACGTGGGTGTGGCTCTCCGCCGAAGACTCCTCATTCCCTAAAAATGGAGCTACTGTAGGGAGAAGTGGGAGATCTCGAGAGCTGTAACGTAGCTGTGAGTGGGCTGAAAGAGTAAGTGGCAGTTATCCAACAGGGGGTCCAAGCAAGGGGATTTCATATTAGACATCTCGAAATAGACGAGAAGGATTCGTTCAAATGACGCCACCGATTCTATGTCGGGTACTCTAGTAGGTATATCAAACAAGATGGGATGGACACCGTTTTCGTTTACCAAGTCGTAGCGGGTCATTGGACACTTGACTTCTGTAACATCGAGGACCAAGTCGCTACGCGATCGCCACTGGATTAGCCTACTTTCTCTTACACACAAAAAACACGAGAGGATTCGATAGCCGTATGAGTTGGTCACACAAGTTCTCCTCTTTCACGGCCTGGATCGATACATGGATCTCTCGTCAACCTTATATATCCCAAGTGTCAGTCCTTCACTTTCGTCTCTCTATTATACTAAACTTTAGGGTCGACACATAGCTTCCAGCTATTACCGTCTGTTGTTTATGGCCAATATACAGCGACACCAAGCACCTCTCGCCCCAGCGCACCCGTCGACCCCCAGTCGAAATGATATCGGCTGCTACTACAGGTTACGATAGTATTCTTAGGTTGACTATTAAAGCTTGAAGAGAAGTGCCCGTCTGTTTTTATTAACGATGGAACTGTTCATAGACATACTACCAGGATATAGGGGTCTACGAATCAGCTAGCCAGTAATTATAAGAGTGATAAAGCTGAGGTAGAATTATAAAATACGGTACTCACTCCGTTGTTCCGCTATACTTATAGAGGATATCCGTTCTTCTGATATTTATTTGGAAACCCGATATCAGCTCTCTTAGCAGTAATGCAAATCCTTCATACCTACTATACATTATCTGATTATCCATAATCAGTTCTATAGAGCGAACGAAATAAAAGTTCCCAGTCCTCCCTCAAGATTTTAGGACCCCAGTCAGTCGTTGACTCGTACTAATCGGCGTCCAGGTTTCAAGTTTCCTTGTGGTGATGGGTCTGCTGGTCGAAACTCCATGATCACCATTGGCCCATCACTAGTCTCAGGGAATTCCTTGCTCATTAATTGTTCCGCTTTCTTCCAGTCCATGGGTATATACTCGTGATGGATATTGACCAAACCTCCCCTTCTTTCCTTCTGCCGGCGTAGTAAATTTTCTTTTCCTGATAAACCCCGTATATTACAATATACCTGCTTCTTATCAAAGTCCCATGACTGCCATACTGTGGCGCGCATTTCCATTACTTGATCAATATGGCCCTGAATAATGGCGTTATCTCGAGTAATAACCATCAGGTGAGCATTGTTCTCGTCCACCAAATCGTGAAGAGCTATTGCTTGCTTAAATTCCATAACCTCGATAGCGACTTCGCTGTGTAGCCGCCACTGAATTGGATTATGGCTAATCTTGCGTGGAGGAGTTTCGACGGCTTCATGGTTTTGTTTATAGGTTGGTGTCACGAAAATTTCCGGTCCACGGTCCGGATCCATACCTAGATCTCTGATAATATCGTTTTCGTCAACCTCGATATAACGACCCCGTAGTATTGGCAATTTTGGCTGGTTTCTCTAATAAAAGCCTGATATTAGTATACGGGTTTCCGCTACTACCAACAGGTTTTACATACCTTCCGTTTGCGACAACAGTGAGGACCTTTTTCCTCTACCGAGCCATTGGTTTCCTCAAGCGAAGGAGGACCAGCCGTAGCCGCAGGCTGAGGTGGCATTACCGGTGTCATCATTGAGGTTTATACCAGAAATAGGGTGTCTCTGTGTTCTGGCTGCCGGAAGAACTCTTCGAAGCTGCAATATTAAGATATGAGGGGTGGCACTGAACAGTTAGACGGTGATCAAGAGGATGAGAGGGTTAAGATAGGCAGCAGCCATTTAAACATAAATAATTTCTAGAGGCCTGGTGCAGATAAACCGCAGCGCACCTTCTACCTTAAGGCGTAGGTTGCTATGGATAGCACCAAGGTAGGCAGGCACAGCCTCTAAATAGGTCGTTGCTGTTGCTTCCTTCCAGGCTTGAAATGTATAATTCCTGTACTAGAGGTTGCCCCCCGGGCAACACAAAAGCCTAAGGTTTACACCGCACCATATTTCTATACTATTTTTATAATTATTATTATTATATTAGCAACCTACCCCCCATTAAACTGGAAGGCACCCCTACAATAGCCCGAATTTACTGCTCTTACACGGCAGGTGTTGGGATAATAATCCGTCCCGCACGAGTATATAGATGCGGTCTCCCTTGAGACCGCATCTATCTCGAGCTTACGATCATGCATCATATAATACAGGAGTTTATCTTAGTGCTGCATCGTATCTTTTCCTTTGCCCCCCCCTTACCCCTAGACCATACGTACGTATAATGGACTAGACCTTGTCTACCGACAACTGGACAATGCTCTTAACACCCTCGAGACCTATGTAATAAAGAAGCCTCAAAAATATATATGCAGACTTATTCCTTTCATATTCACTACTTTCTATAAGGCAGGAAAATTATCTGTAAGGTAGCAAGGCATGTATCCCAAATAGGAAATTTTTACTCGCATTCAACACAACATCCTAAGGTAAACCTTAGGCACACTGGCTACCTGAAATGGTAGTACCAGTACTTCGTTCCTTATCCCCATAGCATCCCCCTAGAAACAATGTTTCTTACCGAGGAGGTAGTTGCCTTGTTCATCATTTTACAGTCTTCGATAAAGCCTATCGCGTTCCGAATGGCGTCTCCCAAGCATGTATTACTTCTGTGAATCCTGCTTCACCAAGCTTCTGTATAAGTAGGAGAGATGGAGACTATGGTTTCGTTCGTTTGCTTCATGGCTCTACTTATACTAGATGGGAATATGAGTATACGGTGAATATAGAGGTAGTGCTGAATAACTTAGCTTTCGATTATATCAATATTATCATTTTTGAGAGGGAAACTATAAGAACTACCCGAATAAGCGTGGAACTATGCATCTTTTATTATTTTTATTTATTTAAATATCCTTGTTCAAATTGAATATGCCGATCTTTAATTTCTCCATCTGTTACACAGAGCCTACGTCCCCCCCCTATTCTTTGGACTAAGTCAATACAGTCACCAAGACACCCCTATCCCCTATACTAGCAGCTAGGCCCCTATCTCTTATTCTGTGCTACACGATACCCTAACACCTACCAATTTATCAACTAGTAATGAGGCTTAGCTTTATGGAGTCAGAAACGTCCCTTGCTTGGGTCTCTAAGGGATATTATAAGTAGCTTGTTAGCCAACAAACCTGAGGATCTGATGTCCCAATGAGCCGCTCATTTAATTAGCCCGAATATGTTACAATGGTAAGAGCCCTGCTTGGCCATATTCCTAGGCGAGTTAGGCATTTTCGATATAATGCCTATGTGGACCTGCGATTTTGCTGGTTGCGAAAAACCGGCCGTCCGTAATCTCGGTGATTGTGTACTGTGCAACCGCCATCTATGCTCCCAACACCTTCAGCACGGCGTTCACGAATGTCCTACATGGGAGGTTAGTCTAGCTCTTGAAGACACATATTCACTTACTGATTCTTTGCACATTTGGCAGGACACGGATATATACGATCCCGCGGCTCGGGCTGCTGAAGCAGATGAGCTTAAGGTGTTAATCAAGAAGATCAACACTTCTGCTCTGGCAGCTCGAGCCAGCCACTTACGTGAGGGAATACCCTGCTCAATTCTACCACTTCAGTACGACAGGGCAACGCGAAGCTCTGTGATGGGTGGCATGAATTATCATATTGAAGTCTGCTTTGACGACGGAATCAAATGGATCGCCCGTGTTCGCAGATTCAACGCTACATCGCCTCCGGCGGTGCTGCGGGATTATATCGTTCAGAGCGAAGTCGCAACCCTCAAGTTCCTCGAGCGGACCAATGTACCTGCCTCGAAAGTATTTGATTTTGCACTGGAAGATGCGAACAATCCTGTTGGAGTTGGTTATATTCTAATGGAAAAGCTGCATGGGACGTCTTTGAGATGGTCTGTTGCAACGCAAGAACAGAGAAGAAAGGTGATGGAACAACTCGCGGACGTATTCGTCGAGCTTAGCAAATATCCCTTTGATCATCTTGGCTCCCTTCATTGCCTGGACGGCTTTCATGTTGGCGCATTTGCTCGGGAATCACTTACCGACTTTGTGCAATCCGGAATGCGTACAATGGGTCCATTCTCGTCTCTGGAGGAGTATCACAAGTCCGAAATTCGGCTCATATTGGATCTGATTCTTCGGGAAGAGATCTACTCGGAGCAAGCGGTGGATGCCTACCTAATACACCGATTTCTCTTCGACTTGATCCCTATTGTGTTGTCGCAGCCGGCGCAGTACGAACACAAATACTATTTGAAACACGCTGACGATAAGGGAGATCATATCATGGTGGATGAAGACTTCAATATCACTGGTATCATCGATTGGGAGTGGGCTTATACCGCCCCGCCAATCCATGCTTTTAACTCCCCTATTGGCTTTTTGCCGGTTGCTGAATTCTATCGGGGTGCGAATAATCTAGGTAGCGATGAAATTATCTTTGCACGTATCTTAGAGGAAAAGGGTCATCTGGATCTGGCAGGTTTTGTCCGGAACGGCCGGTTACAGCACAGGTTTTCTTTTTGTTGCGGATACGATCTCATAGACTGGGATGGATTTCTCGGTCTCTTTCAAGGGCTTCGAGATGCCGTAAAGATAGATGACGGCGTAGATTGGGATAGTTGGAGATCGGCTGCATTGTATCGTTACAGGGAGGATACTGGCTTGCAGCTGTTATTGTGTAGGCATGGGAGCTTAGTTTCCGAGGGTTGAAGAGAGCTATTGCTGTAAGAACTACCTATCGCTAATCTCTGATGGAAATATATGGTAATCTTCGTATCGAGGAACACAGTATCCCATACGGTACAATTTCATGATATATACTGTATCAAATACTGTGACGCGTTAATTGTTCCATTCAATGTTCCACTCAATATTCCACTCAATGTTCCACTATCAAACCTTAAAGCTTTTTACATCACGTAATTGCAACTGCTAACCTAGATCAATCAAATGCAGGTGTACCTATTTAAAACAAAGCCAAGATGTGACTTAAAACATCTAAAAAAATAAGCACCTACTAATACAGATTTATGCTTCGTATTGCATTTCGCCATTGCGAGTTAGAGCGCAACACACATTTGGCGATGTTGATTTGTTCTTGGTTCGTGATATACTCTACGCGTATGTCAACGGCATATGTATGTGCAATCGCACATTATTATGTGAAAGATAAAATGAGTCTATTAGCTGAGCTAGAGAACATTGCGAGACCCACCTAGCTCGAGAGGAGATGAAATTAATTCTTGGGTTTTCCCCCTTTCCGTTCTTCAAAAAGACAGGGCTCACCTTGTCAAAAGAAAGCGGCATTACACTATCGGACGATGATGGTGGGTTCTCGGGCCTTATCATATAAGTCTCTAGGATGAGACAGGGTAGCACGGCGCTAAGTGGTGGTGTTTAACCCAGTATGGCTAATACGTAGCTTTGCATACAAATTTATATATAAGAGTACAAAACAATGAACTTTTATATCGTGGGAATAGATTCAGTCATTCAGTTGTCATTTCCATTGACGTCTTGTACTCTTACATATAAATTTGTATGCAAAGCTACCTACTAGCTATACCGGGTTAAACACCACCACTTAGTGCCGTGCTACCCTGTCTCATCCTAGAGACTTGTAGTTTTCTCTTAAGGACGGCTGAAACGGCTAGCATACTACACTAGCATAACATAGCCCTGCCATCCTTACCCCTGCTCACAGCATCTGCAACATCTGCAACATCTCAAAATTCTTCAACTCTCTCCCCACGCATAGTCGTACAAATCCCACGCCGACACGAGGTACTTGTCTATGCATTAACTTAGCGAGAGATGTGCTGGAGGGAATAGACAGATAACCCGGTGAGCTTAACCGCCCTATCGTCATGGGTAGGATGCATGGTCGATTCGCAACATTCTCCACACCTCTTCTTAATGCTTTACATATACCTACCGTGGGCCCGCTCACATATATTCGAAAAGTCTTTTCACGTTACGCTCGCAAGCACATACATATTACGAGCATGTGCTCGAGGGGCACAGCTGAAATATCTTTGAACACTTTGAACACTAGGAAGAATTTCTAAATGTAAGCAGGCTACAAATTCTTCGAGATAAAGTAAGAGGCAACTATGACCACTTTTCTCTCGGGAATAGACTTGACGCTGAAATACGAACCTCTTCTGCAAGACAGCGTTGTCTACCGGTTGACTACCTCCTAAGCTATCCTTAGCTGCGCCTGCAACGTACCGCAATCTGCGTATATGCTGTGGAAATCAAGTGTTTTCGATCTACGAGACCTTCGAAGTCGAAGTGTAGTCAACTAAGGATCTTCATCGCATCTAGCAATACGATGAGATATTAACATACAAACGACGGCTCTCCTCTTCTTATTTATATTTCCCTTGAGAATCTAGACGACGACATGTTACCCTCGCGGTGTCAAAATCAACGAAGTCTGTACATACATAGTAGGTTTCATTCAGCGGACCATCAATGCACAAGCCCAATCCGGGTCCGGTTGCTCGAAACACTGTTCTCTGATTGGCTATGGATCAAGAAATTGAGGAACTATATACATATGCGTACCCTGGTCGGTCTTAATGCACCCTTGAGCACACTATCCCGGAGCGGCTCGTGTACAATCACTTGCTTAAAAGTCGCTTAACCGTCCACCCTGCTCCGTGATCCATGCCCAATAATAAACAGGTCCGGCCGGGGCGATCATGGAATAAGGGAGGGGCCTAGTTGGGCTGGTGTTGGTCCACCTCCGTACAAAAGAGCTGAGAGACCCTGCACCCTGTTCTCGATCTTAGCTGATCTCTTTTCCATCCCGGTTTCCTGCTGTGCGGTGGTTTCTTTCGTTTCTTCTTTCACTTCTCTCGCCTCAGTTTCCCGTTCGTATGAACATATGAACGTATGCCTTAGGGTATATAGAAATTGATCTTCACTCGGGATGGATATTGTCGTAATATAGGTAAACTTAGTAATCATGGGCCGTATACGATCTGACACGCAGACGTCCACCAGGGACTCGAACCGAAGACCGAGTATTTGGGCGGGTAGTTTGCGGCGTGATCACTTTCGCCTGGACGATCTTCAGTCCGACATGATTCAAGAAGACCAGCCGTACACCCCGACAAAGTCAGGACCGTCGAATGGCTCGAGACCCTCGTTCGCATGGCCTTTTCATGGCCGTCATGGTTCAGAAGTACCTTCAACTGCGAGATCAAGTCATTTCACCCTTCGAACCTGGGGACAGCCCCGAAGTTTCTTCCGCCCTCATGAAGATACCGCAAGCATCGATAGAAGTATCGTTCCAGACTACGTGGTCAACTTCTTAAGAGGAGAAACCCCCGAGACTCTAGCACAGAAGAAGAAGCAAAAGAAATGGGGCCCGCATGATGTCGAAGTTACGCCTCGTAGAGGGACGTTTGCGTCGCATCCTATCGAAATTGGTAATTATTACTCGTCTAGTTCAGATGTCGGTCGTGATCTAGATACAAGTGGTAATTGGAGTCAACAAAGTAACATACGGAGGCATATCACCGGGTGGCGAGGTGGAATCATATTCAACACATTAATTTCGTTTATAATTTTACTCGTTGGCATTATTTGCTTAATACTGGTCATCACCAAATCTAAACTTATATCTGGAGAGTCATCCATCTTTTCAGGCGACTGCACAACAGCTGAGCATATCAACGTCGGAATTCACATCGCTATTAACATATTTTGCGTCGCCATTCTTTCCGGGGCAAACTACGTATTTCAGGTCCTCTCAAGCCCGACGAGACGAGAGTTGGCGGCAGCACACGAAAACAAGAATTGGCTTGATATCGGCATACCCTCGTTACGCAACTTCACACATATCTCTGGGTTCAGAGCTTCGATCGCAATCATTGCCCTCTTGAGTGCGGTCGTGACTCAAGTAATGTAAGTATAACAAGGTCAAATGAGCCTTCATTATATTGTGCTAACAGTTTATAGATATAATGCAGTAATCTTCACGACTCAGAATGTAGTTAGTTACGACGTACTGTTCGTAACACAATCATTTCTCGACCACGCTCCTTTTAGCAACGATACGAAGTTCAATGAGGGCGGACTCTCCAGTATCGATATCACTAGACTCCAGGATGCCAGCAGCCAGAACAGGTTGACTGACTTGGATTCGACGACCTGTCTACACGAATTTAGCGACATATTCCAGCCTTCTTTTGATACTGTTTTACTTATCACGGACTCGACTTCCACTACATCGTCTCTCATTCATACCAGCAAGCCTGGTACTCCACTAACTACCTTCACTTCGAACAACAACGATATTGTGGCTCCAGACGGCTCACTTGTTCAACACTGCCTTGCCCGCCCTAGTGCGCCGCAGAGCTGCAGTGTCAACCTTAGCGGTTCCATCCTAGGAGTCGCCGTACTACTCAACCTCGCATCCGTCATTAGCATGGCGATTATTCTAGCAAGGTCTACTTTCGACCCTCTCGTAACACTTGGCGATTCGATCCGCTCGTTTCTCCGTAATCCCGATCCGACAACGGTTAATATGTGCCTATTAACAAAGACCGATGTCAAACAAGGCCGTTGGGGTTCTAGCGAAGCTCAATTCTTCGTTCCGGCTAGCCACTTCTGGGCACAAACTCCATCGCTCCCCCGCTGGATGCTAACGGCGTTCGCCTGGCTGGTAATCGGGGCACCAACTGCGGTTGCTGTCGCATTCCTAATCCCTAAGGTCATAGAAAACCCCTTCACACCCTTCGGCGTCGCAGTACCTCACCTGACCTATCTTCTACCCTCCCCTGCCCAGGCAGCGCAGATGGCGCTCTTCGCCGCATTGCCACAACTATTTCTCGCTATGCTCTATTTCGTCACTAACTCCCACCTCACAACGTACTTCCTTTCGCACGAATTATCACTCTTCGCCCTCGGCCCCCGACCTCTCCGAGTCTCCTCTAACGCAGCCGGCGGGCAAAATACAAGTCTCTACTTAACGCTACCTCGCCCTGTTTCGTGGGCTTTGGTCGGTTGGTTTGCCGCAATGGGATTCGCGCTCAGCCAGGCCATGTTTCCCGGCGTCATCATTCTCTCGTCACGTCGATCATCAAATCCGGTTTCCAACAAGATCGTAGCTATCTCGTTCAGTACGCAAGCACTGATAGCCTTGCTCAGTCTCCTACTAATCCTCATCCTTGCCATAATTGGTCTTGGGCTAAAACGCGCGCCGACAGCATCGCTTGCTAGCGGAGAGGCCAACGGCAACCCGATGGTTTTGGGCGGTGGCTCCTGTAGCGCCGTTATAAGCGCCAAGTGCCACAACCACGATGTAATTGCGCCGGGCCAGGCTATGCAGGGCGACGATCGCCATCTGTGGCTCCGTCCTATCTCCTGGGGCGTTATTGAGGAAGGAGCCGGTATGCGGCCCGGCCGGTGCGGATTCTCCGCCAGCGGAACGGGCTGTGTGGACGCGGGGCGGAACTACGTCTGAGGGACAACGGAAGCCCCTTAACAACGCCGTCCGTATTTTTGACATTCACCGAGCAGGCGGAGGGATGTGGATTTGGCATCATTTTTTGGAATTTAGCGATAGTAAGGATGGACTAACTACCTAGGCATTCTATATATATACCCCCATCGCGTTCGCGGGAGCGTGTTTTTTCTTCCCCATTTTCAGGTCTACGGTTTGGTCTCGGGTTCGGGTGTGCTACATATATCGAACGAGGTGTTACGTGATGATTTAAGAGGGCGGATACGTCGAATATGCCTGCGCCGAAAACGGGAGATAGGGTTGACGGACTGAGCTGTCTGATTGATAGGGCCAGGGCCCCTAGGAATGATTGTTCCCTTGCGAGATTGATTCTCGCAACGTGGCGGTTTAGCGAATGCGTACCTACTATATACCTCCTAATCTAGGTTAATTTACGTAGATGAATACGCTGCGAAAGAAAATGAAAAATGAATAAAGCTAGCTTATTTCTGGCATTTGATAAAGTTCCCTTCTCTATCTCTTAATTAGGTACCCCAAGGAGCTCTGTTATTTCAAACAGTTCGCACTGAGAAATCCCGAAGTTACTTGAAAGCATAGGTAGTAGTTATTATAATTAAGATAAATTCCAACAAATTCAAAAGAGCCTCGTTTAGCTTAACAGCTTGACTTATCAGCTCCATCACGATATCAGACACCAGGAACACCATTAACAATGCATAACAAGCAGGATCAATCCGATCCGCCAGACATCATCCATCCATCATGTCAGAAAACAACAACAGACAGCTACTTAATCAGCCATTTGGTCTCCCATTCGAGAACCCGGGTTAGGTTACATAAATCAACAACGACGTGACCACTTCCCGCCCTACCCCTTTTCTCACGTTAACCAAAGTCTGACGCCTGCGGCCTGCGGTACGCGGTACGCGATGCCTATCTGAAGCGATACAAAAAAAAAACGCCACCCGTTTAAAGAGCCCTTTGAAGAACGATCGGAAAGATGCGCGCGCTGGTGTAGTATACATATCGGTACAGAAGTATTTCCCCTAGTTTAACTCATCCGTGATTAATCCGCGATAGCTTCCTCGTCGACGATTGCGCTCTCCTGTTGTTGCGAGGCCCCATTTTTATCGTCCATTTGGACGTTGGCTCTCGCCTTCTCCTGCGCCTCGACGAATTTCTCCCAGTACTGTGGATCCTCCTCGCGTAACCTCTTGACTATTTCTTCCCTGTGCTGCTGGAACGCACGAATGAGTCCTTTCTCTTGGATGTCCTTCTTGATTTGCTCGTCTTCTCCCATCAACTCATCCATTATACTCGTGACTACTGTCACATGGCTTGGATTATTCCCGACCTCCTCAGCACTGGTGAGTAGATCGTAGTGTTCGGGCTTGATTAGGCCAGAACGGAATATGTGATTGACACGGAAAGCACGGCCTTCTTCCTCGACAAGTGCTTTAGAGCTGTGCGAGATGATAGAATTAGACCGAGATCGGGATTTGGACGAGCGAAGCTCAGTTTCAATATCCTCCGTATCTGATAATAAGCCGACATCTGCCTCTGCAGAGGAGAACGAAGTACGACTAGGCTCGGATGCAGTGGTCTTCGTTCGATCCGGTATGCCAACTTCTAATGACATTTGACGTGTCTCTGGGAACTCATCTTCGAAGCGTTTGATGATGCCCTCGATTGTCTGGTCGAGGAAGATGAGGCGGTCTATAGCGAGATTAGTAACTATAAGCATATAGGAGAAAGGGAAGCCTTACGATAATTGTGGATATCCTCGTTGGAAGATGCTTTGGCCATAGCCAGGGCTGGCTGTAACCGAGCACGAATCTTCCGCGCACTAATAAGCAAGTATTTGGACATATCCTTGACCTTCCCCGGGGGCAAACGAGTCCTAGGTGTCGAAGTACCAGATTCGATGTCTCTAGTAAATTCACCTGAGGGTCGCCTAGTATCGTCTCCTCGGTTCTTTAAAACGCACGCCAAAGCTTTCACAACACCCGTACCACCAATCACATAATCCTCGTCAGGTGCCGGCTCGATATCACTGTCCACGTCCACGAATGGAGTATCTTCTTCGTGACCCACAAGATGTCGAAGTACATCCGGCAACTTCTCTGGCTGGCCGTCCTCGCCAGCGGAATCTCGAATATCTGGCACGCCCTGCAAGTTTCGCATGCAGTACACCACAACACGGTTTGCAAGTGCTTTGACAATCTCGCCAGATTCAGGACTAGGGTTATCTATATCGACCTTGATCAAAGTTCTCGATACACGGGCGGCGGCTAGAAGCGAAGCATATACGGCACACGCTTCTTCTTGACCCTCCTCAGTCCGAGCATCAGCTAAGGCGACGATATCCGAATTCTCGAGTAGGTTAATATGCGCTAGGACCTTAATTTCAGGTAAGATCTCGGCAAGAGAAATCACTTGCTCCGAAGTCATTGAAACATCCGCGAGATGCAACCTTCTCAAGCTATCCATCTGAGGCAGGTATCTAACGGAGAAATGTCAGTAAGGTGAAGTTCGATTCGATATATATAGGATCCGTTTACTTACTTGCGAAGCAATCCCATGGCATTAGGCTCAGACTCGAAGAGTGCACGGTTATGTGACAAATCAAGGAACTTGAAGTCGGGAAGTTTCGCCAATTTGGGAAGTATCTTGCATAACGACGCCGGTACCAGATTGCAATTGGCCAAGCTCATAGCCCAGAGCTCGTCCTTTCCATCAAAAGCCGCAGCAATATCAGCAATATGGTCTCTAAGATCATTACCACCAAGGTCAATTCCTTCGCACTTCGCATTGCGCAGATATCTCGCCACGTGCTGAGCACCTTGCGCATCAAGACCGTTATTTGCTAGTCCTAGTCTTTTTACTCCTGACTTAAGGATGCCGTCAATTACGGCGCCTAGTTGATTTGCTGTCAAACCGATCGAGCCAATGTTGAGGAGCTCCAGCTCGGGACCGGCTAAACGATCCCCAATTGCCTTAGACAATAGTAAAGATAAGTCGGTTGGAGCCGGTGTACTTTGTCCAATGCTGTAATGAAGGTGATGGCTAATTGGAGTTTTTGTAGGTTCTATCGGCGTAGGAAATGGTAAACTCGAGATATCAAGATACTTGATGGAGTGACACATGTGGATAAAGAGGCAAATATGTTTCCAGCCTTCAACAGTAATCTTGCTGTTGTTCTTGAGTACGAGTCTTTCCACAGCGCCACCTTGCTCTGTCGAGTCTGCGGGCTTAGAACAGCATCTTCGGTGTCTGATACTAGGTGTTTTTCGAGCTGCTAGAAGTCCTGCGAGAATAACACGAACACCCTCATCAGTCAAACCGCAGTTTTCAAGGATGACCTCTTTAACTGGTACAACAGCAAGAAAATCCCCTAACGTGACCAAGTCCGGTAGGGACATAAAATATCCCGTAAGGTCAAGCTTCTCCACTATACCATTGGGACAGGATTCCGTGGTTTTGGGAAGTTGCAGGGTAATCTTGGTGAGAATGTCTGTCTCCCGAAGCTGACAGCAACGGCGATATATCCTACCAGGGTTCGTCGTAGGTGCTAGCTGAGTTTTCTGCGTTCCGGATCGTATCGAGAGTTCGTCTGTCGAGCTGTCGCTGTCGAGATATAATTCCATTGGAATAGTCCCCTTCTCGAGAGCTTCTCTGCGCTTCTGTTCCTTCTTAGCCTTTCGTTCTGCCTCACTCTTCTTCTTCTTTTCCTTCTTGCGGGTGGTCTCCTTTTCTTTTATAGGCCCATCATCGTCCGTAGTACTATTTCCCTTCTGATCTCCATTTGCCACCTCACTACCTTCTTTCTCGGGCTCCTTCGGCAGGGTCTCGCCAGTTGCCTTGACCAGGCCAATATTTTCCTTTTGCTCTTCTAATGCTTTTGGGTTCTTTAATGCTTCACCTTCACCCCTTTCTGTTATCTTCTTTTTCTGCGTTTTATCGACAGGCTTCTTGCACGCTGTTTCTTCATCCGCATATTTAGGCATAGGCGCAATCTCGACATCGACACAGAAGGCTACGCGACGAAGTTTTGCCTGGCTTAGCTCGTTCACTCGACACCTCTCTCTATGCTTGTCGATATTGAGAATTTTTCGCTCCACGAGACCATGGCTAGCTCTGGAGCCCGGCGCAATGGCGCTACTCGAAGACGACAGGCGACGGAGGACTCCCAAGAAGCCAGGCTGGCTCGTCCTCGGAGGCGCGGGTATATATGGAGCATCGCCACTCTGGCGCGATGCATGTGGAAGGACGGCATTTTTGCTTGGGGTAATCTTAGGTAAAGGGGCTACTTCATCGGCGTCGGCCTCAGGTGTGGGAGTCGGAGAAGCGGTATTTCCATTTGCTGGAGACGTAGAAAATTTGGACGAGATATTAGAAAACCACGAGCCTCTCCTCTGTGGTGGTGTGCCATTTTGACTCGGCGGTCCTTCGACGGATTGACTTCTTGTCCTACCTGAACGCTGAGGTATTGGTTTAGTGGCAGCGGGCGGCGCTGTCGAGGCTGGAGACGAGGTATTATGCGCAGAGGGCAATGAGGTGTCTGTTTTGCCATTAGGTTTGCTCGGGGTTGAAAGCTTCGGGCGATTCGAAGTAGAGGAGTCTTGGCTTTGGTTAGACGAGCTCCAGTTGGTACCATGGTTGCTCCAGTTGTCTGCATTTCCAGGGTTTGTTAGTCCCTACACCTATATTCAAACAGAAAACAAGACAGCGAATAAAAAGAAAAGTCCTCTCTAATAACGAGACATGAACATTACCTTTTCCATGTGTCATCCAGCTCACATCCATAACATGCTCCATGCTGGATATTTTTTCCTTTGTGTTGTGACCTACTGTTCGATTTCGCCGACCGATTCACTTCCCTGTGAACGATATACGGAAAATATATTGTGTATCCCTTAGGGTTGGAGTCTACGCCCAATTATATGTAAATCCGTACGGGCGTATCGTTTGCCTTGTCTTAGATCGTGACGGCGGAGTAGGTCTTGGGGTAAGTGGCGGTTCACGAGGGTGTCGGTTAGAATGGGTTGGATTGGTATCTATGTAGAATAAAACCCAGGATAATATGAATTGGCATTCGCAAAGTTGCTAGTTGCTAGGTGCTAGTTGCCAGTTGCCAGTTGCCAGGTCAAAGAAATAATAAGGATGAGTTGTTCCGATAAAACATTGTTGCCAACGGACTACGATATGTATTTGCTGATCAAGCAAGGGCTACGTCCAAGCCATCGCCATTTTCGAACGTCTGAGTAGTTGCTACTTGGATCGATATCAGACCTTCTTTGGTGCGTCCCGGTTCTGAATCGATTCTAAATCTAAAGGGTTCAAAAAGAAGACAACAGGGCACGGGATGGGTATGCAGAAGAGGCTAGAGCTTGACTCGGGTGGGGTTCACCAGGTCCATAAGAAGTGATGCAATATATTTAATCAGGGTCAACCCACTACTACTTGGGACTAAGGTAGGGACGGTTCGGTAGTGAATATAGCTCTCGAGTGGACCGGAGGTTAACGATAGGTAAAAGGGATGACTACTCGATTAAGGAGAGCTTTCAAGGACCGTATTATTTATTGTACGATAGTAGTGATAGTAGTAGTAGTATTATTAAGAAAAAAAGGAGGCAAATAAAAAGAGGCGGAAGAAAGTAAGATAGGTATGTAGCTAACAGTTAGAAAAAAAGATTAGGAGATAGATGTGCAAAGTTTATGTCAGCAGCCGCAATGGCCCGGTGCAACCCCCAGAGTAGTACATAAGTAACGCTGGTACATACTTCGTACATAAATGCATATCAAGATTTGTATGTAAGATGTTTATTCCGTGCTTATTATTCCACTCAAACCCCCTAAGTAATTTCATTAGAAGGTTGCACAATAGGTACGGTACGTGCGACATTGTCAAGTTGAGATGAGGCGGACGGTCTAGGTCTATTTCGTTATTTCACGAGATACTGCAACGGAGTCGCCTTCAGCGCTAATCCAGGCAAATGGATTGCTATGGGTGTTTTTTTCAGTGGGACAAACCAGCCGCTGTCAATCCAATAACGCCGGACTTCACAGGGGTAATATGTAAGTATCTGCCCACATAATCATCGCAGAATAGATACATCTACGGGGTACCCCCCGGTACATACCGCCCCCCCGATGCGGTCATACGTGCGTTGTTTTCCGGCGTTGCGTGCACTAGTAGCGTGCACGCTAGAGAATACCCCAATTAGTGTACACTAGTCCTAATTAGTCCTAATTAGTCCAATTAATCCAATTAACGAGCCAACATGACACTTGGATCAATAGACGTCACATGCTTCTTTTCTCAAATGTCCAGTTTGGCCCCAAATTATGGGGTTAGGAAGCATCAGGGAAGCAGGAGGGGCAACAAAAACCACCCAAGAAACTGAGACAAATGGCTGAATGCGTGCAATCAACCCACTTACACACCAGACAGACGCCCTCATAGTGTACATACATAGAAGCGAACCAGCATGAAGCGAGCATGAACCCATCAGGTGACCGGCCCCCGCCGACAGAATAGAATAGCATATATTTGCCATACATACATGACTTTTCCATTTTATTAGGAAGGAGGTCATTGTAGATCGACCATCCCCCGCCGGCAGAGGTTTTCTCGAACCAGCTTTCTCATCCTCACAAGGCAATCGGTCCAGGATGGCGATCCAAAGGGAACAAACATAGTTTAACTAACCTACCCATAGTATGCTACATTAGGTACCTAATCCAAAAGCAATCCTTCCTTGTGTAGCTTATTATCTAGATTGTAGGTTAGTCAGGTCCCAGAAAGACCCTTCCAGACCACCTCGTTCCCTAGGCATTTTTCGACCACATCAACGGGTTGATACTTATGTAAGTATTGACTTGGCAATTACCAAGATGACGACATTTTTTATTGGCCTACTAGTCTTCGTTTAAAACACCTAAGCTCATGTGTTTGTTAGTGTAGGGCAATGAAATATCTCTTCTGCCATTGGCCTAGCTAAAGAGCACAATTGGGTTTCTTTAAAGGCCAAAAATCGACGCCAACCCTATTCTTCTCTACCTTAATAAAGAGAGATAGGATAGTACCTACTCAAACATGTCAGTATATCTTATATGTGACACGTACATAGTTGTATACCTTACTCAATCATAACTATCGAGTTCGATAATGAAATAAGTCGCAATTGGCTGTACACAACTGATGACCGGGGACTCGTTGTCATTGGTGATGAGTTCTAAGGCTGTGATGTGTTATCGTGATGGTATGACAAGGCCCTACGTAATCCAGTCAAATTGTAGTATCTAAAACCAAAAATTAACTCTATACAAGATGCTTCCTTTATAAACCCGAGCGTCTATCTAGCCTATTAGTTGGCAGATGCATTGCTTCCCAACTCGATCCCTTGCTTTGAAACTCACCTTTAATAAACCAGATAAATGAGATTACGATCCCTTGACAATGAACCGAAGGTATATATGGTATAGATGGGCAAAAGTTTTATTATCTGAGTAAACACCCCTTTTGGATATTCAAGGTAGTACCCGACCCCCAAGAGCCACGAGGTATGAATAAGCAAAATCACGAGCGAGAGTTGTATTCGGCGGTATCCTCATGCATACAACGTCGGGTGTGCCATTCCGCAACAGCGCCTGCTTAGGGGCGGTGATTGAATAAGCCGGGACAACTAACATTCGCACGATTCCGTCAGTCACACAACGCTGATATTTTCGATTTTCGTCCATGCATAATGGACAAGTGAAATAGTTATTACGAAAACGGAACCTAAGGTTTAGCTGTCACCTCCCCGTAGTTGGTTAATAATTAACTAAGGTTGCTCACCTTCGTAAACTCCTCTAATTGATTCAACCTTCTGGCCTAAACCTGTAAGATAGCATAACTACAATTCCCTTGTAGCCCCCTTTCCGGTCATATATATATAAACAACGATAGGGATTTCAAAATAGATAAGTAAAAATTAGATTTTAAATGTAGAGGAGTACGTGGTAGGGGATCAATCCCTCAATCCTAATGTTCAAGTCTCTTCAGCGTGGTAAATTAGTAGCTATTAAATCAACATACATTTCCATTATATAATCCAGGTGATATTTCTTTATAAAGCAAAGCACCTTAAACCATTCTATACGAACTCGAAATTTACCCTTAGGTATTCCAGTTTCACCTAAAAGGATACCTAATAGTGAGCCTTTAAGGAACTTGTACATAAAAGGGGGCCCCTTCAATAACAAAATCCTAGACTACCAGATTCAAGACCTCGGAACAAAATAGCATGCTCACCAAACTAACTAAAACACACTCACTCTCCAGCTAACTCGTACTGCCCCTACGCAGTCTGTCCCGAATACACAGTCGACAAATCCTGCAATTCCGACCAAGGCGGATAAACCGACTTCCCGTCCGAGCCAACATTCACCACCCTGCCGCCATCGACGTACTTCTCGACCCAGCCCAGCGTCACCACTGTATGCACGAGATTCACATACGGGCCCTCAGCAGCCTGCAGTTCTTGAAAGTCCGGATCCGCCCGCATCTTTTCGAGTTCTGCGAAGGTACGGAAGTAAAATTCGACTGTGATATCGTGATCCTGTTGAGGTGGGGATTTTAGTAAGTATACGATGGATGGATTTAATAGGGGTAGTTAGATGAAAAGGAAACTTACGTCGACGACCCAGCCTCTGTTTCCTCGACGGTTCATCTCCTCCAAGGCGGCGCGATATGGTGCCGGCGTGAAAACCTAGAGAAGTAAAGAGGGTTATTAGTTTACCTAGTACACGTTTGTTCGCTCTCTTGCATACCTGCTGGTACATCTCGATACCGTTCCGAGCATTAATGCTTGCAACCTTGGTAAGGTACTCGCGCGCGAAAGCTTCGTTGTCTCCGGGTTTATTTTTGTTATTACCGTAGACTTGTAAGGTGAGCCTAAGAAGACGCCCTGGTGATGCTCCTTTGTCGTTGCTAGATGTCGACATTGTTAGAGTTATTCTATGAAGCCCATGTAGTAAGGACTTTTGTTTGCGTTATTTGCTATGATGGAGTATAGATGATAAGGCTAGCGGTTATAGAGTTCAATTATGTTAAGCTATGAATTGAGAAGCAGGCACTATATACTTATATCTCTAAATCTCTATATTCCACTGTTCATATATATAGGTATATATATACATACTCATGTACTTGTTTTTCTCTATACATAATCGGGTGAACTATAAAGGGCCGCGGTTGAATTCATTTTTTAATTTCCAGTGAGAAGGTCATGTAATGCTTCTTCAAAGTAGACACCGAGATGTCCGAGGTCTCGGCCGACCCAATAATTGCAATAGCTCTATGATATAGAAACCTATCAGGCCGACGGCATAGTCATTCATACCGTCGGACAATAACCAAATTTCCGTCTCTAAATACTTACAATATAAGGTTTAAATACCATACAATTGGACAAGATAGTGTTTAACTCCACCTATAACTGTTATGTAGTGTTATTGTAGGATTAACTAAATACGGAGTTTACTTGGAAACGGAGTTTAGCGACATCCTACTCAAGTTAGACCAATCTATTGTCTAGTATATTAGCGGATAATTACCAGTGTTTAATCGTCCCTTGCGTATTCAGGGAAATCCTATCCTCAATATTGGAATCTGAACGAAAATTAAGCGTAGTCCCGTCCGGGTATCGGGCAGCGTTTCCGCAATAGGATGGATCCACCGACAGATACTTGGTGAGCCGGAGACATATGAACCCCTATTTCGCTGGAAATGATGAATTATGTTGTCGGCTTAAATTGTGTTAGTTCTGTGCGAGACTTCGTTAGTTACAAGTGGAAACCATACTCTAAGCTACGGGTTGAGTATGAGTTTATATGTGGTGATACTAATACTTAGGCGAAGGGATTGAGAGAGTTGATACCGATATTAGTTTAACTACGGGATCGACATGATTTCGGTAGTCTGCTGTGTAAGCAACTTGTAAGTAATTCCTCACCTTAGGTACCTTCTAAGGTATTTAGGTAAATACCTAAGTCAAGACAACAGACTGCCTACGAGTTGGGGAAATTACCTTACACCCCTAAGTGAGACGGTTACCTGGCGATCACATACACATTTTAATACCAAGACAATGACGGTCGATAAACTTCATTAATTCGTTTAGTAACCCGTCAATAAGCCATCCCTATGAACTCCGATGCCTGAAGACAACCGTAAATACGGAGTGACATTTTTATCCTTTCCCAGAACCCAGCCGCTTATTCCGCGCGGAGCTCGGCAATTTTAGCCTTGACCCTCTCGCGCTTCTCCTCCTTGGTGGACTTGGGAGTCCTGAACTTCTTGGACTCTGCCTTCCACTCCTCCTTGCTCTTCTTGGGGGCATCGCTCTCAGCCTTCTTGAAGGGGTCTTCTCGGATAGCGGAGTGGGCCTCGGTGTACAGGTCCTCAAGACCGTCAGCCTCAATGTCGTCGTCGAGGTACTTCTGGAACTGGCTCTTGTATCGTTCCTCGTCGTCATCGGCTAGGGTCTCCATGTACTCGGCAACGTGACCACCATAGATGTACTTCTTTAGGGTTTCGGCGTCAAGTTCCTTGGACTCCATGTCGAAACCGGGGAATCGGTTCTCGGAGTGGGGGACTAGGATACCACCGTCGGAAGCACCCTTCATGACACCGAAGATACGGGCACCAGTGGAGGTGCGGGCAAGACCAACATCAAGGAAGGCCTTGAAGGGTCGGCGCTCTTCACCATCGTGCTCAGCGGCCTCGGTTAAGCTGTACTCTCCATCCGGCTCCTCAACACCAGTGAAGGTCTCGTCGAGGCCGAGCTTCTTGAGGACACGGCGAGCAAGGAGCAGGCCAGTGGCGTAGGCGGCAGCCCAGTTGGTAAGACCGTGCTCGATGCCGTAGGCCTTGAGTTCGTGGGAGTAGGCAGCAGCGAAGACCTTGTCACCGGAGATCTCAGAAGTGACGATCTGAGTGATGATGTCGCGGTTGGTGAAGCGGACAACCAGACGGTACTTGGGGGCGTTGTACTTGTTCTTGGCCTGGGTGATCAGGCGCTTGCGGGCATAGTAGTCGGTCTTTCCCTCACGACGGCGCCTGTACTTGGTCTGGAAGCGGCTGTTATGAGGTATTGGTTAGGTTGATTATCTTCGCAAAAACTAGGATCGTTTAGTTATATTGGTGCATTACTTACCTGTAGTAGGCACTACTCTTGACTGACTTTGTGAACGCCTGTCAAGATCCCATCGAGTCAGCAATTTGCGCTTCAGATTTTATTTTCCTCCATTCCGAAGCATCTTGCATTGACTCTCGCGATCAAATACCACTATTGCGATATTCGCCATTTCTGGCATCACAATGGCCTGTGTTCATTCTGTACTCACCATTTTGATTGAATTGGCTGATGGGCGAATATAATCAGCACGGTTGTCGAAAGGGTTGGAGTTGGAAAAAAGATGAAAGTTCCGACAAGAGAAAAGTTGTGGGCGTAATTGTAGCCGATGTGGGCTAAAATTCGCTTGTGAACCCTTGCAGGTGCTTTGGTGGGGTACGAATCAGGAAGTCTCAAACTGAGGTGGGCGACGACTTGTGAAGGTCCCACTTATCTGGTTCAGATAAATGCCCGTTTCCTAAACCAAAGTACTTTGTACTTCTGTGCCGTGGGATGGCTTGCATCAACCGAGGCATGTCTTGGGGGTCATTGACTACAATTACAATGAGAATCTAGGCGACATTTTTAGCTTTCATACACTTGGTAGAATAATGATACATCTTCTTATATCAAATATATGATAGTATACATTAAGACGCTTATACTATTATATGGTAATGTATAAAAGCTTTGAAAGACTCGGACGTCATAATGGTAGCCCATAAACAACCAAAAGTGCTCCTATTTGACATCGGAGGAGTCTGTGTAAGTCATAGCTATTCTGATGAATCTATCATTAAGATTTATTATGCAAGATTTAAAAGATACCTCAACCATTATTTCCTATTCATCTTATTATCCTTGCTATACTGATATGAGGGCGCTGCTTACACGGAAATAGGTCATCTCGCCTTTTCAGTCCATATTAGATTATGAACTGAGTCTAGGGATCCCGCCAGGATGGATTAACCACTCAATATCAAAAACTGCACCTGAAGGTTTTTGGCATAAGCTAGAAAGGGGGGAAATTCTCCTAGACGATGCATTTTATGCTGGTTTTAACAAAGACCTTCATGATCCGACGAGGTGGGCCTCATTTTACAAGGTCCAGCAGTCAAAGAACCCGAACCTCTCCAAGGAAATTCCTCCAGTCCCGAAGCTCGATGGGCGCTGGCTTTTCAACGATATGATGACTTCTTCGACAGATCTAGACCCGTGGATGTATCCAGCGCTTAAGAACCTGAAGGCTAGTGGGAAGTTCATCCTCGCCGCATTGAGTAACACCGTCATCTTCCCACCTGGCCACGCGCTCCACCAGCAGGATTTCTTCTCTGACCCGCTTCGGAGCTTATTTGACGTTTTCGTGTCGTCTGCACACGTAGGGTTGCGGAAGCCGGACTCCAAGATCTATCAGTATGCGCTGAACGAAGTAGATAAATACGCCAAGTCTCATGCCGACGAGGAAAAAGGTCGATCATTGGGCTGGCAAGACGGGGTAAAGCCAGATGACATTGTCTTCCTCGACGATATCGGCGAGAATCTAAAAGCGGCCAAGACGTTGGGTTTCCGAACTATAAAGGTGCCCCTAGGAAAAGCATTTGAAGCAGTCGATGAGCTAGAGGCTATTACAGGCCTCAAGTTAGCTGGTGACCACCCTAGGATACCTATTAAACCGAGGATAGGCGGCACGCATGCTAAATTGTAGATTCACGCGCAAGGGGATTGGCCTTGATGCTATGTTTGGAGAAATAGAAAGTCGGTAGAGAAGTGTAATTGAATATATCACGTTATTTGGGTGTATGTGCCATAGATAACGTTATGTCTATATGTGTAGCGAGCTATCTTATACCAAATAATTTAACTTACATACTTATTACATACTGTTAAGAATAATTAATATACCTTACGACAACATATTCAAAGACAAATAACTCCGGAGTCTTGATCGTCAAGTTATCGCCAGGAAAAGCTGTGGCGGGGTTCTTATCATCGGGCTTTGCCGTGTTCATAAGAGGCGGTCTTAACACACCTAAGCGCGTCAAGTCAAAGTTAATATTACTTTCTCCTGAACTACATGCTAAGTAGCATATCGAGGGAATCTACAATAGGCTGTTAGATTGCAATTTTAAGAGAAATACGGCAGCATTGAATCCTATGCGCAATTGATAATGGAGACGGAACGTGGCACAGCGGCCGCATTGATCCCAACTCTTTTTCCAGAGCGCAAACCAATGACGCCAGCACAGATCGCGGCTGGCATACAAGCAGCGCTGATAGTGCAGCGCCGCGCAGTGACATTCGGCAAGCGACCTTTTGCCGCAGCACTGGTAGGACCAGACAATGACACGGTGCTACTGACGCACCAGTCCGTGGACCAGGTCAACCATGCTGAGAGCGAGCTGGCCAGATTGGCATACAAACATTATACCAAAGAGTTCTTGTGGCAATGCACTCTCTTCAGCACGTGGGAGCCGTGCGGAATGTGTACGGCTACCGTCTACGTGCGTCTGATCTTTTCATACTTACACCTGTATACCTAGTACTATCATGTAGTGCAACGGCAAGGCTGACGAGCGGGATCACAGTGGGCACATATCGGTCGCATCGTCTTCGCGGCTAGCAACGACCAGTTATACGAACTGACCGGTCCGGGCAACAAGGAGAATTTTACTATGGACTGGCACACTAGGGACGTTTTAAAGGGGTGCCCGCAGAAGGATATCGAGGTTATTGGACCATTGGAGAAAGAAGGCAAGGCGGTTGTGGAAGAGAGCAGTATATATTGGAGCAGGACAAGCGCTCATAGTGGCTGAGCGTCGGCTGACTGCTGTTTGGCTGTTTAGGGCTGAAACCGAGATTCCTAATAGGGCAAAAACAAGCCTAAAACGGTATATATGAGAGACGATGAAGGCTGAAGGCGCCAGACGTAGGAATAGGGGTCACAGCCAACATACCCTGTGACGTCAGATCATGTTTGCAAAACTCGACAGCCGAACAGATATCGAATTAGGAGATAGCTCCTAGTGTAGATTATCTTAAAGGACGAATGCTTTTCGTACTACAGGTAGCTTACGTGTACCTATTAAACCGAAATAGTTGAGATAGGTTATGAAGGTACGTAAGTGACCACGTCCTAACTACCTCCTAGTGTAAGTGGCTAGGACTTAATTCTGGGGTTCTCATTAACAGCAAATGCGGAATGCGTCGTGGACTGGTTCGAGGAGCTGACGAAGAACCGAAATGATTATGTGTTTGAATCGGAAGAATTTTATGTTTAGGGCGCGGCGTATGTCATAAATTCAGGCTTTTGGGGGGCCGTTTTGTTAGTGTACTTACACTAGTAGGTAGTGGATTCTGATCCGTGATAGTTCTGCATGGTTTAGTTCCACTTCCGCCAAAAGGGAACCAATGAAGAAACAGAAAGGCAAAGAGGCTCGTAATAGCTGCGGGTAAGCATGTGCGACTTAAGTGAACATCCCCTGTTTAAATGACGATCCCCCTCGAATCTCAATCTTCTATCGTTGCACAGTTGCCAATTTTGTCTCACCGCACCAATACGGTAGAGGAAAGGAGGACGCAGGTGCATGATATGCAGTCTGCCCTGCCGCTTAATTTGGAAATGAGCCACGAGTAATGAAGCCGCTTAGAGGTTCCCTCTTCGAAATATAGAATTTCCTCTCTACATTAGTATCTTAAATTACGTGGTTTCTTTTTCTCCTCGAAACTCCACACTCGAAAAATTGTTTATGGCGGTGTAAAGTAGTTGTTGTCTGTACCTAGGTAGGTACCTATGTATGAAGGCATTCAACCGATAACTAAAGTTTCATTGTAGATCAGCTCCCCTATAATAATGATTTAATAGGTAGATCGAGTTGGGACATCTAAACATGACCTTTCAAGCTTTTCAGGCAACAGAATTTCGACCAATCGAATACAACCCCAAGACCTTCTGTAATATTTCATTTGCTACCGATACGATCACCAACGAATACTCGCCTATGTATTTAAGATTTCCGTGCAGAAATAAAATGCACAATCTAAGGAGCATAAAAAGTCATTGGGGCCAATTGGCCTACTAACTAATCCGTAGTTGGGTTTCGTGTCCGGGCAATAAGAAATCTGAGTGGGTAAAGGGGGCAGATTTATTTTTTAAAGGAGGGGGGTTTAAGTTAAAGGAGTTGATCGTTTACACTAGCCAAAGCCTTTGAAGAACGCCAGCTTGGCTTGGCTTGTGTAAGGGTCTAAGGGTCTAGGTTAAGGGTCTAAAATGTTCCTAGAAGTGCAAGTGCGAGCAAGTATTGTACAAGCGCGACTGCAACTGCAACTGACTGCGCAGTGACCATAAGCGCGGCTCTGGGCTCTGGGTCTTATTAGTTTCAATAACCTTCCATAGAAACCCTAAGGACCTGTTTGCTTAACTTTTTCACTTGCAAATACCTGAATCGTAGCAACCCATCTGATTCATTAACTTTTATACCTTTAATTCATTCCTTATCTACCTAATTTACGTTGAGGTCGGCGTAGTCACACATTGACCAATACAAACTTGACTTTGTATTATTCCGCTCTCTTATTCCATCCTCCTACTCCCCTACTCCCCTGTCTCTTCAACCATCCTCTTCCACACTAGTTTTTTATGAGAACGATTCTACCTAGCAACAACTTTCGCTCAAGTCAATTTGGCTTGCCTTGGATTCGAAGAGCGGGCTGACACGGGATGACGCGCGATCGTCCTTCCCATGAAATTTTCAAAGGGCCCTTGCAACCTTTGGTTGCCCATCTGGAAATTCACTTTCCCAGCTGTCCTAATCATAGCCTCATTTCTCCTATTTAAGAGTTTCTGGCCCACTCAGGGCCCTCGAGTCGCGATTCAAGATCCCCAAAGAACACTTAACGTTAGCAAAACTCATACCGAGTCACCTTTCGACCATGATGACAGCAAGATCAGCATCAACCTGGTGGTGGCCACTCTTCGGAAAGATGATATCTCATGGACAGAGGATATCAGATTGCCTAATCTCAACGTAATCCGCTACGTTACTGATGATATGAACGCACCGTATCATCCGCCAGTACCAAAAAAGGGACGCGAGGCGATGATATATCTAACTTATATGCATGACTTCTATGACAACTTGCCAGATGTCACCATATTCACCCACGCCGACGAGAGCCCGTGGCATGTGGAGCGCACATTGAATTCATCCCTTGTATTCGCCATCTCGCACCTGGACTTTCGCCAGGTTTTACAGAGACGGTACTTCAACCTGCGCGTGTCCTGGGAAAACGCATGTCCGGATTGGATTAATACGACCAAGACCGAGTACGACGACACTAAGCAAGAAGAGCACTTCATACGTCAGGCATTCATCGAAAACTTTGCGACGGACGATGTTCCCGAGATCCTTGGTGGGCCATGTTGTTCGCAGTTTGCGGTTACGAGGGATGCCATTAGGAGGCATCCGAGGTCCCAGTATCAGAGAAGCATGACTTGGTTGATGCAGACCGACTTGAAGGACTTCCTCTCGGGAAGAGTTTGGGAGCACTTCTGGCCGTGGCTTTTTAAGGGCCAGGCAGTGGATTGTCCAATCGAATGGAAATCGTACTGTAGGATGTATCACATCTGCTACGACTTGCAAAGCAGGAAGCTGCTCAGCAAGCTGGAAGAAGAGAGGAAAGATCTGGAAAAGAAAACCGGTCTGTTCGACAAGATAGCAGATCTGCTAAATGGTATGGAGAATAAAAAGCGCTTGGGGGAGATTTATGCTATAATGGCGGCAGAACTCGACAGTGCACTCGAAAGAGGGAGGCAAGAAGCAGTACGGATGCAGCTGCTCTCGGATTCTTTATGAAAAAAGAAAACTACGGCCACGGTCAGCCAGGTTCGTTGTATATGATACCCTAACTTTGTTAATGATAAAAGGATTGCTTGAACTCATCGCTCGTCTATTCAATACCCGCCAGCTGATTCCTTCTCGAGAATGCAGGCTAGGCCCTTTGCTGCAAGGAACGGTTGGGCCTATCGAATGACCCTAATTATTAGCCATGACGATGTCGTCAAAGTTCTATCGTGAGGTTCTTACATAATTTACTACTGCGACACAAGTAGCATACGTCAAACCATAGACCCGACAGAAGCCAATCAAAGAATAGCCGGTTTTCTAAGAAGGTGACCTTTAACTGATGTGGTGTAACGAGGGTAAGAACCTTGGTTGGAGGTATCTTCGGCCCTGGAATAGCGCGTTTTAACTGACGAAACGGCCGCTAACCCCGCAACTCCGGCTTTCGGTAGCGGGATTCCCATGGGGTACTAATAGAGCTAGCAGGGGGGATTCCTCTTCAACCGCAACCAATAACATCGCAAATGTCACCCTATTCGCTTAAACTACACAAAGCCCATGTCGTCTCCTTGTCATAACATTGTCATGGGCACGCTGCCACCGACAACCGGGTCCTTTGATCTCTTGGACAGGTGCCTTCTTTTCGGTTATAGACTGCCCCCGTGCGGAGGAGTTGTCGATCTCGAGGGGTTAGATAATGGGGGTCAATGGGGGTAGTACAGCTTGTTCCGTTCAACCAGCACAGCAGCGTGGAGTGCAGGGAGAACTTGTATGTACGTATGTACGTTAGGTATGTTGGTAAGCCGTAGGTGACAGTTGATATGCAGCGTCACATCGATCCTGCAATGCAGATTTATCGAGCCGAGCTTACCTAGCTATCGGACCGTCCTCTCCAACCCTACCTTGAACGACAAGTAAGAGGTACGCAATAAAACCAAGGGTGTTCGCCCCCAGTATGCTTAAGCTCTTCCCGACATTCTAAAGTCAAGATACCCGACAATTTCAAGACATTCGAATTAGCGCGGCCAGCCAGCATGGCGAGCACACTGAGCGAGAAAAGCGACCCTGAGAAAGCAGTCTCGACTGAAGAGACTGCCATCGGCAAAGATGGCGGGACGTCTACCACTCACGGCATACCTGATGTCGCGAACCTAACCCAAGCTAACATGAGGGGGTTGAGAATGCCGGAGATCTTGACGAGGTTGACGCCCGAGCAGCGTCTTGAGCTGGAAACGCGGCTGAGGAGGAAAATCGACTGGCGATTGCTCCCGATGATAATTCTCATGTGTCAGTGAATCTTCGTTGTTGTTGTTGTTTTCGTTTTTTCCTTTGAGAAGGAAACATACTAACACGCCATTTCTACTCCAGACATTCTGAATTATATCGACCGGTTAGGACTCCATACCGCTAGTACGTGCCCAAGAAATACTAATAGGCTGTAGGAATAATATCGCGGCCGCAAAGCTCGCAGGTCTGCCGGAAGATTTGAATCTGAATCCAAACGCTAGCGAATTCCAGGTGCGCAGTACGTAATTTGGTGCGAAGACGAAGATATTAACGTTATTATATAGACCGCTGTGAGCATCTTATTCGTCGGGTTAGTATAAGGCCTCTCCATAGCGAGGAACGAAGCGTAGAATGAAAACTGACAGGGCTGGTTTTTAGCTATTTGCTCATGCAGATACCATCGAATATATTCCTGAACAAGATCGGCAAGCCGGCTATCTACCTCCCAGCATGTGTATGTTCCTAGTCGATTTCGATGTACCTAATACTTAAGTGGGCTTGTGATGAACTGACCAGCTATGATAGATGATGGTATGGGGTGTTATTTCGGCCGCTACAGCCGCAGTGACCAACTTCGGCGGGCTTATTGCCGTTCGTTTCTTTCTAGGTTTCGTTGAGGCGGCTTATTTTGTGAGCATTAAAGACTCTCGTTAAGGTTGGAAACTCCATCTAACAATCTTCTAGCCCGGTTGCCTCTATTATTTGAGCTGTTGGTGGTATGTTTATAGATCATTATGAGTTTCGCTCTATACAGCTGCTAACTTCTTTGTAGTACGTAATTTATTCCGCAACCATTCGATATAACGCCCTAGGATGTCATCCGTCAGATCTTACTAACATGTCTTAGATACGCGTAAAGAGCTAGGACTGCGCACGGCGTTTCTCTATTCGGGGGCGCTGATTTCAGGCGCGTTTTCTGGGTTAATATCAGCGGGAATAACGCAGAACATGAACGGCACAAGAGGCTTAGGCGCGTGGCAGTGGCTTTTCATCATCGAAGGCGTTATCACCGTCGGTATTGCATTCGCTGCCTTTTGGATCCTGCCTAACTTCCCTCGGACGACTACGTGGCTAAGCGAAGAGGAGAAGGCCCTCGCTGTTTGGCGTTTAGAAGAGGATATTGGCGAGGATGACTGGATCGACAGCGAGCATCAATCCCTATGGACTGGTGCTAGGCTAGCCTTTGCGGATTTGAAAACTTGGGTCTTGGTCAGTTGCAACGAGAGGGGTTCGAGTGTATAGATTTACTAACTGAGTCTAGTTGGTTCTCCTTTTCGGTATTGTTGCGAGCGGCTCTGTTACGAACTTCTTCCCGGCCGTGGTCAAGACTCTGGGTTACAGCAACGTGATTACGCTTCTCCTGACATGCCCCCCGTATGTGCTTACCGTTATAACAACCTTTATCAACGCGTGGCATGCGGATAGGACCGGTGAGCGCTACTGGCATATCATGCTGCCACTCGCTGTCGCCATGGCGGCGTTCATTCTTGCGGCGGCAACCACCAGTCTGGCACCCCGATATGTGGCCATGATGCTTATGGTAAATTAGCTTCACCCTTGTAACTTGATGATATCTCCCCTAACATTCAAAAGGTCCCGGGAGTCTACTGTGCCTTCGTCGTAGCTCTTGCTTGGATTAGCAACACGCTTCCTCGACCGCCAGCTAAACGTGCAGCCGCGCTCGCTTTCATCAACGCCGTTTCCAACTCATCGAGTATCTACGCTTCGTACATGTACGAGGACAGGATGGCACCTCGTTACATCATCGCGATGTCGGTTAACTGCGGTACTATATTTCTCTCCATGATCGCGGCCACCGTCATGCGAATCATACTCGTCCGGCTGAATAGGAAACTCGACCAGGGCATTTATGTCAAGGGAGCCATCAACGCACTTCCGGGAGCGGCGGCACAGCATGGGTTTAGGTTTAAGGTCTAAGGTTGTTATATCGAGATTTTTGATATATAAGGTGGAAAGCGTGAATGGGTGATAGCGTTGTCGTTCTACAGCATTTTTGAACCCGGATACTCCCGTGAAGCTTGTATATACTTCTCTTGAATGTGGCATACTTGGCAGGGGAGTGTAAAGCTCAAGGTCTATGTTACTGTTTCGTTCGCATAGCGAAATATTAAAATTAGGCCTGATATAAGTATTTCCCTGTGACCCTGTCCTATTGTAAGAACATAATACATTACCGCGCCAGGGTCGGAGGGGGACATGATCTCAGGGATTATATCACCTTATAAGATTATTTTAAAAATTTAAATATTATTATAATATCCCGACATTGTTACCAGGATAATATCGCACATCGAATCATCTTGAGTCTCCGTGACGATGTTTAATGAAAATAGCCTCATCTTTCCGAAGGACTATTGCGCTCAAACTTTTTTTATTATGTAAGGAAACTGATAAGGAAACTGATAAGGAAACTGATAAGGAAATATATCGCGAAATACCTCAGTAATTACGTAAGTACCTAATAAGCTGATAAGCACCCACATTTACAATTTTGATTGGCTAACTGACGATAGTATAATGGTATGCCTCCTGACGATATGCCTCCCCAAAAGGTAAGTATCTTATTTCTTAAAACCCTTGTATTTTACATATAATCTCGGAACTTCGTGACCTTATCTTTTTGAATATAATGTATTTTTTACATAATCGTCTCTAATTCGAAAGAATTGCCAAATCGCATGAGGGTCTCGTCAAGAACATTACTCATTTATAGGATCGTCAAAAGCTGTTCACCTAATTGAAATCATTTCGAATCGTCAGGATCATCCCTGAGATCATGTCCGCCTCCCACGCTGGCGCGCTAAAGTTTCTGGTAGCTCCACGTCCTTTCTCCACTCCTCTCATTCTCATCAACCTTCACTCCATCTCGACGACCTTGCCCATCCGGCGAGGACGTTTCTCCCCAAACTTTGCCCAACAGGCGAAGCAATTCATCAATTCTCATCCATCAACATTAGCCGAAAGATATCCATTTCCAATTGCTCGATTGCTTATACCATCTAGAGACCAAAGATGCCCCTGCCCCAATGTCAGAAGACAATACGAACATAGCGAATTGTTGTCCAGTAGCCGCTTTTCTCCACGAACATTATAATCTTCCCTGAGTAAAGAAGATATCATATTCCAGATGGTGCACGACGCTAAGCATCACTTCGGGCCCAAGAGAATGGCGCATGACCTGGACGCCTTCAGTATAAGAAGAATGGCAGCAAAGTTGGCGCAATACCTAGCGCACTGTCCAGAATGCCAGACAATGCAGACCGATCGGCGAAAACTCCTCGACGAGGTAGTTAAGAATTGGTGTATTCTCCGAGTTGTATGAAGTAGCTGCGTCGTCGACTCGAAACAAATCGGATAGCTGCCTCTTAACCAATTCGATTGGACGAGAAGTATCCCGGCTTCTTTAGCGTATTCTAACCTGGTTTGACACTTATCTGATGTATCATATTATGATATATATACCTTAATAGAAGCATGGACAGGCACATACTATTGGATAGCAGGCCTAGAAAGCTATCTGATATATGACTAGATCGAACAGGGAGAGACAGCGACTACCCAATCAAACTTTCTCAAAGACAAATGGCAAGTAATCTGATCGTCGAAGTTACCGATACCGACCAACGACATGCATGAACCAGGTTTTACCTTCACCGTGAACTTTTTACCAGATGATGGTTTTTATCTTTGTGACTTTCACCATTAATAGCATGTTCCCTCGAGACTCAATACACCTTAATATTCCTCCACAGGCATTCAATATTGGCCCATTAAAGAAACTTAACGGGGAGGCAGGTATTAGATCGGATGCAGTATGAATTCTATGCAACAACTCTTGTCTTTGATCGTCTACAAATATTTCTACCGTTCCATCATATATCACGGCCTCAAATACATGAATCTTTACCTAATCTTAACGAAACAGTTCTAGTATCTCCCAGCTTAAGGAATAGGACACGATGCTAAACGTATAATATAACCTAACGTGACTGACAACTCTGGTAAGTTGAGTTAAAGGTCCTACAACATTTCCATAGATTCCTATTTTACCTCGACATCGACGTCGCCGTTACTCTCTATCTTACCCATGCCTTCCTTTCCTTTACATTTTCGGTTATACTTGCCAGTATACTCGCCAAAAACAAGTCTTTTACACCACTTACCTTACAACTTACCTTACAACTGAACACCCGCACCTCATTTATCATTTATCCTGCTATACTTCCTAAGCTATCAAGAAGACACCTTAACACTAGCTTTCCTCTCATCTCAATATACAATTTCACACCTTCCATCTTTCATAAGCAAGCACAGCCTCTCCTTACTATGCACATACCAAGGTGACTGGACCGTGCAGTTCAACTGCAGCATCAACCCAAGAAGCAGCTCCAAGCTAATCAGGGAGTTTATAAACTTGCATCCTCATCTATTTCCTATTTTCCATTTCCTTGAACTTAAAAGGCAAGCCCTAGTTCTTCAAACCCTATCGTATTCTATTCACTTATCCAAGCTGTAAGTACACTTCCTCCCCGGTCCCTTTTGTGATTCCCGACCTCGTATCGTTATCATGTGAATCTTCATACCATTTCCCTTATTTATGAATTACCTATCCGCACTGCTTCGATCACTACTGGTCCCTCTCGTGTTAGAACTCAACTTAGTAGAGCATTCTACTCAACTACAGCTTGTGTGCCTTGATTCCTCCCTTCCAATACTGCTATGAGATTTCCAACTTATTCTCTTCCTGCCTTGGGAAACTTGCCAAGTCTACTAATAGCAGGTTCCAAGAAGTTTTCACGGCAAGAACGAGGAGATCTGCACTCGTCTCTTTAGACTGTCCCCATTCACATCATTTCTATCCTCCCTCCCAACACCCATACAGACTCGTCAATTTTCACACACTAACTATTGGACTATACTCATTTTATTAACAGTATTATTATATTCTTCATCGAAGAATTATAATTCCTCCCTTGATCTCCCCAACCAGTCCTCCAACCTAGAAAACACCTTGGCAAAGGTAAAAACTAGGTATAGGTATTAACGGTGCCAATATTTAAGAGTGATCGTTTACAATCGAATACAAACTTCGTCCGCTTTCCAATAGAAGGCCACCCTACAGTGAAGCCCCTTGCCTCATTTATTATACCGAATTAATGGCGTTTGCTAGTTCATTCCAACTTTTCTGATCATATCACACCTACCTTTCTACTTATCATACCTACCTTTCTAGTTTTATTATTCCCATATATTGCACAGACGACTTATAGTCCCGCGATATCGTGATATTGTTACATTGTGAGGTTGCGATATTACTCCTCATACCTGCTATCTCAACACTCCGTGACTATGGCTGAAGAAGATAAACCAGGGCAGCCCAGCCCGGGATCATCCCGACCTACGGTGCGTGGCTCGTCCATTTGGAGAAAACTTATCCAGCGAAACCTTCGGCGGACCCATGAGAAAGTTTTAGACCATGGAAGGCTGGACCCGTTTAGATTTTTGAAAGAGGAGGGTACGAGTATATGACCCTAAAGCTATATAAGGAAGCTTGCTAACATTCTCATTGCAAAATTCGCAGAAATAAAGGTCTTTTACTCCAACCACTCACCCCATCCTGATCGGATGATAGACAATCAGATCTTTGCCAGATGGGCTATCGAGGAAGCCCTGCGTGAATATTTGGCCGATACCCCATTCGAAATAACTGGTGGAATTATGCTGGGAAAATCTGTCAAGATGAATACCGGTAAACAAAAGGCCCTCCAGGAAATTACCGAGACCATCAAAGCCGAAAGCCAGCGTGAAATCGATGCTGAGGTAGGTGCTTTCGACCTGAGGCTGACCTCCCAGTTTGGCTCTAACATGTTAATCTCTAGGACCCGAACGGCCCCAAAGAGACCGACAGTGAGGTTGTTCAGGGAGTTGGAACGATAGCGCAATGCATAATTGCAGCATCTCCCAATAGTCTTGGGCCCCCGGTCGAAGCGAGCGCCATGTATCTACGAATGAAGAAATGCGGCGAATACGGCCGGAACAAGTTGGCAATATGGCAATCGCCTCTATTCCCTAAACTGGATGGCCAGGAGGGACGTAGAGGATTTCTCGACAACCAAATCACAGCAATCGTCTGGATATTATCGAGGTTCTTAGGAGAACTCCCGCGACTTAAGATAAAGCGTAAAGAGCTTTGGGATGCAACCAAGAAAAGATATATCCAAGAACCCGAAACACAGATCGAGAAGGAGAACAGAGAGAAGCTGCGCGGTCCCAAGTATTTCGGTGGCATCCTCGCGGATTCAATGGGCCTTGGGAAGACCTTAACTACCATTGCTACCTTAGACATCCTAGCAAGTCAGAGGTTGAACGTGCCAATAGAAGATGGCAAAGCGCGATACCGCCCAATCCTAATCCTGACGCCAAATACCACTGTTGCCACACAGTGGATGGACGAAATCAACCTGATTGGAAGCGAACGTGGGATCAAGCAAATCATAATATCCGGTCATGGCTTTCAGAAGAGAGAAGACCAGAAGAGAGACAGTCGGGAGAGAGGCGGCCAGGATCGGGTTTGCAGCCTCACTCGGAATGAATTTGACACGGCTTGGCCATCTTCGTTAAGTTATGTCTGGGATGAGGATAACTTTTTGGCGGCCAAGACTGTGATTATCATGTCAATTGATACGTTCTCTGGGAGAACGTGCTCCGTCCTGAAGGATGAAAATGGCAACGAAACATGGACTTCTACCTATGCAGACATGCGCCGACGGTTTTCGGTTGTAGTTATCGACGAAGCCTACAAGGTCCGGAACACGGCTACAAGGAACTGGAAGTCTGTGGCTCTCCTTAAACGCCAATTTACACTTTTAATAACAGCTACCCCGTGCCAGAACCATATAACGGACCTCCTAGGTCCCATCCAGATGCTTTGGGATAACCCGCAAGGGCACTTAAGCGAGAAAGGGGTGTTAGAAGACATCCAAGCAATATTTACGGATCCTCATGATTTACGATGTCTTGACAACTTATCACCTAGAGATGACCGCTACCTCATCGCGGGAAGCCCGGCTTTACTAGCAAAGTTGATCTACAAATTCAGGGGATCTTCTCCTATTGACATCCAGGAGACTCGAAAGTTTTTGAAATACTTTGAATCATTAGCGATTTTGCGAAGGGCGCCCAGTTCGCGATTGAATGTCGACTGGGAGAGTACTAAACAAATTTCTTGTGAGTAGCGCCTATATGGCTCTTCTTCCAGCATTCTAGAAGCCTTTTCACTTGCTATAAAGTCGTATGCTCCTAAAATATCGTTATTGCTAATTCATTAAGTAATGACTGCTGACTTCTAATTCTATAGTGGAAGGATTATTACCTACCGTCGATAACTATACAGTCAATATCCAACGCGACGAAGCTATAGAGAAGGAATACCAGGAAATACATATCAACTTACTGATTGATTACCTGAAAGCAGTCAGTAACTGGAGAAAAACCAAGAAAGACGCAGATGTGAAACCTGTACTCTGCTTGCACCGTCTATTCCAGCTCGCTGCCGCTTCTCTTGATGTGCATCGGCTTGATAAGCTCTTTGCACGCAACGGATTTGGCACTCTCTCCCAGGATGTCCATGCCATGCGTAAAGCAAATGTCAACTTCATGCATCTCTCCCCGTTTCTCCTCGAGAAGCATGATTCGAAGCCCAAAGTAGCCCTGGATTATATCAAGTTGGCGGTGCGCAAGTCGCCAATTTTGCGATACATCCTTTATTATATTAAGGAGAACCTCTTAGGTAGGGGACCGAACGGCAAGATCAAGAAGCTCTTGATTACCGAAGCAAGTCCTATGTTAGCATACTACTATGAGCTTGTTCTCCAGTTCCTCCTCATCCATTGTCGTACCCTTCATGCTGGTCTATCATCTGAGGAACGTAGAGAGCTTATCGCCGACTTCAACAGCGATTCAGACCATTCATGCCAGGTTCTGATACAGATGTACACCGTCGGCTTCGCGGGGTCAAACCTGCACAAAAGCTGTTCACAAGTCATAGTCGCATCGCAGGCTTTTAGTCTGTCTGTTCAATCTCAGGCTGTACACCGCGTCATTCGAGTAAGTGCTTATTGATTACTGGAATTACTTGAATATACTTTAGCAGCTAACGAAGATTAGGTCGGTCAAGAATCCGACGTAACGGTACATAGATTGAAGGTCAACAATTCATTCCATTCATTCCGCGAGAGTCGACAGGTCGAGAAGATTCTTCCTGAGCTAGGAACTCGAGCACAGGGGTCAATGAACGACGTCCTAGTGCAGGTGCTTAACCTCTTTCAATCTGAGATAGACGAAGTGTGGAAGACACCAGAGGCTCAGAAGCTCATAGCGGACGAGGACTTAATCTCCAGTCCTATGGCAAATTACGAGGAGCCGGACTCTAAGCGGATCAAACTGGAGGATGGAAGCGCTGTACAGACCGAAGCGGCCCGGGAACAACACATTGTGCGTATTAAACTACCCCTTAAGAGAAAGCGCGAGAGAGATGAACATGATATCTCGACTACCGGTCTGTTTAGGAGACGACGGGGGGATTTTCTCGCCCTCAAGTCTCGCTCTGACTATTACAAGGAATTCAAAGAATTTCCCATGGAGGTGAGGGGCTACTTCTGTCACAAGAAGAATAATCTTCGCAGGATGCTATCGTACGGCAGTGAAGACAATAACGCGACTACACGCGTATGGGCAGTCGAGGATCTTAATGACTCTCCTGTACTCGAGAGAGCTATGGAACTTATACTACGCATTCGGCTCGGGGCGAACAATATTGAGATGTTACCTCTGCCGCAAATCGACTTCTCGCTGGCCCCTCCGAGAAAGCTAAAGGAACTCGCGGGCCTACTAAGCGAAACTAAGGCCATAGAGCAGGATATTCAAGTCGCACAAGACGCGGACGCAAAGAAGTCAAAGAAAGATAAGGGCTTAGCCGTTCTAAAAGTAATGAACGACAGGATGCCCATGCATGAACTTGAGCAGATGCTTAAGGACAACGCTTTTGGCAATAAGTATAGCAAAACTCCTTCGAGCACATCTACGGCGCCTAGAATAATGAATGAGGATTCAGAGGCAGAGGAAGAAGATGATGATGAGAAGGAGGATTTTACCCGGGATGGATCGTCTCAGCCTAGGAAATTCTATGCTGACGACGATGAGAAAGATGACTTGTGGGAACGACTTGGAGCTGCGTCCGGTAGTGGCCAGGTCAAGACCACAATAGAAGACTCAGATGAGCTTACATTTTTGAGTTCCCAGCCGGTCCGCAAGGCCAAAGACCCATCTCATAACCCAAGTGACCTCGTAAATGATGAATCCACCAGGACCAAGATCAAACGAGAAGATTCGGTCGATAGCATGACGACATTTCCGAACGATGGCGCGTCCAGGCGCAAAATCAAGGAAGAGAGCCCTGAGAGAGGCGTAAGCAACGTGGCCAGACCGTCGGATAGCCTCACTACCGATACTCACGAATCGATCGTGATCGAGATTAGCGACGACGACGACGACTGGGTTCGTCCCGTATACCGTCGTATCATGGGATACACACGTTCGGCCGTTGGTTATCTCACGCCAGGATCATCTTGAGGGTTGACAGGCCCACATGGTGGCTATTCTCCCGGTTGGCTGCTGGATAACTAGTGCATGTTATGAACCTTGCGCCGCGCTGCCGCGGGCAAAGGGCAACAAGGGAGGCTAGATCTAGGTGGTTACTTGAGCACTGGTACATATATGCTTTAACTACGGAGAAGGGATGATACCTATAGGGAGTTTATGGTGGGTTGAATGTAACTTCTGATACACCTAGTTGCAGTAACTACCTACCTAATCTAACCTAGATGAATGTAGAGAGTCTGGGAGAATCAAGGAATCTCTAACTACCTACATCTAACTGATCTAGTTCGTCCTCAGTAGATTTGACATATGATACTAGCCACACATACTCTAGATACCTAATGTAACTACCGCACCTAACTGCCGCGTAGGGTAGCAGTCTGCCTCCGGCATAGAATACCGGCCTACGTGCCGTAACATAAGTGGGTTCGAATCCCACTGTGGTCAAACTAAACTGGTCCGACTTAGGTTTTTCCTTGGGCATGTTGGGCGCTGAGGGTGGTTCTATTTCCGTTAGTTATAAGAAAGCGTGCTCGACGGGGTTCCCCCTGATTAAGTTGGCTACTTGGCGCCGGCGTTAACCAGGTAGAGTAATGTTGTAGGCAGGTAGGGGCTGGGGATGCTATAGGTATAGTAGGAAGTGGAGGATTTCTTATGTTAGGCGAAACTCTAGCTCTGTTCCCTTAAGGGAGTATTCTAGAATTCTAAACGTCTAAAGCGCCATAGATGCGCCTGCTGTAGCTACCTACCTAGCTTATAGCAACTAATAACGAGATGTTAATGTTCTTATTATTATTATTATTATTATCCGGCATAGAATACCGTAGCGATCCTAAAGATAGTCCATACGTCAAAAAGACCCATCGAACCGATCACCATATTAGATACATGCAAGGTTATACATAGCAAACATACATACCCGCCTTATGCTTACAACCTGGAAGTTACTCGCATGCGGCATGCCCACTCGCCAAGCATACGATAAAAGGGGGGCTTTAACCAGACTTTTCGAACCCGCTCGGACGTCTTTAATTTGGTACCTAACCTAACCTAATCCTAACCTAATGTAAGATATAAATAAGTCTTAAACACTAGTATAATATAGCACCGCCAATAAGAATCGCACGATGGGTATTTTATAATATGTAGCGTGATTAGTAACAATAGAATAAGCAAATCAAGGCAAAACCAAGATTTCACTTTTGTCTTTACTTTTTTTTTCAACGATGTTTGCTTCGCACGGCAACATAAGTGCGATGCAGATATATGAATAATGACTTCAGTTTCTAATTCGGGTATGTATATCGAGATTGAGACGACAGCTCATTTATAATATATGCAAGGGACGAAATATCGGACGACCTACTAAGCTTGTATGTAAGTATGTAAAAGGACGTTGAAAAAGGTGGCGTACTTGTGGATATACTTGCCAGGATAATTGGTCTGTATGTATGTATGTACCTACCTAGGTATGTATGTAGTAGAGGTGCGCCAGGTATTTTGACTATTAGCTTGTCGCAAGTTTTCTTTCGCCATTGGAGCGGAAGCTTAGCTCGTACGTATGTACGTATTCGCTTTGCCTTATACACTAATTCCAACGTTGCGGTAGATGCGACGTCGCGTTATCCGTACCACGGTTCGGCGTATAAATAGTACAGAAAATGCCGGCCCGAAGGTGTGGAACCGAGATTGCGATAGGGCCGACGGGGATTATTGAAGGCCTAAGGATATAGGTTTATGTTTATGGATTATATGTTAATGTTAATGTTCATGTTCATGTTAATTGTTGATTTGTATACAAGGAAATACGAAATACGTTGGGCATGTGGCTTTGAGACAGACCATTGCATCATCACATGGTTTGCTCTGCATGTGTGTGATGTTTTAAGGGGACTCGATTTAAATATGTATACATGGACCATGTGGCTTCTACCTGGGTATTACGTATCTAACGTTAAGTACTTCCTACGTAGGATACTTGGTATTAACCTCCGATGTATCCGTAATTCGGAAGTAATAACAACAATAGCGGGTCGGGGACGGAGATACACCACGCTAGAAAGAAATCCTAAGACATAAGTAGAATAGCGAGGTAGGTACGGAATACACTAGTTAGTTAATGTATAGTTACCTAACCTTAGGTACCTAATGTTAAGTGGTACTGTACGAAGCAAAGCGGTAGTTAATAAAAAACCCCTGGACCAAACTCCGAACCGCGTACCTAAGTTGCACAATTTATGGTGTGGGCTCCGGAGTTGGCGGGGCCCGAACCAGAAGTTGGCTAGGAAGCACAACGCTAATCTTCTTTCGGATAGCTTAAAAGCTACCCCGCTCTTTCTTTTCAGCCTTACTTTTCGGTATATAGGTACCTCCAGACCTTTGGTATCCACCCTGCATGCAACGCCGATCGGCCGTCTTGGCCGGGGTGTCAAACGTTAGCAGGTTAGGTTACCTAAGGTACTCGGTAGGTAATGTTTCGTTTCGTTTCATTGCTTTAGTAGTCAGCATTACCTTAACGTTATTATCATTCGTCATCCATCATCCACCATTCACCATCCACCATTTACCACAAAGTTGCCAAAACACCATTCTATATACGTCTTAGACTAGTTAGACTAATAAACTAGGGTCGTCGCAAAGATGAGGTAGTAATTTAATTACTTACCTAACCAACCGCAGCATATACATACGGAACACCTAGAAACATGGCTTCGGCAGCGGCATCTTCTCCGTCCCCGTCCGCCATCCCACAGACCCTCTGGGATCTGCAGGTTCCAGTCCTCGTGACCCATGCGAGCGCGCCTAATGCGCCCTTTGTCGCATCGGTGCCGCGCTTCAGTTACCTAGCCCTGCTGCTGCCGCGCCTGTCCGCTTACTTCGGCTTGCCGTGCTCCAGCTTCCATTACGAGGACGTACTGCTGCGCAATCTTGCCGTCGGTTTGCTCGTCGACCTGTACCAGCCCACCTTGCCATGGCGTCTCACCGTTGCCGATGGCCTAAGTTGGGATATCGGTGATACTTTTCTAAATAGCGCCAAAGAGGCAAGTCTTGCTTTTCGTATTCGCCTTCGTACCCCCCTGTTTAGCTTCTTTTGCGGAGAGCTAGAAGATGCAAAGCAATAGACGGACAAGGGGTAAGCTAACTGGAACCAGGCCGACTTTATACGAAACGGCAATGCGCACCAGATCATGTCGCTATCCAAAGAGCATACCACCGCCCTATGGAACGCGGTGCAAGATAGTAAGGCTGTGACAACGCCCCACGGGAGCGGAGCTGACTCGTACGTCGCCAGATGACTACGCCTCCTTCGCCAAAGTCAACGCGCGCCTCCTCAACACCTCGCGCGGCCTGCGTAACGTGCCTATCCGCGTGTACATCCCGCACTCCCCCGACGACCCGGCCGCCGACAGCCAAGCCGGGTCGTTCAAGGTCGTGCAATCGCTCGTGCAGCCGCGCGTCAGCGAGCGTATGTTCCTCTTTACCCCTTTACCCCTATTAACCTCTTACTCGTAGCCAGTCTCACTAATATGCATAACCCGCACCAGGCCATCCCCAGACCCTCGGCGCTGCTCTCCGCAGCCTACTACCCAGCCTGTTCCCCAGCAGCCGGGACCCCGTGCTCGCGGACGCGGTCCTACACGGCGTTCGCGTGCCCTTTGGGGCTCCGCTTGAGGAGCTCATGCGCGAGGCGGCGTATCCGGATGGATGGCTGTGCCTCGTCGTCAAGCCGTTAGACGTGTAGTGACTTTTCCTAATGAACTAACTATCTAGGTAGATAGGGCCCTTAATATAGCGTATGCGTACGTGCTTTTTCGGTCATAGGGAGGTTTAGACGGTTTGCTATGTAAGGGGTAGGGCGCAACGGGTTGGAGGAACATTGCTACGATACCTTAGGTATTTAGAAGCGCGGGGACGAGTTATGTAGTACGAGCGGCACGGCTACGTTCCTGAGCAAGGCTATATAGCATGGCGTTATGCTGATCGGCTTGTTCCTACTTAGAATGTACTTTCATCGTGATATTACTTATTAAGGATATCTATCTTCATGACTTGTGACTTACAACTACTCTATAACGACATACATCGTGGTGTACATAATATATCAACCAAGGCTACCTTTGACACTGGTACTTAATCAAAGCCACTATCACCATACGCCCACCCCTATCCAGCTGGTCCATCCAGCAATTAGCCAGGCACTTTATCTAACCTAACCTAACCTATCCTATCCAGGTAATCAACCTAACGGCCGCGTTTCTCGCCACCGTTATATTGTCCCCATGTCCCACGTACCACGAAACCAGCCACACCAGCACATCCATGCATCCGGCGCAAGGAGATAAACACAAAAAGGTACCTTTAGGTAAGTATGCAAACAGCAGCAAATACTTACTTATAATTCTCCCGCACGTAAAGTAGATACTTGCGCGCATAAGTTCTGCTCCCTCTTCCGCACTTACGTACGATAGCCGTAGCGGTTTGCTTTCCTTTGCTTTGCTTTCTCGGCATACATACATAGGTACATATATGCCTCCATATCAAAACACATAATACAGTGTAATATACCCTCCCCAGCCGGGCGTCGGAATATCCCGTCAAGCCCGTCCCACCCTCCCCCGTCTCCACGTACTCCGTTTCGCAGACTCGAGAACCGATCGCGCACGTACCTACCGACCTATCTTCCACCTATCAACGTCCACTATGTATTATAACTAACCTTAGGTATTATACCTAAGCATGTATGTAACCAGGTAGGTTAGGTTATGTATGCATATGCTAGGAATCCCCAAATGCACCTCATTCCATCACCCATATATCTTGCTTGACTGCACGGATCGCGAAGTTAGGAGCCTGGTTTGTTTGTCGGTACGACCCGGTGCGATGCGATGCTATGCCTCTTTTTATTTTTTATTTTTTATTTTTAATTTGCTCCGCATTACCCCGGCTGCACATTAAATATTCATATATGTATAATTAAATGGATATAGCGAGTAACAGTATCTGGAGCTGGCTCCAAACGCTTGGCTATAGTCACACCAGAGTCCGGTGACAGACAAAGTCACAAATCATCTTCGATACGACAAATCTTCGATGCGCGCAATATTTTCTTTCCTTTGGCGGCGCCAACGCTATAACCTATCTCGCTGCTTAATAAGTACTTAGATAGGGAGATAGATTGTGATGTATGCTTATGGCCAAGCTCCGACGCCCCTTATTCCCCTAGCCGCCTATTCCTTCTCTCCTGACAACTTGCTATTATGCACAAAAGGAACGTGTAACCAAAACTCGGACGCAAATGCAACAGCGTGGAAAAAACGGCAAACCCAAAATAGCATATGTCGCACCTGTATAAGGCACATATATATATATATATATTTGAACGCATGATGCCTTTGTATTGATTGTATTGGTGTGCCTCGTCAAACCCGAGTAATCCATGTAAACCCACCGAATCCTGAATAACAAAACCGATGTGATATTCCCTCGATTCCCTGCGGGAGAACTAGGCCAATGTAGAAAAAGCGAACTCGTTTGTTCGTTTATCTTGCTGCCCGTATCAACGGGAGAGACGAAGACATGCTGGCCGCTCCAGGTACCGGGACTAGTAATAAATTCGCTCGACAGATGACGGAAAAGGGGTGACAATACATATGCAACCAGTCGAAAAGGGAAAGATAACCTAAGTGTCACGGACCGAACGGCCTTTTATCGCGGAGTGGCTCTTCTCCCGATAGGTATTAAGGGCGGGTGTCGCACGTAAACGCCGCACTATGCTATATTCTCAGACCTCCTCGAGCTATTTCTATCAGTAAGATGTACAGTATAACGTCGAGATAACCAAAATATGCGCAGTAAGCCTAGGATTCAAATTCAAAAAATATATACTCGTCGATGTTGATATATAAATGTATGTGCAAAGCAAGGGGTATCCTCAGCTTTCGAGTTCCGTAAACTTTTTTTCACAAGGGATCTTCCAATGCTGCCTCGATAAAAACGCCGGTATTGTATGCTCCAGTGGGCTGGTGCCACGAATGATGACGAAATGGAAATGAAAATTTGCCGGAGACCATGCACAGTTGTGTTTCTGTAGTGCGTAAAAATTGGTACCATAGAGCCAAACATGGTGTCGCGTCGGACAACCCAAAACGCCGTTGCCAGGTGCGAAAACCGCCAAAACTAGATTATTCTCTTCATATCTGCCGTATAGGCACCCCGTGCAAATCATCTAAGTGATAGTCCGTGCTCCAAAACTAGTATCGAAAATGTAGCCGTCGGAATCCGAACAGAAGTAGGTCCCATGACTGTTGAGACGACTTCTCGGAGACGGGACGGAAGAGCCCATAACACCATAACATCACTGGTCGATATCGTTTACGCATTCCATTTTTGTACAGTCCACCAAATCAAGTTACTCAAGGGATCGAATGTGACGGTGGCGGTAAATGCGGAGGCCGTCCAAGTGCGGATGATGGAGGAATATGATAGTTGTCGCCAGGATTGTGCATAGGAGGAAGAGGACCACCGCTCGAAAGGCTCGAAAAGCTCGAACTTGTAACCTCGTATTCATCCCGAATAAACCCCAGGTCTTTAGCTAGGCCGATCAAGATGTTCATATCAGCCCTTAGCGCGCTCGTGGGTTGGGCAATCGATTGAAAGAAGGAGATCGTCCGAGAGAAGAGGTTGCTTAATGTCTCCGCGTCGATAAACTTGTGTAGATACCTATCTCTGTAACATGCTGCTAGGGTTAGAAGATTTCCCCATTGACTGGAAATATGTTAGCGGCCGGGTACTATCATCTATATTAGCTGATTGAACTTACGCGTGAGCTGTTCCGAATACGTTGGTGATAATGATGCGTTGACTACTAGGTATGCCATGGAATGCTCGAGTGCTCTCGACGAGGGCATAGATTGCTAGGCTGGCATATTTGACGATCCTACTGTCTACTCCCTGGGGTACCTCCGCATATTCGGGAGTCTGTTGAGCGTCTGGAGACCCCGCTTGGTTGTGATACGGCCAAGGTTCTCGTTCAAGAATGGCCCTCAGAAAAGGTCGGTAGAGAATAACTTGCGAGCCCCAATACTTTGCACGAAGACGGGCTCCTAATATGTCGCTTGCTGGAGGGTCATTATCGTTCCATCGGTAGCTGTTTGGCACCCAACGGTTTCTCGAGTTCCTAAGCATCTCCTCGATCCGCTTAATACCTTCTTCGATCGCAGGGTCGTCTAACGTAATTCCGTTCTTGTGCTTGTTCTGCTTATCCGAATCGTAGAGCAGGGTATGCACTTGGTTAAGTTGTTTCCGAAGATACAACTGTGCAATGTAACCCGTTACTATGTGCTCTGAAAAACCTTGATTGACAGCATACTCCGAGTTTGGATATGGCATCCTATCTTCATATTGCAAGATACCTGACTGAGGAAGAGGTAGCTCGGCGAGGATGTCGCTATCATCTTAAGTGTTAGCGTATAATGACAGAAGCAATATTTGATAATATTACCTTTCTAATTGCAGGCATGTCCAGAAGGCAAACGCCAGCTGATTGTCCCTGCGTGACTGTCCGATGCTTCTACCTTGGTCGTGCCATTTCGATAGGCGGTCGAGGCTCCTAATCCATTTGTGTTAGTTACGCCAGGCATTTATAAAGTATCTCCCACACCCATAGTCTCTCCCACTTACGGTCTGAGTATGACTTGCAGATTTCGACTTGCAAGCGAGATGTATGACCAGCTCTCGAGTACACGGCCAAGTTGACCGTAATAAAGCCCTGCCAAAATATGCACATAAACGTGTTTTAAATTAAATCCTCCCATGTGGCTACCCATGATATCCATGGCAAGAGCAAAATACTCAAGGCCAGGTATCACGTCTAGATTTCGCCTGTGTGAATGTGGTCCCTTCGAAGCCGACGTATTTCCTTGGAAAGAGGGCCTTCGGCTCATAGGAACCCTCTCACCATCCTTAGGAGACGCCATATTAGATTGAGACTGAGATAAAAGTCCCGGGGGTGATCCTTGCAAAGGTGATGCTAGAACGCCGTTGCGAACAGAAGGTGAATGATGCATTGGCGAGTCCGACTCGTGAACCGGGTCTGGTATCCTGTCCTTGTGCAAGCAAATCTTGCCTAGAGCAAAAACCATCAAGACAAGAGCGCTATGGACACTTCGGAAAGGTCGGCCAGGCTTCACGAACGACGTCGATGGGGTTTGCTCGTCCGCAGCTGGTGATCGCTTCCTCTTCGTCCCCGCTTCAGAAAAAGACGGAGGTATTGCGCTCGGCTGGTTGACGAATCTCGCACTCGCACCGAGTTTGCTGTTCTGGTAACTTTGCGACTTCGGTAAAGACTCGAGAAATATTTTAACCATTGCGGTGAGCTCCCTCGGAATGATTATGGGATGCATATTAAGAATATTGTCCTTGAAACTCTGTACGTATTTCCAGATCTTGGTCGAATCCCACTCTGGATTTCCATCAACGTTAACAACACCTCCCCTATACTCGACACCGGGAGGAGGGGTTAGACTGCCCACTTGGCCCCATGCTTCTCCCATTGGCGAAGGAGACGCAACATCGGAACAGTCGTCTAGCACGTCAGTCATTGTATGGTCTGGTGGCGTTTCTTTGTCGGAAGCCCGAATGTCCTGGTCGAACCCCTCGCCTCTCCCAAAAACGCGGAGTATACCACGCTGCTGTTCCTGGCGGATTGGGTATTCGTCCGGATGAGATATTTTCTCGGCCTCCATCAGATGATGAACCATTCTCTTAATCGATGGCCACTTCAAAAGTAAACCAGCTAACGTGGTGTGATTTGGGGGCATAGCAGGTTTGCCAGGCGTTACGACCGGCCCCGGATTAGCTTCCATGTCGTCATCTTCTGTCGCTTGCAGCGTAAGTTGGGCCTCTTCTATAGTTAGACTGGGTTCTACAACAGTTCCCCCCGGCGATGACAATGTTTCCTCGGGCTGTGCTTTACTAGGCGTAGGGGAGGGAGAATTATGAAACTCTGCGCGCTCTTCTTCCTCGATCGACTCGACTTTCAAATCAGTCCCAGGATTAAGCTGCATGATTTTCGTTTCTAAATTAGCCACCCGTTGATTTTGACTCAGGTTGGCCTGTGTCAATCCGGCAAGTTGACTATTAATATTCGTAAGTTTATTATTTATTTCCTCCCTCATCGAGGCCAACATCTCTATTAAGTCCGCGGTAACCTTATCTGGCCTACAAAATGGTAAGTACCTTGTTCGCTTTTCATATTATTAGGTATGCATATATATATGTTTCACTCACTGTTTTGCAGGGGGATCTCGGTATTTACAGTCGATATTCTTCTCCCGGCAATTCTTACAAGGTTTAGTCTCATCGCATTTAGCTTTGAGCTGCCTACAACTATCGCAAGCCTAACACGCATCCCATATTAGTTGATATGTAACAACTTGCTTAGGGAGTACTACCTGTGAGGCACGCTGAGCTTTCCGCTTAGCGCTAGTCGCAATTTCTAATGGGTACATAGAAGCTGGGGGGCCGAAGACATGAGGACTATCGTATTGAGGATGCTGGGCGACTGGTGTTGGTGGAGGAGGGTGGTAGTTCTGCGGTGGTGGCCTATACATGGCTGGCGAGTGTGGCATCGAGGGACCACTATCGTAGCTCATATGCCGTCGCGGGTCGTCTTGATGATTCGGATGCGGAGGACCATGAGGGCCAGGCGGGAGATTATCTGTAACGTTGCCGGTCGAGTTCGGTCGGCGCAGCTGGGGGAGAGAATTATCCTCGCCAGGATCTCGCTTTACGACCGGTTCCCGCGGTCCATAGGGCGGAAAAGACGGATGCGCTGACGAGGGAGGCGGAGGAGGCTGTCTGTGAGGATCATGCATTGGCGGATATGGCTCATGTTCATGATGGCGACGGTCGTCAAGATGGTGATGAGCTGGTGGTAAAGAGGGCTCTGGAGGTCGCGAGAAGGGAGGCGGATGTTGATATGGCGGCGGCGCAGGATGGTGAGGGCCTGGTGCTGACGGGTGGTGTACGGCGGTAGGATGAGGGAGTGATACGGCCTGATGCGAAGACCACGACGGTCCGGTCTGCAAGAGCCGGGGACGTTTGGTCTCAGGCGGCCCAGGTTCCATGCTTGGGGTGTTATATGGGTAGAGTCATAGGCGGCGGGTAGATGCAAGCACAGGTCAGGCAAAAAAAAGGAACAACGGGGAATTTGGTCATGAGAAAGGCGATCAGGAAGGAGACCAAAAGGCCCCGAAGCAGGATGGAGCAATCGGCTCGTCGAGCGCCAAGCCCCCAAAGCTCAGACTGCGCGCTGGTCAGTTGGTGTGTGGAGGAGGGAACTCTGATGATGTCGCAGCTCTTATTGGTGTAGGTATGATGACATTGAAGGGTCGGTGTAATCGAGTAGGGGACAGGCTGCGAGCTCGTCAGTTCTCGAACGAGGCGCGTGGAGGCGGTCCCGGGTCCCTGGGTGAAGCTTTACGGTCCGGAGGAGCCCAAATCCAAAGATCAGCAGTTGGGCAGAGACGGAGCTACTACTAACTACTACTGTACAGTACAGGTTCCCGTCGAGGGGATTTCCAAGGATTTCTCGAGGGGCGTAAGGCAAAAAAAAAGGAACGACGTCGTCAAAAAACCTCAGGAGACGACGAGGTTTTGGTGGATTGTCAAACAAGGAAAACCGCGAGAGACAGCGTGAAGTAACCAAAGTGGGTAAAGAGGGTCATCAGCAACAAGCTTAGGTTATTTCGGCGTCCAAGAGGCGTTTTCCATGGGCAGCAAGAAGCCCTGCAAAGCTGGGGTGAGTATGTACACGCAGGATTGATACTGTACGGTAGCATGTACTATAGCATTGTACCGCGTAAGGTAGTCGAACCCTTGTCTTCATATAGTAATGAGCGCGCGTATCAACTAGGGTAAGCTACCTCCTAGGGCCTAGTCGTAGAGCAGGGGTCTTGGGTGGATGATGGATGATGGGGGACCGACGGGCAGGCGATCGATAAGTATTGTACAGTACTATGTCAGTACTATGTTTATTGCACCTTTATTACACCTCTTGGCAGAGTGGATGGCCAAATGTAGTAGACCGTCAGGTAGGAGGTAGGTAGTAGGTACCTACAGCTAGCAATGTAGGTAGCAGTGATTAGGTAGGTATGGTAACGGAGTATGCTGACACGTCTACTGCGCAGGCTCGTGATTGTTGCTGCTGTGGTTTTTGTTTCTATCGAGTGCTGGGTACGGCGAAGAAGCGTCCGTGTTGCTCAGAACCGAGGATATAACACATACGACCCATAACATATATATGTTAGGTACTATATGTACGTATGTACGTCTGTAAGTACGTACGTAGTGTATGTACGCTGCTGGAGAACGACAGCGGACTATTATGTACGTGTGTATTGCGCATACATGCCCAAGGTTGGTAGGTAGGCAGGTAGGTAAGTAGGCAGTTAGTTAGTTACCTTTACCTAAGTTAGTATTTCAGTCAAGTTAAGTAGTAAGTAGTAATAATAGTAATAACAGAGCGGTGAGAGAGACGACCGACAGAATTATGTATGTATGTAATAGCGAACTTGTTGCGATGGCCTCTTTTTTTTGGAGCCCGCTTTTCTGTGGAGGACTTCCCAAACCAAGGTTCTAATTGACGAATAACGGTTACTTCTACGCTTTTCAGCGAACCTACTATGTAACTGAATAGGAGCTAATGTTGATAGCGTCGTGGGTTCGGTGGAATTTAGCGACTCTGCTATTTCATAAGTATAGTATTAGGTATATAAGGTAGTGTAGAGCTATACGTACGAAGTATAGAGCTAAGAGCAGGACGAGCTACGAATTTGAACTCGTGCTACAAAACAGACATGGTAGGTAGTGTGTAGGTGGTATATTATGAATATTATAACAGCGCACAAGACAGTGGTCCAATCACAATGGAGAGCCAACGTGTGTCTTGTCTGGACGAAGGAGGGGAGCTCTATCGGTATCTGTATCTGCGGCGTGAGGGATGAGAGAGATATGCGAAAATGATCGGAAGCCGACCTGGAGCACGTAGATGGCACGTAGATTGTAGATGGTCCCGTTTGTGTTTGTGTTACTACAGGCTTAACATACAGATACAGGCTCTAACTACAGCGTGTTACCATACGTACACTAGAGGTACTAAACGTAGTGCCTTACATTTACGTACATTATGTACCTCGTACCTACTCTAAGCATAGACGATACATGCAGATTGAAGGTAACGAGGAAAGTACTCGCATAATACAAAATTTTTTTTATTTTTTTTTGGCAAGCGGCGCCTCGTGCTTGGCGTCATGTCTCTGTTCGGCCTGTCTCGCCTTACTTCATAGCGTGGTCCAGATAAGTTAGAGCCGGTGGAGCACGCTTTAATAGAGTCCGACCGACAACGGTCTCGTCACCTTCAAGACATAGGTACCCGTCCCTCCAGTAGGTTAGGTATGCTTAGTCGAGGTACATATCACCTGAACGCAGATGCCGGAGAGAACGTGGCTGCCGGCTACATGCCTGCCTATTTATATGTACCTATATATTGACAGTGCTTAGAACGGAAATGCACAGTATAGGATAAAGGTAATATATATAATTAAAATATGCAAATCATTATTTTTATGCGTAGATATATGCGCAATATTTAAAATAGAAAAATATTCGTATTTGTATCTAATGCTATGTTATTTAAAGATCAAAACTCTCAGACCTTCGACGGGAAAAAGCCATAAAGTTTTGTCTTATTCGCATATGGTCAAGCATGGATTAGTTTGCTTTCGACCCTGATCAGGTGTGAGTGCAACAGGGATATTCCTTACAACCTCTCACGCGTCTAAGCACGTCTCTGCGTCTACGTCTTTGCGAAGGCGGGGCAATCTTAGCAAGTGAACACACTCTCCGCTCGACGCCGTGTTTGACGACGAGGCGGATAGGTTCTCTTTCCCCCAAATCTCTACGTTAGTAAAACACACCCCCTAGACAAGATATATGCTTCATCAGTTTAACAAAGAGAATGGCTACGAATGATCAATAAGCTTATTCTAGAATCCATTCGACCGTCAGTGGGACTAGATTGACTCGGTATACTACCTAAGGTACATAATGTTAAACGCGACGCTTGACACATTGGTTTTGACTTGGTCGAATACCACCACATCTGCAGCTTTCTTTTGACAGGACCACTTCTCAACCAGACTTTTTCCCTTCTCAAGTCTGATTATTACACTACATTGGCTCAATAGCCCTGGAAGCGGCTGATGGGTACCTGCAAGTACAGACCTGCATGTCCCTGGGTTTGGTATTTAATGGTACCTAGTGCTTGGGTTGCGGGTATGCAATGTGTGAGCGGCACTTCTTTTCTGTCTCTGCTCATCTTCACCTCGTTCGAAGTTGCATCAGTTGTTTGCTATGTATTAGCTCTCGGGGATCGACTGCGCTAACAAGGGGCTTAGCCAACTACGTGCGTACGGCTTCCAACTCTTGTTGATTACGATACGTATAAGAGGGTCGATATATGACCACTATTGAATAATGAGAGACATAATTACGGTCCGTCACGAGGTTTTAATTTCACATTGCTTCGTGATGCTTAGTGAAACTATTTTCTTTAATGTATTAAGGTAGTTAATAGATACCTAATATACTTGATGATTTCTTTTTAACATAGGTATGTAAGTACGTAGATACAATCAAAATCAAACATTTTAAAGATAACTAGTCAGTTTCTAGCCATTAGATATGACAGCAGTAATTATTGCCCTCATTCTTTCCAAACAAACTTAGTTGGAACCACTTAGTCCATTGGTATGAGCGTTGACCGCTAGAATTCTAAAGCGTTTCCATTTTCTAAGCCTAACCTAACTAACTGCTTGCTAAGCCTTATACTGATGTACTAAAAAAACAAACTGGCGGTCTGTTAGTGATAGAATTGAGAATTTTACGAGTTAACCGTGACATCTTTATAAGATCGAGGGCAATTGCCGAGTTAATAGGAGGAGCAAAGACGGGATCTCTAAATAGTTGCAAGCTTCCGAGCGTAATGAGGATGGGGGCTTAGTGAGATGATAGGTAGGCATGTCAAACGGTTAGAATCAAGGTCGTCGATACGGATAAGCACCCCTCCTCCTCCCAATTCCACCAATCCCGAGAAATAACGATTCTGATACCACGCCGCAGTCGTACGCATTGAACTTCCCGCCTCCGTATGTACATATCGGACCCCAATCCAACCCATTTAAAAAACCGGATCATTACAGCGACCTGGCTTGGCTGGTGGTGAGGAGGCATACACTACGTAGATCGCTGTCAAGGAGCACGGTCCTCATGCGGGTAGAGTTGATGTGACATGCATGCATTCATGGTCATGCCGTGAGTAAGTAGGTACATTACATATTGGAATGACACCAATATGCTGTAATGGTTGACATGAGGATGGATATAAGCTTTTAGGAAATGGCCATTTTCCAACCACATTGCGAGCACAAGTATGGATAATAGTCTTGGTGCTATTGATGTACACTTCAGTTATATTCTAGTTATTATTATTATTTTCATAGTTAACTAGTTGATAGATGATCGGGTCTTTAAGGGATTGACTGGCAAGGGTATATTAATGGCTTTACGCGGCCTGCCCTTAGGTTACTTAGGCTACTCAGTGCCATACATGAGCATCGAACCACTCCTCATTAATGATTTTCATGACTTCCTTTTGTAGAAACCCCGCTAGATTTATTTACGACGTTATGTGGTAAGTCCGCTGTAGGCCAAATGCGTAGCAATATGATACTTAGGGCTAACAATATAAAGTAAGGCCTGGATACCATGTTATTCGTAATAGGATGTTGCTATTTAAACAGATGGTTAATAAGACTTATCATTGTAGATATTTACACGAGGTATTTAGTACGCTTAGTTACGATAGAAAGTAAGCTACCGTCTTGTCTTAAGTCTTTAATTGACTAAATTTAGGTGACGATCTAGCATGTAGAATCACGATATATTGAAGGATATATAAAAAGATGCGCATATATAAGAATACTCCCGAGTCTTGTGCCTTAGCCGCGTAACATATTCATGGGTAAAGTAACCTTAAAGAAATAATGTACCGAGCCAAAAGACGCCGATCGGAGGTTTCGGCCCATGGACCCGCAAAAAGGGATTCGATTGGTAAATCTCGAACGGTCGTTCCGATTTCCTATTGCGCGTGGTGTTTTTCAGTTACACATCTTCTTTACACGTGTTATTAAAAAATGAGACATGATAGTAGCAGTAACCACAGCTTATGCTCGATTATATGAAGATGACGACACGACCTAGTTATCAGTCGTGTTGATAGTAAAAATTCAAAATTCTCCTGCGTTACGTAGTGTCGATATTTAACGGAGACAAGTTTAAGTCCGGCATATACCGAGAGAGCCGTGTCTGTGGCTGATATATTGGCTATTCTTTACATAGTACTGAATCACTTAATCGTGGCTCGGATGTCTTTCATGAATCGAAACAGTCGTTATGTGACATCGGTCATGTTCAGCCTTGTGCCGCTAAATAATAGTTCCGAGACGCCTGGTGTCACTGAATCAACTACCAGACTACCCACGCGATAAATTTCAAGGCGAACGGTTAGCGTACAATACAATACCTTTGTAACTAACCTAGTTAGGTAGCTCCGTACTACTCCGCCAACTCCGTCGGTGAGATTATACGTAAATGTTAGGCAGCCTTACGTATACCGCCCGCTGTTATACCTTACTAGTTATCCTTGGCTGTTTCGAAGCTCGCCAGCTTCCTTTGTTGCGGTCTTTCAGAATCAATGCGTAAAGCGTAGATATTGCGAGATATCAACCGATGTCAAGCAGCTCATAGATAACGCGGAGTGTTATGATTCACTTAACTAGTTATAGGCAGGGAAGATGTTTGGCATACTTCTATCCGTGCTCTAGGTTGTACAGTACCCGTTACGCCCTGTATGCCCCGCAGCTTATTGTCGTCCCTTATTTGTCTAAATATTTCCATCCTTGCTAGCCACTAACAACGAGGTCATTACCTTGAAAGTTGCCGGATTTAGCGACCCGCAGAGACCTAATGTCCCTTCACACAGACATAACAGTCGCACTCATCCATGTCGAGGATGGAGCTTTGAATGGTAACTCATTAGCCGATGAATTCCCGTGTATATCATGCAACTTGTGTAGAGGTATACATACATGCCATTGTAACGCGTAGGTAGATCATGTTAGGTAAACGCTCTAAGATTTGTCGATGAAGCCCAACCTACCTAAGTTACGGGTCCGGCTAATATATTTAGAAGCCACGTGCGCAGAGAGTCAAGGCAATGTTAAGAATCCGTGATACCTAGGTTAGGCGATTTTCATCTGCTTCGGACCTAAGTTGCAAAGCTGAAGACCCCGAGACCCCGAAACGTTAAAAAGAACCGAACGTCATGATAATCCTCTTCGGTTAGGTTAAGTTCCCACTGATGCGCTACCGTATTTAGACGAGTTTCTACCGGGGCTATCTACACTAGGCTAACCTTGCGGCGGTCAATGAGCTTACGCCAATCCTTCTAAATATAATACGCGCTCCATGTATACCTAGGTAGGTATACTTAAGTCACGATAGATGATTGCTTTGATATTCGGGATCCCGTTGCTAATTCGGCCGAGTTTAATACACACATCATTATAAATTAGATGATAAGGAATAGTATTACTCTTTTTAATACATTATCTGATACGCCATCCCTTAAGTCATCAAGCAAAGGGATAAAACTATGTTAAGTCCGCTTTGAGTATTGCCTAGTACGGCAGTAAATCCGTAATAAGCGAATGAACGGGCATTCAACACCCAGCATCTAGTTCTTTTTTTGTGGCGCCCAATAAAGTTTTCGATCGAGCCCCGGAATCATGGCTATGGGAAGATCAATCTGAAGTAATGATCTCCTTTCGGTGATGTATTTCCCAGCCGAAAATTTTATTCGGATTTTTATCTTAAATGCCATGTTCCACTACGTCAATTCGACTTTCATGACCCAACTACCTTGTCAAGAGGGAAAATACGACCAAACTCCGTTGAAGATCTTATGTGCCACCATCATGTCCATTATACCATAATAGCGAAGCTTATAATGCACACGATTTTAGCAGCCACATGACTACCTAAGCAAATTTGCTTGCATCGTTTGTACTTGAGTTCATAATCTTAGAATGCGGACTTGGGGACATAGATTTTCCAAAGACCATCTACATACATGCCGCTTTTTTACCCGCCAAATCTCCGACTAAGGGGCAGTGGAGTCCCTTTCAAGAAATACATAATAAGAGTTACCTACGATGAACGAATCGAAACAGCAATACCGATACAATCATTCTTCCGCTAGGCTTACATTGCTTAATCCGACTTAGCTTGAAAGAAATTAGTGGTTCTAGCGGCATTCTACTGGCTTCGAGATCTCTTAGACAACATTGCGGGGGCTAGGTAGATCATGCTAAACCCCCCACAGGAATATCACCGAGGTGAGCTGTGTACCTTTTTATGTAGCTATTCACAAGCTTGTCGGTGTTACCTTTGTATGCAAGCTCAGGGTATGACCTCGTGTAAACTTAGGATACCTATGAATAGTAAACGGCAAAAAGCTGCAAGGCTACTAATAAATTTACTAAGTTGCTCTAGGTCTAAGAAGCGAGGCTGGCGTCTTAAGTCGATACATATCCTGACTTATATACATATATTTTAAGTTGCTATTAATATTATGTAGCATAACACATTTACACCACGTTCCATACAGCCGGATAGTTCTTACGAGGAATGCTAAAATTATGGGCCAACAACTTCTCTGCTGATACTCGATCATAGAATTAAATTACCTAGGTAGCATGTGTACGATGTCTCGCAAACGTCATCACGGCGATATGGAAGAGAGGAAAAAAATCATCGTTGGTCATAATTTGCGTAATTACCTACCTACCTAGGTACTAGGTAGAAACAAACCCATGGAAATGGAACTGCTATGTTCGTATGGGTATGCAAAGCTTTGATTACCGTGCGGTACATGATTTTCCGCAGATCACATCTAGACTTCTTCTATCCTTGTCAAGAACCCACAGGACCCCCGAAAGTCAACGATAAGACAAAGAAAAGCTACGAACAACCTACAATTCCCTATGTATAATACATGATGGTCTGAAGAAACGAAATAAGCATATGTGTGCCTAATCTTGTAAGAATCGTACGGCAGTAGCATGTAAGCCTTACTAGTATAGAATGTTAAATGTTTTCCTATTGTAGCAACACTTTGCCGAGATAGCAGCCGAAAGGATCATTACGACTAGTAACGAGCAGGGTCTACACTAGTGTATGTACGTGAACCACGTTCCAGGATTCAGCTAAGCATCGAATTTGTACGATACAATACATGCCATCAAGGTATGTATTGTACAATACATAGAAACGAATTCGCAACAATGATATCACGTGGTTTCCGACGTTACCAGTTACTTCTGAAGAGTGCTACACCAAGGTCCTTGCGCTTCAGGGGTCCTCCCCGCCTCTCGATGGGTTCGTTGGGTTCGTTACCCAAAACCGGCCCCAGGCCATCGTTGATTGGCCATTTAGACGGCGCAAAGTCCGCCACCAGGGGATTCAAGGGGCTCAAGGATATGTTTTGTACGACCCCTCTAGACCTTCTGGATCCTCTCCGCCGGTAAGGCATGAATGTGTTCGATCAAGCCTTTTACGATCGTTAATAGATGCCCAATAAGCTCGTAGTTTTACCAACCCGCAACAATTCCTACTTTTAGACAGATCTACCGGACAATTTGACGCGCCCTTTTTCGGTTTTCCCTTAATCAAATTGTCATGCAAGGGGGGCCACGAAATAATGACTGATCGCAAAAAAGAACGTAAGCTGACACAGGATAACAATACACACCCCATACCTACCTCCTCTTAACCATGCCCAACCATCGCAAGGACCAGCCTCGCAAGAAGACAATTGGATTGATCTGTCCAAGACAGGCATATAGGTATGCGCGTCTTTCTGCCACGCTAGGCTTGGATAACAATTGGTTGCCTCTCTACGAGGCGCGGCAAAGGCGTCGATCCGCTTAGCCTCGTTATAAGTTTCCCTTCCTGCCAAGAGCTTTCTTCAAGTATCTGGCCTAATTAATGTTCCCAAAGGAGCATCAATCCTAAGCCTCAGCTGGTGTTTGCACGCAAGCAACATATGAGAATATGAGAACTGACACCCCACGATTCTACCGGATATGGCATTCTTCTCGTCCTGACATTTTGCGTGCCTTGACGGTTTTTTCGGAGTTTCGAATTTGGTCGTTCGGATAACTACCCTCGTTTTGCTATACGACGACTGACAGATTTGTACCTAGTTGCGGAGTTTACGATCTATCAAAGTTACGGCCTCGACTATTAGAGATAATTACAACGTGTGTGAACTGTAAGGACAAGACGGTAGTTTACTTGCTTATATCGGTATCCTGCGTCGAGTCCTGGCAAATCAATGCAGCGCAATGCAGCCGCTGACTTACTTTGATTGAAATATATTGCCATCTAGTATGTCCTATTATCAGTCGGCAATAATGTTGATTGATGTTTACCTTTTCCCGTCTCATCTGCGACATGCTAAGTGATTAAAGGGCTTTTCGCTAATTGGCGACTTGTTTTCCACGCGTCGAGTACTCACGTTGGTGATTAACAGCGCAACTAATACGTGTTATAGGTAGGTTATAGATGAGGATCTCTATTTCGATGGTACCCAACACCCACCACTTGTGTTGGCGGATCTAAAAATCCCACTTTACCCCACGATACGCACCCATCTGAGAGTGTTATGTGCTTATCTCACCCGTCGTTTATTCCATAGGAGACGTGTTGCGGCTCCCCACCGGGTCATCTTTGTCACCTGTTTAATCCATTTTGATTACCAAGCTATTTCAAAGTTTGGAATGGGTTCTTACTACGTACAAGGCTTACAAGGCTTACACCTCCTTCGCCTTTAATTGCCTTTATTCGGCCTTATTCGAATAAAGCGTATCTACTCCATACGGGAACCCGCTTGGATGGCTGACCTCCTTTTTTCACGCCATCGATCTCGAGCAGCCGCCACGGGATAGTGTTTGGTCTTTCGTGCGCGTATTTATATGGTGCACATTAGGGCTGAGGGTCATATGTGTCTGATGATGATGAAACGCCTCCACGGGTTAGATCTGCCGTCTGATGAATGATCTTGCAGATATTACCTAGCTCGTCTTTGCGCCCGTCCCATTATTATTGTTGTTGTTATGTATTATTGAATGCCACCCTCTCATGCTGTGTTCGGGTTCTAACAGAAGACGGCTATTCCCTTGCCTCCTGGCAATAATAATGAGTACTCATAATAATATCAGCAAGGAAAAGCCCGCAGCCCGCAGCCCGCAATCCTTTTGCGGCGCAGACTGCGTTGCCTGGCTACATCATAGCAACACCCATACAGTAACCTCGGAGGATGTGGATCCAATGGGCTGGAGCCGAGCAGCGAGAAACGAGCGCTGATTGCGTCGGTATCAACCGATCAGAAAGATTTCGGTCCCGATCTCCTTTTTCCAACGTTACCAGCATGGCGTTACTATGTATATTATTTGCTACGTGATCTATGTAAATTGGATGGAGTTAAATTAAGATATCTTTTTATTTTTTATGTGAGGAATGATGACTTATGAGTTGTTAATGATGAATGATGAATGACCAGATATATCCTGGTTTAGGTATTTGCTAGTTAATACAGTAGTTAAGAGTTAATACAGTAGTTAAGTCATTTACTGGTAAGATCTTACTTTAGCAAACCCGAATCCATAATATTGGGACATTACCTTGCCGGTTAAAGAGGGGGAGATGCCTACCGACATGCCTACTGCCGCAAATAACTAGTCCGAGATGAGTAAAGCCGATTTATTTGTACCATGTATTGCCGTCTAACCCCGGGAAAAGGATATGTACATGGTAAAACGAATGTACCCAGGTACCCAACTTCCAAGACGGGCAACCTGAACTAATGGATTACCTGTTCCTACACAGCTACACCGGCTGACCGGTCAGGAAAACACCTCGACACCTACAAAATTAAGCTGGCTGGAAAATGCACAATTAGGGACATAGGGACATTGAGATTGGTGAGATTGACTGGATTCGGTATGTTTGGTTACAATTGGATAGGTATTGTACAACCCATCCGTACCATAAAATAAAAGAAGTCACGACAGGAGGCCTACATAATACATACATGTAATACATAAATACATAATACATAATGCATAACGAGTGATGATGCCGTTTAAAGACGTCGTCTATTGGATGTCAGCTCCATTTCTGAAAGCCTCCGAAACCCCCTTCTTTTCCTACCCATAACATTCCGTTGCCTCCAACCTGGTCCTTGGCTCCATCATATGCCATACCTACTTACATACCTAGCTTCCATCCATCATCTCTCCCCCCATACCTAACATGTCCTATTATATCTTTGTATGCATATATTTCGTAGTACGTTACCCAGAACGCTGCAGAGCAGTGCAGAGCAGATGTGATAAATCATATTTTGAAAAAGGTCACGAAGATGTTGCGGTGTGTTTTCCTACTCCATTCCCTTCGCCCGCCCGCAACGCCGTATTGGGAATATGGCATGATTAAGACGATTCCAATTCCAGGGTTCGGGATTTGAGACGGAGATAGGTCACGCTGCGAAATACCACCGCGGTCTGCGCTGCGCAGGGACTTGATTTATGTCATACCCAATCGCTTGCACCTGCACAGCTTGCAGCGGTATCAGAGCGCCTGGAACCTCTTAGGAGATCTGCATTGCGTCGCTGCTAGTCCAGAGACTGCGAGCCACGGCTCCGCAATTTTGTGACCTTTTGTGACCTATCTCTTTTGTATTCCAGGTGCCTGCCGCTTGGTGACTGACCATTCAGCCATTTTACAGTATGAGAATCCTCATTTTCGCCCAACCGATACTCTTACCTGTATGGACCAAAGACGGGATGGGCCTCATATCCTGCGGCCGCTGAAAACGTCTCCGACTTGACTCCGTGTGCACACACACATACGCGCACATTACGCACATTCACAAGCTCACATGCACGAGTAAATAGAGGTCGCGTGTGATCAACAAGAGACTACCTATCCAGTCAGCCAGTGAGCAGGCTTATTCGTTAGTCGGAATAAGCTCGAGATCATGATGATATTCTTCGGCAGCCTTGCCAGACTGGCGTCAGCTCGAAAGCGGCAATGAAGATCGTCCCAGCGATCTAGTTAAAGTGATGCAGAATGCTACTCCGCACCGAAGACCCTTTAACCTTTTCCCTGGTTCAAACGGTACTGGGTAGTCTCGGGTGGGTTTCGTTGGCTGACAAGGTGAGTGGATGCGTCCGTCAGTGGGATTCCCATACAATTACAAACCAACCTCCAACCTCCAACCCCAAATGAAGAAAAATCCTAGGAAAATATCGCTGGGCACCATCAGCCTTGTGTTATTAGAAATGGAAATCATGGGAAACGAACCCTGTCAAATGTCGATGCAACCCAAAGTCCCCGAGAAACATGCCGTCGGTCAACCCCCATAAGATATTCCACTCCAATTTTGTGAGTGCAGCTTTCGAGCTGAGAGGCCTCATTGACCTTATTGCGTTATTAAGATTACTACTCTGCCATCTCAACTGTCATCGCCCCGTTATCGACGCCTTGAAGCCCACAGTTTCATCATCATCGTCGTCATTATCCCCCGGTTCTTCGCCTTGCCTTACTGCCACACCCTCAGTGAATACTAGGTCTCCTGTCTTACCGAGAGTGTTCCGACTCGCCTCCTCGAGTAATATGCCAAAAGCTAGGAGCGCTGTCTCGTCCATGCTCTGCTCGTCGATATTTCGGGCATCAGTTTCACCTCGGGCCGCAGCAAGGGCCGCGTAGAAGTGGCTAGAGTAGCTATGAACCGCCTTGAGCATATCACTATCGGGCAGCGTGCCTCTACCACCGTCCGGCAATTCCTCATGAGCGTGATAGATGTCCTTTTCGGCATATCGCACAGGTGCACGGATGCGGCGGAATAGGACTTCTTCCGGCGCGAGAGTAGGATCGCGACGGTGGTCTCGCGAAGTCCGAGGATGATGAGAGGGCATCTCGGACTCGGATCCATCATCTAAAGGGAGAGTCGTGGTGACTCGGCCTAGCAATGCAGCCAGTCAACATCTGGCTAGATTGCCACGAATATGCGGTGGGAGGTGAGGGAGGTGAGTTGTAGACGAATAAGATATTTGAGATTACAAACCTGCTACGGCGTCGTAGACATTGGCATTTCTTCTCCTGCGCTTCCACCTACGATCGTCGAGGATATCAGCTTCGGTTCCGGCCTCTGTAACATTGCCCACTTCCGGAGGCGCTACGAAGCGTCTCTCTTTGGCTCTTTTAGATGTCATCTTCAATTCACATCTAGCCCGTCGATTGTGAAGCTTGACTCTGAAGTGCTATGTAAGTACCTGTTTGTGAAACTTTTAAATTGCGCTAGGCGATAGTAGTGTAGCTTTGCGAGTTGTATGTATTCTCATTTGCCTTCATCATAAGTCGAATCTCCACTTGCATCAAAACGCTAAGGGTCGTCGGTGATTACAGCGAAGTCATGAGGCGAAATAGTGTAATTTCTAGAAGTGTACTTTACTTAAAGTTGTCTTGAAATTGTGTATTCTGATTGCGTAAGGTAGATAGCGTAAACCTTATTCTAGGTACGTGTTTGTTGGTAGTTATTGTATTGTACAATACAATTAGGTACAATACTTTGGAATTTGCCTAGGTAGGCTTGGCGGGGGGCGCTAGAGCTACTGTACAATGCGTACCAACTACGTAATATTCCATTCCAGTGTTTCTCCCCGCCTAACAACATTGAAACCAGAAATGCGGCTCTGAATTTAGTACAACGACACTTACAAGTTACAAATCTCCAATTAACACTTGCAATTACTTCCCTGTCTTTATTATTGTACCGCTCTCATTCAAGTAAACTAGGCCATAGTGGTCTTCTATTCTAATGAATGAATCAATATCTTTTTGAGCGGTCAATTGGTAGCATTGGGCCTAATGTATTCGCCAGGCTACAGACGACACAACTCTTACACTCCTTTCGTCCTGCACCCGAGTTCCGCTTCAATGGCGGCGAGAGAGGTACTGCTGTTAGGGATGATGAGGAGGGATCAATAGCCCCAGATCCCACTTCTACGCTATGGTCGCATCAAGCTGGTGTTAACGCGTTAGCGCTCGATCGCTTCGACGGGAGAATGTGAGTATCTGCTTATACAGCTAACAGCTAAAAATAATAATCATAATAATATATCATTACATGTACTTTATCTACATAAGCTAACAATTTCAGCCTTGTGTCGGGAGGATTAGATGCCTCCATAAAGCTCTGGGACCTAGAGCAGTGTGGCAATCCCTCAAAGGCCCATACTCATACCCCTATCGCTAAGGTCTCGCGTTCGGACCGAACCCACAAGTTTGGCATCACGCATCTCTCTTTCTACCCCTTCGATTCGGCTGCTTTTCTCTCAACATCGTACGACCAAACTCTGAAGGTGTGGGCTACAGAAAGAGCTACAGCCTCTGCCTCCTTTAATCTCGGTTTCAAAGCATATACGCATGCCATATCACCAATTTCCTCACACCTCCTAGTCGCATGTGGAACGCAGCACCCTGCTGTGCGTTTGGTGGATCTACGCTCTGGCTCTAACGTTCAGACATTAGTACCCGGCCACTCAGGTGCCATTCTAGCCACTGCGTGGTCCCCCAGGCACGAGCATGTCCTCGCTACCGGTAGTGTAAACGGAACGGTCAAAGTCTGGGATATTCGCCGCGCTGGTGGGGTTATTGGAATGTTAGACCACGAAGATAGTCTAGGACTATATTACAACGGCCTTATAGATGCCAGTGGCAAAGTCAGAACTCGAGCCTCTGCGAGAGCGCATACTGCTCCTGTGAATGGCCTAACATGGACGGACGATGGAGCGTACATCGTGTCAGCGGGTCATGACCGACGTATTCGTGTGTGGGATGCCGCTACCGGGAAGAACACACTCGCGAGCTTTGGACCAAGCATCAGGAACAGCCAACTAGCGAGCATTACCATGTTTACATCACCAACGGGCCTAACTCATCCCGGTAAGGAATTACTCTTCTGGCCTAATGAGACCGAGATCCTCGTCTTGGACTTACATGATGGCCACGTGGTCACGAAACTGAGAGGAACTGGTCCAACTGTGGCGGGTGTTAGATCTGCCAGCGGTGCCCAACGCACTACCAAGAATCGAATTACTAGCATAGTCTGGAGGGGGGCAGGCGGCGGCGGCGGTTCAAGCGGTGTCGTCATGGGTGGTAGCAATATGACCGGTGCTATCTTTAGCGCTCACCTGGATGGTCAAATCAGGGCCTGGTTACCCCGCTTAGAAGGTGACGATTATGAGGATGAGGACGAGTCCTTAGACGAGGCCAGTAAGGACAAGGCCAAGAAACGGAAAGCTCTCGATGATGTCTTCAAGGATTTGATGGGCAAGAAGATCACATTTACCTAAGACTGGCGATAGAAGAATATGAGGGATGCGCCGTTCAAACTCGCCGGTTTTCGCAATGATAACACCAATCAGAATGCTTTGAAGGAATACGGCGGACTTGCTGGTTCAAGTAAGTTCCTATATGCATTACGACTTGGCTTCGTAGACGAGATGGAACCCAGACCCCTCCAGGGCCTATTGAGGGCCTAGCGAGCCTTATCATCATCTCACCGCTGCTCTTACAGATCTACAACGTCTTGGTCCCTCCTGCTGCCACCAGCTCCCTTTGAAATGCTCCACCCATATATAGCGGGACTCGTCGTCCTCAGGTACCTAACCTGAAAGGGAAGCTACAAATCCAACAAGATTGAGCGAGGAGAACTGCGAATCTCATGTTATGCAGATACGATAATGCCTTACTGAATAGCAACACATTGATAAATTGGACCCTTAGCAAACAGAATTAACCTAGAGAAGCTACGTTCTCGGGTTCTGGCTGGTTTGAGGCGAGAGATGTTTGGTCTGGGCAAGGACCAACATGTGTCTCTGCGTCGTGGTTAACGGGATGCCCTTATCATCTGTTGCATTCGATTTCTAGCCCCTTGACAAAAATATAGGCTATCCACGCATATATGTATGCATGACATCGCTAACATCCTAGCATATCAATACTATCAGTCAACTACGGCTCCCCCTTTAGCGGTCTTGGAAGTCGGTGTTTCTACATATCAATATGGGGGCAGGGCAATGACAGTCATGGTACCCCTAACTAACCTTCTCATATGCACCTGTCAAACTGCACGAACCTTGATAACTTCTACCTAGGTATATACCTAGATGTGATAGACCCATGGTTCATGTGTTCTGAAAGGCATATGTCACGTCATGTGAGGAGCCAATTTGCTACTGCTATTGGAAATGGAAATAAGCTGACCTAAGACTATTAGTTCACGCAGTTCTCTATGGACCACGTATTCCTACCAGTCTGCACATACACTTATATCCCAACCATCTATACGATATCGTACAATATTACACTTTATAGTTGAAACCCCAATTATTATCTCGGCTACCTATGCCGAGTTATTTTCCAAATAGAGAAACATACCCCTTAGCACTGCACGTTGGATGTACCTGCTAGTCTAAGCATACCGTTAAATAGAGGTGGAGTCAACTATGCAGCATGACTGTTATCAAATGCTATTGCACTTTACTTAGAAGTCGTTTATAATATCGTTACGAGGCTGACTAACTGATAAGAGTCCATCGACGTAGATCAACTTGCCCGCCTGTCTTATCCGAGTACTATGTACGTGCGGTACGCACTACCGCTCCGCTAAATAATACCGGGGACGGCATCTTGGGGCGTCACGTCACCGTGGACCTCGGACTCCGAACCGACTGGCCGTTTCTGCGTAGCCTGCGGGATGCTTCAGTATATAAGTACACAGTATATTAGATAATATTGTGAGAATTGGTTCATTGTCAACCTGGTTACTTCCAGTCTAAGTACCTACCCGTTACCTGGTAACGTGGGAATTATCCTGTTTAGGGGAACGACGGGTCCTGTCTAATGCATGTTTCGCAGGGCTGGAGTAAAAACTATTGCGCTTAGCTCCATAGAGATTGATGATTTAATTCTAGTGTTATATAGAAGCGGGCTTGTGTGATAGGCTAAGTACACTTATTTAGTATGTATATACCTACCTAGGAACCTAACTTATACTGTATCATACATGTTACCTACTATTTTCTACATCAGCCTTGAACTTAGGACGTATGGTTGTCTTTAAATGACATAAACTATGCTGTACAGCTTGAAGCTATTATTCGTAGACTTAGTGTAAGGGACATTAGGTGATTAAGGACTACTAGGTATTCTTTTAGTAGAGAGTGTATAGTGTTATATTATAAGTGTTATATTATGAGGCTGGCCGCAGGGATATGCCAAGCGTTAGTCAATATAATGGCCCCTCCTTTAATACTCGCACATACACATACATGGAGTCTTTAGGATATAGTCCCACCCTGAAAAAGTGAGGCTATAGCTTGACAGGTCGCGGGACGATCTATCATCTCAAACGTACCTACGGATCTCGTACCGAGGCTTAGGAAACCCCTTGAAGAATGGAGTCTGGAATAGGGCGAGGCGAGACTAGTCTGTAATGTATACCCACTTAGCGACACGCGAGAGGCGCCGGCGATGCGGCTAGTTGTAGATACCTTGTTGTAATTAATGCTACATCTCGGGAATGCTTCGCTTGCACGTGGGAGATTGGCTCAAGGTCTTTTGGGTAAAGTATAATTACAGTCTTGTAGGCTAGGGAGTTGTGTCGGTAAACCGTGCCGAGCGAGGCTGCCGGTGTTGCTCCGCATAGCTGTAAGATAGCGTTCCTCGTTTTACTTGGATTATAGGGGTTTGTCGGTATCGTATGTATAGAAGAAACGGCTATGGGCTGCTGTAGAGGGTATACGATAGAGCTCCTCTATGGATAGGTGAACTGGGAAAGCACCAAGTTTCTCCTATAGTTATTTATCATATTAGTAGAGTGACGAGAATAGTGCTCGTATAAAACTGATCTAATTACTATAATAAATACCTAGTAATTGTGGCATCTTTTAATAGTATGGCTGTTTTCCTTTGATATGGAGATTATGGGTTTGTAGAAGCTTTAGCTAAGGCTGGGTGATTATAGGAGAACTAAGGAAATAAATAATTTTGCGGACGATACTGACTCTAGCGATGGTAACGATAATAACACGCCGAGATAATAATAATAGGGGTCTGAATTGGGCTGCTAAAGCGTTCGTTTTACACACTAAGAAATGAACCTCTTATGTACCATAGCGGAGGTAGGCGGCTTCACGGAATGGTTCCGATTTTTAGAATGTGCCAACCTGATTACAATGAAGTACGTAAAAAAAACGATTCTATTTTGTACAATGGTTCCAAAAGTATGGAATGGTTTCGTATGGCGCAACGGTTTTGCTTTAGGGCCTCTGATTGGCCCAATTTTCGAGGAAAGTGGGGCAAAGGTTGAAAAAATTGAAAAAATGAAAACACTGACTGGGCCTCGAACCCACAGCTCCTGCGTTCGTACATTGTAGTACGTACCTTAAGCCCCACAAAGGGGATTTAAGGTTTAAACGTTTGAGCTAATGGGACGAGGTGGCCAGTCTCATCGAATTATTCGAAAATTCAATTGATTTTAATCCTTATAAGCTTTACTTTCTAAAAAGTAGAATTTTAACTTAGAAAAAAAAATTTTTTTTTTTATTTTTTTTAAAAAATTTTTTCACTAAGACAATTGGAACGATTACAATTCGAGTAACGATAGCTATAAAATGGAATGGTTTTACGGTTGGGGAACGGTTCTTCTAAAGTAAAAATATAAAAATGAAAATTAGCCCCACTTATATTTAGATCCGACCAATCAGAGGCCTTAAAACCTAAAAACGTTACTCCCCACGAAACCATTCCGTCGGTGGAACCATTCCGTGAAACCCCCTACCTCCGCTATGGTATTCATAACGGATATCTAGGCTAGGTAAGGTAGCTTCCTTCACAGCCCTTCACTTCAAGTTCATATGCTTGAAGAATACTAAAAACAACATCGTAAATAGGTACCTATGAAACCGTGATCCTCATACATGTTTTCATACATATCGTGACAATACAATTAAGAAGTAGCGTTTCATCATAACAAGAACTCGCGTAGGTTCTCATCCCGACATATGAAATGAAACGAAAACATGGTCTCATTAGCATTACAGGAGTTCGGAAATTCGTTAAATCATTTCGTGGTTTTTTTTCTTTTTTTTTTAATCTCACCGAACTTCTCCCTGGGTCCTGCCCCTAAGAAAAGAGTTTCTTGAAAGCGGCGCGAATCCCTCCGGATTTCTTCTTAGCCTCGGCGGCTTCGGTGGCCTCTCGAGCTTTCTGCCGCTCCTTTTGCCTCAACTGTCTATGCTCGTCCTTAGTCGGCGAGGGAGGAGTGGTTTTGGAGCTGGTGGACTCGAGTGAGCCGCTAATCTTTGCTTCGGACCTGCGTCTCTTAGGCGAGTCGTCCTGGGCCTGGTCATGGTCACGATCATGAGACCGATGGCTTCTGGGCCGGGGGATTTCCCCGGACTCTCGATGAGACCTGCTGGATTTGCCGGTGGTGGTACGTCTAAGAAGTCCTGATGATTTCGATGGCTCTTTGAATACTGGAGGAGGAACGTTGGTGCTGTTACTTCTGGTGCGAGGAACGTAGTTTGATGCCAAAGAGCTTTCGCCGTGCCTCATGTCGAAGAACCTCTTGTTTGAGGACGAAGCACTCTCCTTCGCGGGGTGTCTCTCGGAGTGAGATCGCTCGGAATACCTTTCGGACTGGGGTCTCTCAGAATATCTTTCCGAGAAGGACCTTTCAGAGTATTTTTCAGGTTGGGACCTTTCGGAATATTTTTCGGGCTGGGACCTTTCGGAACGCCTCTCAGTATGCGACCTTTCTGAGTGCGATATACTGTGCCGTCTTGAGCTACGGTGGGAAGAGTGCCGATCGCTTGGCGGCGCCTCCGAGTCCTTGCCCTTATTCTCTCGCATCCTATCGTACGCTTCGCGAGCAGCGCGTCGCTCCTCCTTACGCCTCTCATGGGCAGCTTGCTCTTCGGGGGTGCGACGCCTATGGTTTGAGGAATCGGTAGCACGCGAACTATCAACAGAAAAGCCGCTGTCTCTCTTAGGTGTCTGAGGGATCGAGCGATCGGAAGAAGACTTTATTGAGTTGCTGCTTTCAATACGGGTATTGCGAGGCTGAAGGTGTTCACCGCTGCTCTTAATGTCTTTCGATCGGGAAGAATGATGATGATGATGGTGGTGGTGGTGGTGGTGGCGTCGGGGCCTATGATGCCGCTCATCTGCGGATTTCTTTTCTTCATCGTCTGTAGACAGGTCAGCAACGGGCAATGAATAATCATTTTGGCCAACGCTCTGATTCCCTGCTACAACACCGGGTGGAAAAAAACCATCCGCTTCCTGGACGCTCTTCTGAGTCGGCTCTAGTATTTCACCTGTGTTGTTCTCGACTTGGGGACTACCTAAAAGAGAACTAGATGAAGGACTAAGCTCATGAGCTGCAGCATATAATATAACGGCGGTTGCTACCGCTTCCTCTGCTTGCTTAAGTGTTTGCCTGCGTCGCTTCCTAACGCTCTTCGCGCGCCCCAAGGCTCTTGCTTTGGAGTCTGTGAGATCTGGAAGAACGACCCCTGGAGTTTTTGAGCGAGGTTCTAGGTCGGCGAGGTTGATGAAACTCCAACTTGGTTGGGAGCCAAAGTCATGGTCATCTTCAGTCTGAGTACTCGAATGTACTAGCTGTGGCCTAAGCGTCCGCTTACTACTCTTTTGTGGAATTGATCCC